TGGAGCTGGGCGGCGGCCGCCAACGCTCGAGGCCGCTTCGGATCTCGCGAGTCGCAGACTCGGAAAACTCGCATACTGTGTACGGAGTACTGTCTACGTAGTCCCCTTGGGGAAGTCGATGGATACTATTGGCACCAGCGGAGCGGTTGAGTCGCCACCCACTTGCGAAAGGCCACGAATATCCATTCATCGACCGCGACAAGGTCTCCGTTTGGCGCAACGGGCTTTGTGCTTTGCCGCTGCGTAGGAAATGCAATAGGCGCGCACCAAGTGGTACAATAAGGTGGTCGAGAAGAAGGACAGCGGCAATGATCGTCTGGGACTATCCAACCACCACAACATTTGGGTCGCTGGCGCCCTTGCGTTGGTCGGCGCCGGGCCGAAGCACGCTCGAGTTCTGGAGTCCGAAGCCCCTCCGATGGATGGGCTTCCGACTTCCCCACCAAGCATCAATCGCTGCTCGAGCTTCTGAGAGCACACGAAACAGCGCCTGCTCGAACAGCTGTGGCAGCCGTCTCTGCCAACGATGCTTGCTGCGGTGGGCCTTCAAGGCATTAAGGATACCCAGTAATGGCCAAAGTCCATTCTCTGGCTCGCCACGAGTGTTATTCGAGGACAATTGATGTTCCTTATCTGACCATCTTGGCGCCTGTCCCACAGAGGACAACGAGCTTCGATCTTCAATACTGGAACATTCTATCGCAGCCACATTGTCCCAGCATTGGACCTGGCGACGACAACATCTGTCCTGTACACAGTATCCACCAATGCAGCAAGATCTCTGCAGTCGATCTTGGCCGAGGTGTGGAATCCCAAGAATCGCTCCACTGGCAACTACTGTGTACTGTGTCCTAAAGGCGTGTCTGCGACACAATCTTCCCACCGAGGTCCAGTAAAGTCCTTCAAGGGCATCATCGTCCACTCAGCGGCGTTGCTGCCAGCCCGTCACTCATCTGCCGCCTGCAGACGAGCCCAAGACTGCGCACTCGCCGGTGAGCTACTGTGAGCTCGTCCCGTATCTCTGCAGTAGGTTTTAGAGATCGCCGCAACCCTTAGTCCAAGGCTCGCAGGACCCGCGGAGGCGCTGTTCAAGTTACAGTAGCGGTTCAGGCTCGAACCGCGCGTGCGCACTCCACTCAGCGGCCCTTCCCATCCTCCATCGCGTTCGGGACCTTCGCCCCCCAGCATGGCGGTATATACACCGCTACTCGTACTGTGTCTGTACAGTGTGCTGGCCGCGATCCATCTGCCACACTGCAGGATTCGCCCCCCGTCCACGTCGGCGAAAATGCAGAGTTTTCTTTCGTGTTCGCCAGCTGCCAGCATTGCATAACGGTCTCAAAATATCAAGGTGGCTGGGAGTAAGCTACGCAGGACTCGGTTTGACACCCTTGACACAAACCCACACATGGGGTCCTAACCCGACTCCGAGGGCCTTCACCGCCGCGAAGTCTTGGATGCGCACAGTGGGAAAAAAAAATTGAACAATTTTTTTTTTTCGAATTGCACATGTCGCGACGCGACCGTCTGTTGACATGTTGCCCCGTTGGGCGAATTGCATGTCGAATACTCCATAGCAAATTGCCAAATTTGCTACATCTTGCGCCGATGAGGACGTCTTGCGGAAATTGCCCCAAAATGTCGGTGAGAGCTTTTGTTTTCCAGAGATGAGGGTATCGTTCGTTGCCTGCGAGGGGCGAGGGCTCTGACCTTTTCTTCCGTCCTCGATGCCTCGAATCTTGCTTTGCACGAGTTGAGGCCACACTTGACTGCTGCAACCAGCCTGTGAAGCAGACGTGTTGTCGGTGGCGACGGTGGCAGTAAGCGGGTGGGTACATATGGGATTCCGTCAAAACTCCCCAAGGATCTACGGTTGTTCTGTTCTTGCGGAAGACCTATTATGCAGTACCTCGTACTATACACAGTGCGCGGCGACATGGCAAGTACAGTAAACCAGACAGTCACGCAGTCAGCCTACGGTACCCAGCAGACGAACCTCGTGTGTCTCATGGCCATTGAGCAGCAGGATATGTACACGGTAGGCTTCGACATTATTCGGCCTTCCAGTGCCTCCCTTCTACCCATTTGATTTGTCGAATCCTCAGTGCCCACGACGGCGCTCTCGCACGGAATTTTCGAACGTGGTGTCTTGCGTATTCAATCGGGACCCTGAGGTCGTCCTCATACACGATCGGAAAGGTAAATAAATGCATGGACAACTAAGAGTTAGGCTCGCATATTGCTCTCTGCATATTGCTGCCTCTATATTGCAGCCTCACGGTTCCTTGCGGCGAGGCGCGTAAAGTGCTTAGTTTATTGCCGCCCAGTACTTTATTCTACCATCTGTGCTGTTTTACAGTATGTGTACATCAATCTATGAGAAGCGAGGACTTTGCGATGCCGATGAACAATATCTTGAGGACATCATTTGCATGGCGAGCTCCTGACACAAGAAACACCCGGTGCACTCGACCTCATCGTTTCAGAGGCCGGAACGCGCAGCAGCTCAGCCGTGGACTGGCAGTTTCATGACTGTGCCCAGAGAGGACCGGCCACCTGTATGCTGATGGTTCGGAGAAGTCCATGGCTTTTGGCAGGCCAAGTTGACAGGCACGGGAAGAGGTGAGACTCGTGTGCGGTGTACCTCACAGGGCTCCTCCTAGCGCTTCAACAAGCCAAAGCGCTAGTCGTACCTTCAAGCCAACTCTGCGTTCGACTCTGGCAAGAGTATCTTGCGTTGCGACTGTCGCATCCGCCTCTAGATTCTCCACCTCCCTCTTCAATCGCTTCTTGAGGCCTTCGTCGCCAGTCAAGATCATTGCTCCGATCTCCAAGTCGAGACTATAGCTTCGTTTCGTGTAGTTACTACTTCCAACCACAGTTACGCTCGGCCCGCAGTCCTCGACAAGTTTTCCTTCCGCATTCGGTTGGGGAGGTAAGGTCACCCATAGGCCCTTGGCGTGGTAAGTCATACCGCCAGGCTCGCCGACCGTGCCTCTGCGCCATTCCTTCAGCTGTATCACATCTTGTTTGCCTGCAGAGCTAACGGTCCGCAGGAAGCGGCGGGAGAGCAATGTGTATGCGGCGGGTAACATACCGCTTACACCGCGACTGCCGTAGAAACCGTTCGCCCAGGGGGATGCGGTGATGACTGTGCATGACTTATCGTAATATGCTTTTTTGCCAGGGGTGAGGACGTCGGGCGCTTCTGGAGCGGCGGCGATGAGCATGTTACAGATGTCGGGGTCGATGTTGAAGTAGCCTGCTGTGAACGCCCAGGTTGACTTGTGCAGGCGTTCGTCCTCAGCGAGATTGGTCAACAGCTTGGTGATGGCGGGCTTCTCGGTCGATGTATACTGTGCGAATTCGTAGTCGAGCAACGCAATGTTCCTGGGTTGGCCGAGGAGAATGTCAAATTGAGCTAGTGGATAGATGAACGTTTTCTGGTTGGTAAATTCGACGGGAAACATCTTTTGTCGGGCTCGTTTGTGGATGAGTGGCTCGAGGGTTTCTTTGGCATAGGATTTGAACCGTCTGGTGTGCCATAATGGGTCGGGATAGCCTCTCTCGTGGGGACTTAGGAGTTCGAAGCCGCCTGGACGGTCATCGGATGGAATGAGCTGGTAGGATAGATCGCAGACTGCGTCGTGAATGGCAGCGTAAAAGTCAGTGAGCTCTTTGGAGGCGAAAAGATGGTAGCGGTCGAGACGGTTCGTGAAATAGTCGTCGGACAAGTTGGCACTGCCTAAGTCAGCATCTCATGTAGAGCGATACAGAGGTCGCTCGTACCCGGATAACATTATCTCGTCGTCAAAGCCATAAAGCTTCATGTGCTGCAATCCCCACCCCTCATTGATGCGCTTGGGCATGTATTTCTTCTTCCACCCGTTCAAGTTGGGCGTGTGGAACATTGAGATCTTCACCCTATCGCCCAACTGTGTGACCAGGGGTGCTAGAAGAGTCCCACATGATGGCTCAGGATCTTCTCGAGTACCTCGGAGCGCGTCCGTCAGGATCGAAAGCTCAAGGTCTGGGTTGGCCTCAAGTGCCTCCCGTAGGGTGTGGATGAGTTCGTGTTCGGTCTTCCCAATATACAGCGTTGACAGGTATATCCGTCGCTTGGCTCCTCTTATCTTGGCCTGCAGCACTTCTTAGCCAGGCTTCTCACATCGCATCTATAGATCTGGTTGGGGTACCTTCAAGGTTTCGTAGAACGCCGCCGGACCGTCTAGGATGTGAATATTGTCCGGATCAATCTCAAATCGGGGCGCAACGTGGTCGAGCTGCGAAGCGACTCCCGCAAGAGGGTGCGCCGTGGGAGCTGCGCCATTGCTGGCAGATGCCGACGAGGAGGAGGACGAGAACCGCCTTGTAACAATCCTTTTGGCAGCTGGTCTGGGAAAGAAAATCCTCGTCGTTCGGGTGCTGCTTCGGAGAACTCGCCCCCCAACTCCCACGCTCCGCGCGAACATTCCCTTCCCAGCAACAGGACACTCCCAATGCTCACTTCTGGATGACTCTGCACTCCTCCATAACCTGGCACAATGGACGGTGTTGGCGAGGCTGTCAGGGCAGTCAACTGGCGCCGCAGCCAGGCCACGTTGATGTCACCGCTTGGCATTCGTCGCCTCCGAAGCTCGGGTCTGTTTGTTGGCGCGCGCGGCGGGGCGAAAAGCCACGAGGTCGAGACTGCTGAGCTGAGATTCCCGTCAATCGTAAATCCCCTCGGCTAGGCAGAGGCGTTCATGATATAGCTCAAGTCCGGTGACATTTCCCATTCCAGCCCAACGGACGCCGCTGTCTTGCGCAGGGCGCCGGGATCAGTTGATACCCAGTAGATAGAGAGTCGGCCGTCTGCCTCGTCGGATCCCCCGCCTTTTCGGTTCGACCCCCCAGTGACCGGCGACAACCACGATATGAACAGAGACCCAGCGCCTGACCGTGTTCTAACCCTTCTCTATCCAAGGAAGTGTCAGTGAGGGCGGTCGCGCAGAATCACCATGGAGAGCGGCGTGCGCAGGTTCCTCTCCAAGCGCGAGGGCAAGCGCAACAGAGGCCGTGGCGAGCATCAACACCTGCCCCATCCTCTGAGCAGGAAGGAGTTCTCGACAGTGAGTTCTTTTCCTTGAAGCCGCGATGCCCGCGCAACCATGTCCCCAAACCGTGTCATTTAAGCCATGCCGACTATCCAACTTTTGTGCCTATCAATATGTACCCCCTCCGGAGATCGGGCTACTTCTAGTGTATACGTCGCTTCTTCCCTTGGTTACTATCATGTCTGACTTATGCGCCCTTACAGTCCAGTCCGGAACTTGTGCCTCGACCAGTGAACCCCATCTCAGCTCAAGATTTCTATGGCCTGTTCGACGCCAATGTCCCACCTGCTACGTCGGTCGAGGAACCCAAGGTCATTATCCCTTCTTGTCCTGGCAGCCCGATCCTGCTAACCTGGTAGTTCAGATACGAACCATACGAGACCGTCTGTTGAAGGGGAAAGGCGTCCTTGTCAGGGATGCTCAAATCCTGTGGACGCTGCGTTCTCTGTCCACAGGTGGAGACGTCAATTCGGGCTATGAACTCCTGCTCGCCATGTCAGACGCTTCGGAAGGAATTGTCAGGCCATATGATCCGTATACGAAGATGCTCGGTGCACAAAACAGACAAGGGGTTACCTGCTTCCTGGACGCCACTCTCTTTTCCATGTTCTCGCGCCTCGACAGCTTCGAGGCCATGCTCTACAACACCTTTGACGATCTACCACGAAACAAGCTTGCCTTTCTCCTACGCCTTTGGGTCAACCTCCTGCGATCTGGAAAGCTGATCACCACCGACATCACCAAGGTCGTGCAAGAGACTCTGGCGGAATGTGGTTGGGCCGAGGCCAAGGAACTCCACCAGCAAGACGCTTCAGAAGCCTTCACATTTATTACCGGCAAGCTCGAACTGCCATTGTTGACCTTGAAGATGGATATCTACCACACCGGCAAAGAAGATACGGCGGATGATCACAAGTTCATCAACGAGAGACTTCTGGAAGTGGCCATCCCGTCGGATCCGACCAGCGAGAGAAAGGAAATAACGCTAGAAGAGTGTTTGGAAGACTATTTCAACAACCGAATAGAGGTCCGGCGATACCTCGAGCGACGATCAACAATCAATTCAACGCGCAAAGCCAGTGCAATTCATGTCGAGACGGTTGAGCTAGATGGCGACCAGTCACCCATCACTCCACTCTCGCCCTCTCCCAGCTATGCATCCCCCATACGACCCGCCATCGGCCGGACTCGTGCCCCTAGTATTATCCAAGAGCGCTACATACCTTTACGCAATGAAAGCGGATATTCATCGTTGGCTCCCATCGATTCGAATGACTCTGTGGCTCGGTCGCGGGCCGGAAGTGTGCGGAAAGAGGTTATGATGCCTGCGTGGCAATTCTTCAGCTTGATACGTACGTAGTCCTTTCCGTCGATTCGGCTTTGACTGACCCGCGGCAGCCTGGTATACTGACAATGCTCCGACAAATGACGCACAAGTCGCCGCTCATTTCTCAACGAAACGGCCGATTCTTGGTCTGTGCCTGAAGCGATATTCGTATACACCCGAAGGCAGAGCGATCCGACTAGGCACCCAGATCGACATTCCTGTTGAGATTGCCGTACCTCATTTTATTCAGGACGATAAGATTGAGGAGATCCACGGGCTGAACAGCAATTTCAAACTCTCATTACAAGCGGTTGTCTGTCATCGAGGCGACTCGGTGGATTCTGGACATTACGTTGCCCTCGCGCGTGGTACTGCCACGCCAGGGTCTCCTAATCGCGAGTATTCTCATACGACTAAGGTTTGGATGAGATTCGACGATCTTGCGCCACACCGGATCACCGTCATCGACATCGAGACAGCATTGAAAGAGGAGACACCTTACCTGCTTTTCTACCAGATCGTCCCTATCGAGGGAGATCCGGGAAGCATAACATCGGGCGAGGAGACCCTAGCTACTGTCCACGAGCGCAACGCTTCGGTCAGCGAAGTCTCTGATATATCAATTCTAGGAGATAATCAAAGCATTTCCGGCCGCCCAAGCTTTGAGGTCACAGTTCGAGAAGAACCCAGAGGACGGTCTCCTACAGAAACGAGGAGAGCTAGTGTCATCTCCTTTCAGGATCCGCCTGCGACGTACACAAATGGGACTACTGGCGCAACTCTGGCAGTTTCAAACAACGGTGACGGCGACCAGACTGGGACACCGAAGCCAAAGTCTTTGTCTCGGTCGCAGAGTAAAGCGAGTGAGAGTGGTAGTGGCTTGGGAAGAACCCTTTCGAAACTGAAAAGAAAGAGCCGAGAAGTTTTGCCAGTCCCCGCAGATGTTCCTCCACAGACTGGAGTACAGGCCACGGAAGTCCCTGTGCAAGCTGCACCGGCTCCTCACGCAGGACAGCAGAGTATCCCGCAACGTGGACCGCAGAATGGTGCTCAAACCACGCCAAAGCCAAATACGCTGCAGGTGCAACACCAGGCTCCCAAGACGCACAGAAGGGAGAAAAGCCGGGGTCGTGTGTCAAGGAGTAAAATTCGCGGCGAGAAGCCAGATCGGGAGTGCATTGTGATGTGAGGGCCCAGCAGGACCCTTCTGCCGCTATTCGAGTCATTGCATGGCGAGGTTCGCGTTCAGCGAGTTTCATCGTCGTCATGTCTGAGAATGAGAGACACTGACGCTGTTGTTTTCATGGCACTTTGATACCGCAGGTCTTCTGGTTCTTTGCGCCATGTTGCTTGACGAGAGAGCGAGTTTCTGAGGTGTACATGTCTCTTTAGCAAAGCATATTGACCGTTTCGGTCGTAAAGCAGGAAAACACAGGTTTTCGCAGGACGGAATCACTCTCCCACGTACAGAGCCATAACAATGAAACACGATGATTACATGAGCGTCGGCAAGTTTAAACGGAGACATAGAGACCTTCCAACTGGCCTTCAAGAGTGGTCGGTCCTTGTCTGCCCGTCTTATTAGATATGGCAAGATATTTTTCTCTGCATGGAAACCAATTCCATATACTGCAAGTTCTGGATCAACCCGGCCTCAACTTGTGCCCAGAGGCCGAGGATCTTCGGGTCCCCTGTATCCGCCGGTGTCAGCCGTGCTCTCAAATACTCGCATCAGCAGCAGCTAGTCAGAAGGGCAAGACGCGACTCACCGAAAGGAATAATTTGACTGGCAATGATGCCACCGAGGCCCTACACCAGGACAAAATTAGCCACGTCGTCTCTCAGACCCCCTGCGAGGAAGCCTTTGTCATGGAGCCTCTAACGGATCCTCCTCCACACGCTTCCATAGTAATAGGAACAACGCGATGATCACGTACCCGCTTCCGATCCGCCCACCAGAACAGGTTCGGCAATCCCGCCCACCAGCCTGTGCCTTCGCTGTGCACGGCCGAATCGCGCAGGTGCAGGAAGAAGGTCAACCCCCAGCCTTGCGGAATGTCGTGGGGTTCAGGGTACAATTCGGCAAGCGCGTTGCTGTACTCTGGTTTAGGAGGGACGATGGCTTGACGACCGAAGTTGGGCATGTCGGGGATCTATCGACGTGGTGGAAACGTCGTCGTCGTCAGCATAGAACAGAACGGCACGGCACAGCACAGCATAGCATGGCACGACACGGCATCTCATCACCTTTGATCGAAAGACCACGATATTGGGGCCGGAAAGAGGGATTCAAAAAGACCGCCACTCACCTGATTGGTAAACATCTCATCGACGGTCTCTTTCTTCAAGATGCGATTGCCACTCGGGGCATGCACGCCGTCATTCAACAACGCCGTGATGATCTGACAGTACTGGTTCGGACGGGCGAAACAACCGGCGCCGCCGGCGTGGAAGGTCCCGTCAATCTCCTCCTTGGTGCTGGCGTACAGGGGCCGGCGGTTCAGGTGGCCGTTGCGCGCGAGCGAGAGGGACCCGTCCACCAGGGAGCGGGCGTTCATGTAGGCCAGCTTCTTCTTCATCTCGTCCGTGGGGAACATGTTGATGTGGGTGATGCCGAGGGGCTTGAAGATGTGTTGCTGGAAGTAGTCGTTGAGTTTGAGGCCCGAGGCCCGCTCGATCAGTACGCCCGCCCAGTCGATGTTGATGCCGTATTCCCATACCTTTTGGCGGAGAGGGCGTTAGTCAGGCAGAGACAGACAGAGAGACACAGGTGAATGGATATAGAGGGGAACGGGAGAGTAGATTAGAGTGGCATCAAGTCTCGCGAAACAAAGCACGTCACATACCTCGCCCGGTTGATTGACCAGAGGCTGGGAGAGGTAGTCGTGGTAGGAGCCAGAGAACTCGTCGAGGCCAAGCGGGCCGGCCCAGTCGTTGAGGCGGTCGTCGAAGAAGGCATACCCGAAGCCGGCTATGGCGCCCTGTCAGTTATATACCGCCGGATGTGGGAGAGCCATAGGACAGCCAGAGCCAGATAGCAACAACTCACCCGTATGTGATAGGAGCATTCGCAGCGTGATGCCCCGCTTCTTGGGCACCAGCTTCTGCGCCGCCGGATCCCAGACTTGCACGGCTTTCAGTTCCTGATCACGTCGTCATGTGTTAGCGCAGCGCAGGGGAGAGGAGGAGGGGATGCGCGCCGACTTCCACCGAGATCAGATCTCCATCACCACGCACGACGACGTACCGGGGCCAACTTCTCCACCACGTCGACGTCGTCGAGGCTCAATTTGCCCTGCTCGACCAGCTGCATGGCCGCCACGCCCGTGATCATCTTGGTGCAGCTGGCGATCCAAAAGATGTGGTCGGTGGTCATGGCCTCGGCCTTGCCCGCGCCCACCTTGCCGGAGGCGTGTTCGAAGATGATGTCGCCGGCCCTGTTGACCGCGGCGAAGACCACGCCCGGAGCGCCCGCCGGGTCGGCCGTCAGGGCGTCGATCTGGGATTTCAGGTTCGGCACGGCCGACGCGGCGACTTTGGCCATTGTGATTGCTTGTTGAAGAAGCCGAGATCGGATGTGATGTGAAGATGGACGATTTTTGTTTTGTTTCCACGTTTCCGACTTGAGCAGGCAGGAGAACGAGGGCAGTGCGATCAGACCGCAGTGATGACTAAGTCTCTCTCTTGCGAACTACTGTAACAACGTTATGTCTTCTCTCACTGCTGAGAAAGGCACGTCTACTTCGGCTTTGACACCAAAACCCACATGGTCCTTTTATACGCGTGTGCTATCGAGCGGGGCTGGACCACCATACTGCACGCACCCTCTCCAAACATGGCAGCGAGTACGAATGATGCCCCTCGGTCGAAGCCCGGGGCTCCGCTACGCCGGGTGGACAAGCGAGGAATCCAGCCAGGAGGGGCATCACGAGCGATACGAGGACGATGCCGACGGACACGGGTGGCTTTGGCCTGTGGATGCGAGGCCGAGGGCATCATTGGTACATCTGGCGGTCCATGGAGAGGGGAAGTTGGGTCAGTCGTAAGAGAGAGTTTGGAAGCGGACCCGATCGAGGTGAGAACCCCCGCATCTGGCGACGAGAAAGAATCGAATCTGGACTGTTCGGGTGTTGCGTTCTGTGGCCTTCCTTTCTTCGTCGCTACTCCTCTCAAGCCGGGGTTGGCGATTGAGTCCATGGCTGGTGCCTGCTGGTGGGGGAAGGGGCTCGTCCGAGATTGAGGACAATGCCTACGAGTACGAGTATGTACGAGTGAACTGCAAGGCCAGGAAAGGGGGGTATGTACCTCAGTAACTTAATTAGGCCTCTTCCTCTTCGGGAACACGGGGAAGTCAGCCTTGTCGACTCGATCGCTGTGCCAAGGGGGTACGTACTGGAACCCGACCTGCAACTGTTCTAACCACGCATGCCAGAGGGATCATTCTGTTCTCGCCCATGAGTCAGAATTATTTGCGTCGTGGTTGTATCTATAATGCATTGTTCCGAGACATGCCCCAGGTAAAGAATTACGCGAGCCAGTCAGCCATTTCTTTGAGCAGCAATGCCCTTCGCGATCGACATCGGAAAGGCCAGCATGTAGATCAGTTCACAGTCGAACTCCGCCAGATAGGAGCAAGCCAGCGTCAAGAGTCAGTGGAAGAAGAGGCATGCGAGGCAGGACTTCTTTGAAGGGGTAACAGCCCGTAAACATGCAGCAGGATCAAGTGCCCAAGAATTATCTCGGTCTATCGTTGCGTCGGTTTGTCGAAATCTGCAGACAGTCTCCCTGGAATTCCTTGTGCTGTTTTGGCATCTAGGACTCCATAAACCCCTGGCCACCTTTTGAAGACCGCGCCTCCGTTCATCGAAGAGGTCAACATGCCCTTACCCGGAGGACGCCTTGCGCTTGCCGGTGAATCTGGAAATTGCGAGGAAGCAAGGAATAACTCGAGAAGACAGTAACAGCGCTGCTACGGGTTTGCGTTCGTAAGTCGATCTAGTATCATGCTTGGATCTGCGGCAAAGTGTTTGTTATGCCGTTCTTGAGCTGGTTTCTTCTCCTCTTCCTCACTCATGATCGTATTTTATCTCTGAATGAGCTTGCTAGGCCCACAACGACCATCTGCGGAACGGTCGCTATGTATGCCTCGCTCTTTTGCTCGCATTACGGAATCTCTCGCCACACTGGCCACTTATGTCAGTCACTGCTCCAGCCCGTCGAGACAAGCGGATGAATACTCACAAAGTAGAACAGGAACGGAATCGGCACATAAGCCAAGCCGAGAAACCCCAGCAGGGAGCTCGCCCAATGGATGCCCAAGTTGTGGTACATCGCTGGCGCGAACAAGGGGAATCCGGCACCAAATGAGAATCGCATAAAGGCGGACCCAGCCATGACCGAGGGAATCTCCGTCGGGAACGCGTCGGGCAAATAGCTCAGAACGGCATTCACGATAACCAAGGCGCCGACCGCAAAGAAGCATGTTCCGATGATGGGCATGATCCTGCCGACGTTTCAGTTTCACAACAATGATCGAAGGCATCACAGCCTTACCAATGAATGTCCTTCTGCGCGCTCCAGCCAAACCAGAAGAGACAGATGGGAATGGTAGCCGCTGTGACCATAGCCGGTACGAGACGCTGCTCCGGCTTCGAGATCTGACCGCCTTCATCGAACATCCTGCGTTGTACTCCACGGTCATACCAGACGAATGGGGGAACGCACAAAAGTGCTCCGACCAGAAGGCCAAGGAAGGTCAAGCCGGTCTCGCCTGCATTAAACCCGTAGACTCCTTGGAACACCAGAGGGAATGAGGTGAACCAGATGAACAAGAGTCCAAAGATCAGTGCAGTCCATGTGTGGAGGAGGAAGACTAGGGGCTCAGTGAAGGTGAGGATCCAGGGGCGGATGATCGTGAGGTAGGCGACCTTCTTGACGGTGACGTTCTTGTATACGATCTCCCCCTCGCTCATGAGTTTGTCGTTGCCGGTCAGTTTGCGAAGTCGATGCGCTCGGCGGTAAAGAATGTTCTTCGAGTTGACCTCGGGCAAAAAGAAGAACAACATGACCAGGGCGATGCCGGAGATCCACATCAGCTCCCAGATGGTCCAGCGCCAGCCCTTGGCTTGGGCAGCGAAGCCTCCGATGAGGGGCCCCAACACAGGTCCGAAAATCTGTCTTGTCAGAACGTGTATGATCGAGGGTAGGGAGTTACCTACAGCTGCGACACCCCAGATGGCGATGGCTAGGCTTCGCTTGCGTGGCGTGAAGATTTCCGCAATTGACGCACCGCCAGTCGCGAGCGGCGGGGAGCCCAAAACGCCGGTAATGAATCGGAAGACGATAAGCATAGGGAGATTGACCGATAGAGCGACAGGTATCTGGAGCAAGACAAAGGCCAGAAGTGACCAGATATATATCGGCGTTCTCCCAACCGCAGGCGCTTCGCTAAGTGGTGCCAAGGTCATTGGTCCTATGTTAGAGTAAGCATAAATCTCACATCAAATGCAGGAGGGCAATGAGTCCGCTCTTACCCAAGCCAAAGCCCAACACGAAGACTGTCAACGGGAGAGTTGCGGGCACCTGGGCAATATTGAAGTCCTTCATTACGCTCACCACACCGGCTGTATAGACTGAAGATCCAACGTAGACGGCGAACGTCAAAAAGCACAACTCAAAGGTGATGGCGCACTTGGTAAAGTTTGACCAGTTGAGGGGATTCTTTCTAATGATTAGCCTCTCGCTCAGAAGGTACGGACGCAAACCTTACCTCTGGATCATCAGGGCCATACCAGCCCACGATAAGGGGATCCTTCCCTTTCTCGGCTAACTCTCCATCGCTGTTGTTGAGGGTACTGGCATCAGACGCTGGCACCTCGGGTGACGGCTTGTCTGAGAACTTGTGGTAGTGATCCGTGGTGAATGGCTTCAACAGAGCTGGGTTCTTGGTCTCTTCATGCGGCAATAACTTCCCCTTCGACAAGTACCGCAGCAGTCGGCCGAAGAAGGAGTCATGTATTAGTTGGGCCATGGTTGTCTGCCTGTGATTTCCTGGCTAGCTCGTATTCACGATCACTGGCGCAGTATTGGATATGGAATCCTGAACAGAGCAGCTGTCAGTGAACTATATAACAGGTGACGAAATATCATCATATCTCCTCTGTCCCGACTTAACGTCTCGGCCCACCAAAAGATCGGTCACAGTCTGAGGGCTTCCTGGAAGCGACCGGGATGGCCAATGTTCATGACGGAGTTTGCGAGTAGCGTTCTGGACCTGCCGCAGTCAAGCTACAGTCACAGCGCAAGCACCATGATGTCACTGAGAAGAATGCGGTAGTTTGGCTTGAGACTTGCTGGTGCTGGAGGTTCTGCCATGTACTCGGCCTTTGGGTTCGGTCGCCGAAGACCCTTGTAGAGGATCATTGTGAGGATTGTCGGTTGGCGGAGCTTTGCCAGCATTCACGTTGTCGAGGTCTCCATACTTGATCGCCGCGACAAACACAAATATGAAAGCGTCTGTGTACTCTAGATCAGTACGATTAGTCTAGTAGCGGTGTTCGAATGATATGCTGAAGGTTTTAAAGTGAACGCGTGGGTGACGCGACGAGGCTGCAAATTGACGTCATCGTTCAGCCTTATGGACAGAAGCACCGAACACAGATTGATGGAAAAGCACTCTTCCTCCTGCTCCTGTTATTGACGCTTCCTGCATCGAACGCTCGATCCCAATTCGCCTCATCACTGCAATCAGCGCTGACCTCCGCGCTGCCCTGCTTGAGCTGTTCTGTCTGGATATTTTCCGATCTCGGACCAGAGCTCCTATCTGACCGGATTGCCCTGAGACAAGTGGTATAGCTGCGCCTAGAGGAAGCATGATTCGGTACAGTACCATCAACACCTTCTTTCACCTGTGCGAAGTCATCTCCTTGCACACCAGCGGCTCCAGCAACATGGGCGGGATCAGCAGTATTTATCATCTCCAGCCGCAGCTAGGAGGCTTGGTTGCTGTTAATATTAGACTCTTAGTCAGCACGATATCAATCCCGACGACAAGGTGCCATGGTCAGCCCGAAGTCCCCCATCAGTGCTTATCCCGTGTTGCGACGTTTCCGTTGCGCTCCTGGACGTCCTCCTATTGATGCATTGCATGTCATCTTCCCTTCACCTGTGCACAGAACGCGCGTGCTTGTATCGTCCCCGTGCTGAACCTCGATCGAAAGTCCCTGCAGATAATCTCACGTACTCACCACAGGCCGAGAGCCGTACCGATAATCCTCCCGCAGCCTTAGTGCAGATATGTCACGCATTACACGCATCAATCCCAATCTAAAGCGCTCGCAGACCGAGGACTGGTTCCCCAAATCTCCCGATGGCGCATACACTGGCGAGAAAGTGCCGTTTCGAAACCGCCGCCGTGGGCCATCCACCACCACGATCGTCTTACTCCTGCTCCTTGTGCTTGCCGCTGGGGTGTTAGTATGGAAACACGAGCAAGCAGTCGATCTGGCCGCCGAGAACTACCAGAAATACACGGGCCAGGATCTCAAGAAGACGGATTTGTACAAGGTGATAGAAAAGGCGCAGAAGATCAAGTGGAAGAGGTCGGAGCTATAAGATGTGTGTCCCTTGGAGGTATGAGACAATTTTGGAAGGATCTGAACATTGTAAATAAGAGGTTGCGAGGTGAATAATACTGCAAAACCTCATCACCACTGTGCCTGTCGGGTGAATGCCGGGTTTTCGGTATCAGGAACGCAGAACACTTGCGCTGGTCAGGCTCTAAAGAGTGCCATTCTGCTACGGACCGAATATCGACAGGGGAGCGTACAAGGCGCCGTGTAGAAGCGGAGGTGAGAGTTCGATTCGGTCGATGGACGCCATCCATGCTAAACAACTCCAGGACCCAGAGAAGAGCGGTCCGCACAGTCGATATTCAATGCAGAATCTCATCCCGTATTCTTCGTTCCACCGTGTACTACAGTCTTGCGGAGAACGAATTTGCCAGCCGTTCACAGTCATGACTTACTGATCTCGCCAGAAGCATTGACGCCTCCAGGCTACGGTCGGATATAATCGAACCTGACTTGCTCTGCCATCGGACGGTTCACGCAAACCGCGTGTTTCGACGATGGTCGCATCAATATGCGAAGCTTCCTCACCTATATCCTGTGAACCACGTTGAGACACGCCCGCGTATCCGTGTCTCGTGCTACATCGATTTCAGCAAACCTTGCGCTATGCGCCACGAACCGTCGTTCGGCCAGCACCCGTGTCATATCCGTCGAAAAATTCGAATTTGGCGGATCCTTGCATCTTTTCGTCCACCCTCGATTTCTCATCATCGCAGCACAGATTCCCACCGGGGCGGGGACGAGACTGAGCTTGAGCGGATTTAAAGACCAGGAGGCAAGACTCTCCGCTGCTGTAAGTCAGGTTGGTCCTTCCTCCTGTGTCATCTCCTGGGGGCCAAGACGCGCAACCTCTTCACTCCTTTTTTTACCTTCTCATTCGAATCTCTCCAAGTCCGACTTTCAACGGTCGAACCCGAATTCCTCCTACTCCGGTAAGTGCAGTCCCTTCCAAGTGGCAGCTCATATCTCACTGTTCCGCCGTTAGGGTACATCACGAAGCCACTTTCCTTCCATCTGTGCCCCAGACACAGCATGAAGATACCCACCCTCTGCGCGGCGCTGTGCACGGCCATCCTCACAGGCGTCGGGATCGCCGACGCAGCCATAGTCGCCAGACTGGGCTTCATCCCGGGCCGACCTGGAGCCAACTGCGCCCAGAAGGACGTGACGTTGTACATCGACGTGAACACCAGCATGGTGAACCGAACGACCGATATCTTGGGCCCGAGCGGCCCGAGCGTCCAGTTCGGCACAGTGGCGCTCGAATACCTGGTTCCTGGGTGCGAACTTCTCCTCTGCAGTCAAGCGTCGTCTTGCGATTCCGATTCGGCGGTGCATGTGTATAAGCCAGTATGCTCCGTGACGTACAGCGATCGGGTGTATTGGGCCAGGTACGCTGTTCTTTGTGATGGCACTGAGCCAATGGAGTTGGAGGGGTAGTAGGAGGGGACTGGTGGAGGATAACCGGGCGCCCGGCTTCAATCCCCGGAGATCTTGCCTCAGTGGCGGAATCCCATCAACAGGGGCCATAATTAATGCCTGCAACAGTACTCCGTACTGTGTAGCTGATTGCCGAGCATGGTTCATGATGGGTGGGCGCTGAGGGACTTGCTTGGCGTGAATATTTTGTAAGGCTGCCAGCAAAGCACATCCTAATATCACTGCGTACTTCTGACCACTAAGATACTCGGTACACAGTTCTTGGACCAATTGTATCCCTTCCTGGAATGGACCAGCTAGATGCCCTGTATGTGGACCAATCCTATACCTGCTGGAGCTTGGACCAATTACATATCTTGCAGTGCAGCCAATTATATACACCCTAGAATTTACACCAATTGGATATCGAGAATGTCGGCCAATTATATACCTGCTTGACTAGAACCAATTAGATACCTGTCAGTCGGACCCAATTATATGCTTGTTGGAACTGAACCAATCAAATACATAACTATCGAGCCAATGGTATACTTGCCTGGGTTGAACCAATCAGGTTTGTGTTTTTCAAGCCAATTGAATACTTGCTGAGATGGAACCAATCAGATATGTGTTTTTCAAGCCAATTGAATACTTGCTGCGATGGAACCAATCAGCTACCCAAACCTGGACCTCTCAGTGCAAACTTCAACTGAGTTGAACCAACCAGATGCATACTTATCGAGCCAATTGTATACTTGCTGGGATGGAACCAATCGTATTCCCAATTGCTAGACCAATTGGGTCGGTGCAGAGGTGAGCGCCTCAACCACTTTGCTTGATAAAGCGGATTAGTACCTCAGAAGTGCCTTGATCCTATTCTCCGTCCATCTCATTTCAGCTCAGCTATGGGCAATCCAATGCTCGGTTGAAAGACGATTCACCAGAGTCTTATTAACACCTACCAATCTCTTGAGCCTTCCGGTCAATAACATCGAATGCCAGCCTCGCCGACACACCCCGCCCCGGGCTATTTCCCAGGCTTCCCGATGAGCCGGTGCCTTGAACAAGGCTGCAACCACGGCCAGCGTTGGGGTCGCGTAAGTGCTCACTGCTCGTACTCTGCTTTCACCACCCTCTCCGCTTCTATGCCCATGACTGAGACGCCTCCAACTGTCCAGCAGCCAGCCCGACGAGACAATCCTCACCACCAGTACGTGCTGGCACCAGCGACAAGCTATAAAACGCTCGAGACGTGGGCCATCCGCGTCACGGCATTGATCCTCGTTGTCCTCCCCATCTGGATGCTCAGCCCGCCGTCGGTAGCCAAGCAGGACCTCATCTTGACATCAATCCTCGTGGGCTGTTTCATGAGTCTGACTCTGTTCGTCCGACCAAACGAGGTCCAAATCCTGGCCGCCGCCACAGGGTATGTTCCCCATCTGAAACGGCATACATACCTGTTTCGCCGGTCGTGCTTCGTTTGCTAGCATTGGCTAACAACGTGTGATAGATTTGCCGCCGTGCTTGTGGCCTTGGTGCAACTTCGACAATCCGGTGGATGAGGCACCTCATGCATACCCTCTTCGCGTTGATCGGCATCATTGACAAGTGGACTGGGGGGTGCCCATCTGCAATAGCGGATGGGCTGCCTGATAAACTCGACTAGGCGCTCTGTGGGCGTATCGTGTCACAATAGGATATGTCCGTTTCTGAAACTGGGCTCGTTCCATCTCGTTGTTCGTAAATGCAAATAACGCTGAAGTGCCCCATACGGCATCAGCCAAATTAATCGCCGAGATGGAAGCAGTGGTAGAACAGCCCAGCCCAGTATATTGCTCGACTATCGCCAACGAGTGGACCTTGAAGCAAGAGGTTCTCCGGATGTGGTGATAACACTCAGTCCAATTTCCAGTGGATATAAAACCCCCAAGCGGATGTTTATTTCACTTCTTTACCCACATATTGTCGACGGGCCAGAGTCCGGGAAGTCCAGAAGGTGTTTCAATATCCCAGCAGAGCGAGGCGCGGGATACAGAGATGAATGCGATTCTCATGGTATTCACGCAGCTAGGTCAGACTGATGGATAAAGACTGTTGTTGCCTTCCTTCAAGTACAGCGCTGCTGAGTGTCCGTGAACGTGGGTCAAGATCCTAGAGCTTGGGCAATGTCTTGCACCTGCAAGGTGGGTTCGCAGGCGTAAAGTGCGCCGAGCGTAGGGTGGAAAAATGGGATCATTCGCTTGAGAGGAAAGTCGAGGCAATATTGGCCGTTTTACTTTGCGCAGACAGACGTTGGAATGACCAACACACTCCAGGGGATAAACCGAGACTCGGTAGTGGCGAGCATGCTGATGAGGAAGTTGGTAGGTAGTAGACAAATACCTTCTCAACCTGCGGATGAGGGGATAGAGTAGAATGTACGACTTTTTCAGGAGTCCGGCAACTGCCACTTCAAATGCTTAGGGGGCGGCGTGGCGTCCTCGACTACCAAAATAGGAGCGTTCCTTCCCATAACATTTGTTGGAGTGCTGATCAATACCGAGTCGATAGAGTCTTCTTCAATATTCGGATCAAAATCCGAAGACACGGGGGAATTCACCCCCGACAGGACCGGAGGACTAGTACTGGGTCGCTCGATTAGACTCGGGTCGAACTGGGGATCGCCTAGGATATTGCTGTCCTCCAGATTCTCGCCTTCTGAGGATGGGTCTCCATAGCTCACAGGTGTCGAGGGCGTATACAAGTCAATCGGACTGGTTGCATTTTCCGTAGAATCTTCTGACGGGAATCGACGATGGCCCTTCAGAATTCCCAGTCGTTTCCGCACCGCGCCTGTGGCATTAGAGCGGGACATCGGGGAACTCTGATTGGGAGTATCCGGGCTTGCAGCATTCAGAAAGCGAGTACTCGGAGACCTTGACAGAACGCTCTGCACCAAGGGTAGTTCAAGGTAGCTGTTCAGGTTGCCCTTTGAGAACAGCACCAGACCCAGGCACACGACAATGAGGATCAACTGCAAGAAGGAAACTCTCTTCTGGAAGATAATCTCGTCGGCAAGCACTCCAAGTCGGGCGTTGATGGCGATATTTTCTTGCTGATAGCGTTCTCGTTGCATATCCAGCTCAATAACCGTGGACTGCCACAACTGATCATATTGTTGCCGGAACTCTCTGAGCTCGTTCAGGACAGTCATATTCAGATATTCCAAGAACGAAGTGGTCTTTGCCAGCTGCCTTTGCTCAACCTTCTGAAAGGCATCGCGAAGAGCGCGAGATTGGTCTTCTATGTACTGAAGGGAGAGCGAAGAATTGGCCTCCAGCATCTGCAAGCGTTTCTGAACCGACTTGAAAAATGATTCTTGCATTGTAGGTGCAGGTTGAGTGGTCTGAGTAGAAGACACCGGAGTCCTGGTGCTGGTAGTAGGAGGAGTTAAGGATGAGGCGTTGTAGGATTTGGGGTCCGTCGCAATATCGGATTTAGGAGTCGCGCCTGTAGTATTCGACGCAACTGGCGTGACGTTGTCGATCGACGATGGCGAAACTGCCGCAATTGCAGAAGCAATAGAGCCGGTGGTCGATGTGCTTGCTGCGTTGCTGGAACCTTCGATGCTGTCTTGTATCTTGGGATCATCAGACATAATCGCGTCGTGTTCAAAAGCATTGCAAATGCCAAGTGTACTGCTCTGCGTCTTTGACTCAGTAAACAGTGGCACGAGCTGAGCAGGACAAGTAGGCACCGCAGTTTCCAGAGTCTCAACAGTCGAGGGTTGTGTGGTGATATCAGGTGTTGTTTGAGGTTGGAATGTTTCAGGAACAGCAAGAGCGTTCGCCTCAACGGTTTGAGCAACCGTCTCGCCAGCATCGGCTTGCGTTAACAGCTGCTCGGCGACGGCTTCTGGGATGAGACCATCTTCCGCTGAGGTGTCGACACTCTCTTCATTTGCCTTGTCATCCTCCTCCATTTGCAATACCTCCAGGTCACGCTTGTAGTCTTCGAGCATGGTGGTCCCGTGCACTCTGACGAGGCTGACCGGGCAGTAGAACTCATTCCCATAATGAGTGAGAAACTCGATACGCAAGTAGCGTGCCCAAATCACAGGATTTTCGATCAAGAATGCTTGGACCTCTCGAGAATTGCGAGCTTCAAAAGTACCGAGGGTCTTCCATTTGTCGGTCTTGACGGGATACTTGTCTGACACGCTGACACGGAAGGTCTGAAAGGTTGAGCTAAAGAATTCGAAGTTCGCCAGTACGATAGTGTCAATTGAGATGTCATTGCACAATTCCAAAATCAGAAACTTGTTCTGGGCTGAGCACTCATTGAGCATGTAAGAGTCTTTGTTCTCTCCCAGCACGGCAGACGGACTCTTTGCCTCGGAATTCCACTTCAAAACGTTTGCCGCGCAATCGAAAGAGGCATAGTTGAACCGTTCTTTGCAAGTTGTCCCGGCATCTTTGCTCCTTACGCCAGCCTTTGGAAGACGACCCGGCTCAAAATCGGCAGAGCCATCCCGGATGTCTTGGCTGGCTCGCGCCGGGCTCTGAGTTGGTGGTTCTAGGCCATCCGAGACGAAGCCGGAGAAGTCAAGGTCGATTTCGCCGTCGTCGCCAAGTGAATCAAGTGAGTCTCTCAGTCCAGCTGGTCGTTTTCGGGGTTCTCGACTATCAACTCCGGGACCTTTTCCTATATGTTCAGATTGACCGGCCTTCCTCAAGTTTTCTCGCTTCCAATCCTCGAACGACATGAACTTGCCATCATCCAGTGGAGAGTCTTCCTCCGTCTCACTCGGCATCGTATCTGATTGAACAGTAGGCGATTCGGGTTGGAACGAACTCCGACTCGGCTCCTGAGTAACGGCCGCCAGCGATGCAGGCTGATGGGAAGTGGACAAAGCTGCATCGGTAGCTGAACTCGTGGGTGAGCGGACGGTGCTGGGGCTCTCGGTCTCGGGTAAGATCGTGGAATCGAGGTCTGGGTTCGAGGAGCCGATAGACTCGGCCACCGTCGAGGTGACATTCGCCTTGCGCGAAGAAGCAAGACATTGTTGAGGAAGACTATGAGTAATGTAATTGACCGTGCGAAAAGGAGACGTAGATGGCGTTATCGAAGTCGTCGGCCTACTCGATGTGGCCGCGTGGACCAGTCCATGGCGAACGAAGGACAAGACAACTAGAGCCAAGGGTAAGAACCACATGGTGGACTCTGATGCCGAAGTGGTTGTTTATGAGACATTGGTGCTCGGAATGCCCGAGTCTCAGCTCTCGGCTGTTGCACTCGTCCGAGTGAACATGTATTTTCTGCAACCTGCGAAATGTGTATCAAGGGCACACGAGGCTGCGACTTGGACTTGTGAAGAACGCGCTTGTGTATGGGAAGGTTATCCGAGATCCTACAGTGATGTCATTGAGTTTCCGTCAGACACAACACTTAAGGGCAGATCCAGTCACTACGACTTCATTTTGTCCCTCAAACTGAGCCACGGTTGCATGGTTTGCCTGTCATGTCACTCCTTGGATGTATTTTCCTGCCGGCAGACCCATCAGCCCGTTCTTGATGAGACTGCCATGCCACATCCCTGAGCGTGATATTCATGCAATAAAGAGTAGTGTCCAGACAGTTCTGTCATAACGACGTTGACATGGACTCAAATCATCGCCGGGTGCTAGGAGTAAGAGTTCTGATAGAAGACGTCCTCAATGTTGCCGGAGCCGTTGCTCTATTGTACCGCGTCATCCATGGTGGCCAAGTTTTCGACAAGAAGAGGTCTGAGTTCCTCGATTGGTCCAGAGATCCCGTGCCGACACCCATACCATGTTCTCGATGTGCTCCGTTACCTCTAAGTTCGGGATTGATAAAGGCCGCCCGTTCTTACTCGGGTGTGGTGCTCTTTCCAGACACGAGACGGACGTGCAATAGTTTTGCATATCAAAACTCAGGCACAGAGTGCAGGAAGGGTGTAGAGTGTCGCCAACTATATTCAGCTTCACCAGTAGAGCACCAAGAGGGAGAAATAGAGAAGTCAGCATGCGGTCCGACGTTGCTTGTTCTTTGCGGTTCAAGCACCGTAGCCTTGATATTGTATATCTCAAATACCTACCTCGTTGTTTCCTGGACTCGGATTGAGCTGTCGACGGCCTCGGCACGGTCTGAGGTGTGTTAGGACAATCTCGAATCCGACCAGGACTTGCACATCCTAGTATTGCACCACTCTTTCTCTACGATTTCGCAAATGTACTCGTAGACGCGGACAGAAACGAACGCCGAGTCTGTTAATGCTCTCGGGCGTGGGGTAGGTGACAGAAGCATGTACTGGTAGCAAAATATTCCGACAAAGGACCAGTCTGGGTCGAGAATGACGACGGCTGATGGGGAACTCCCTCTGAACTCACCACAATAGGTAGCCATAAAGCTTGGTATAGTCGACGTTGCTGTCCAGCATTGAAAATCCGTCAAAATGGTCCGTAACATGCTGTTCCACTTACTGGGGTATTGTAGACTAAACTGTCCTTAGTATCGAGCCATGTCAAGTCCGAGCTGAGTGCCGCCAAGACTTCGGTGCCGGTGTCGCTTCTCCAAACTGCGAACCTCAAGTTCCAATGAGGTAGACATCATTTCATCCTGCGTCGAGCTTCAGCACTCTTCCCTCTTGATACACCCACGTCGATCGCCCAGTAGTCATGTCGACCATCACACGTACCTTGCGCAACATCTGGCGGGTGGGTCTGAAGGAGTATGGTCACCAGATACAGTATATTGTGCGTTGAAAGGTGCGAAGAACATGCGCAACAGGTCATTCTGACGGGTTTCTTAGGGCGACACGAAAGCCGGTACGCTCGTGGGCATGGATCGATGCGGCAACAAATACTACGAGAACATGGCGGAGGAGCTTCCCCTGCGAACTAGATGGGTATGAAGCTTCGGACCGTTTGATGCAACGAGCACAGAGCTAAGAGACGTCGCAGGTCGACTACAAAGATAAGGAGTTCGACGCGAGCCAAATAGAACCAGGCTGGCACGCATGGATGAGCTACCTGGTCGACAAGCCACCTGGGGAGGATAGGATCTTGGACATTGGAATCCGGCCGTGGGAAAGCAAGGAGCCAAAGATCAACATGACACTGAGCAGAGCCGCGTACCGACCATACTCGACGTATGTGGCACTGATATACCCGTAATCCTGTGTTGGAAGGTATAAATTGACTCATCTGCAGGACGAAACCGAAATACTCGGCCTGGGATCCGGTCGCGAAACCCAGAGACGGGTCAACTCCATTCGCACAACGAGATATCCGCGAAGGAGGAGAATTCGAGCCCAAGGCTCCTGTGTCAGCTTCGTGATGGCGACCCATCCGAATCACTGTACAGATGCATAACGAGGAGTTCAGGGAGGTCTCAATCAAGCAGAAATCGGTCTGTCATTGCAAGATGGGTGGGGTATCACTGGCATATGCTCCATATATCAACAACGGATTCCTAACGCCGTCATTTTGCCCCTTTCATGTCTTTGTCGTGCGCTGGTAAATCCTCGCAGGCCCCAGCTCTGCCCGCACTTCATCTAGCTGCTGGAGCCCGAATTTCTCATTCCCATTCTTGCCTCGCTTGGCCTTGGCTCCTCTGCGTTTTCCACCACCAGGGTTGGCTTTATTCCAGTCACCAAGAAAGCCATCCATCATGCTGTCGAAATCTTCTCTGACCGCGCCTTCGTCCGCAAAGCTGGTGGTTGAGAGCTGTGACATCTTCGACATCTTTGACGCACCAGTCATCCCTGTCATGCCGGACGCTAACGACATGCCGCCATCAGCGTCATCGAACTCTTCCCCCTCGTCCAGGGAGTACATCTTCTCCACTTGATCGAATCGAGCGTCCAGCAACTGCTGACCAGCCGTTCTAGCTAGTGACGACGACGTCATGGAGTAGGCACTGGGGTTCGTGAGGGCGCCTTTCCGCTTCTTCTGGCGCAAAGGAGTGCCGTTCAATGTGTACAGCGAGGGGGCCTTGTCCTGGATTGCTGAGGCGGCCATGATCGACTCGGCGGCTTTTGGAGGCGCTTTCCGAGCATTGTCGCGCTTGAACTTGGCGAAGTCGCGCAGCCAGTCTCCGTCTGCTGCGACGGCTGCTTCTGCGTCCGGTGCTGGCAGTGCCGACACCTGATCTGCGCCCTCTAGGGCTGGGATGGGTGCGGGAAGCTTCAGTTGCAAGGGCTGTTCGGATGCTTTCTCTGTCACGTCTGACTCCCAGCCTTCGTCGTCCTCGTCGTAGGTTGCCGTGAACTCGTCAAGGTCAAGTTCGCCGTTTCGACCTTCCTGAGCAAGGGCACCGAAGATATCTTCCTCGTCTTTCTCGTCCACATATGCGTCATCGTCGAGAGCCTCCAGGACTTCTCGGAGCCGTGGATCCATATCAGGTTGGAACCCGGCGATTTCATCAGGCACATCCTGCTGATTCTGATACGTCCTCGGCCTCGTTGCAGTGGAAAAGGTGGAAAACATCTCACTGCCCGCCACACTCTGATCATCATCGACCGACAATTCTCTTAAGGCATCCTCCAATTTCATCGTCTTCGCTTTCCCTTTCCCGCTGCCTTGTACTTTGACCGGCACAGCTTCCACAAACTGCGCCTCTATCCCACCATCGCCAATATCCCGCAAATGTTGCATATAGTCGTACTTTGTGTCGTCGAAGTAGATGCCGTACTCTGCCGCCTCGCCCTCATTCTCTCGCATATCCTCAAAGTCAAGGTCATCTTCAAGGTCTTTCAGGTGTAGGCCTTCTTTCAGCTCGGGCTTATGCTGTGAAGAGGACCCAGGTCCGGAGATCTGGTACAGTGCCCGTTCACCGGCAGTTTCATCGTGAAGGGCCTCATCGGTTTGTGGGCGGTAGAGGAGATGGAATGTTTGTGCGCTCTTCTTGTCGCTATCGACATGTCAGTCTTCGAACCGGGCAAACACGAATTGCTGCTTACATCCACCGACCACGCGGCATTGTGACTGCTGGTCTATCCTTCGAGGTGCCCAGGTGGTAGACGAGCGAGTGGCTACTCTTCTGGCAGTTGTCCCCCACAAGGCAAAGTGAATTTCTAAGAGCCCAGGAAATTTCGCGCGGTGCGGGGCGAATACAATTCGTGCAAATGACGCAGATTCGCATGCCACTTAATGATTCCCTTGCCTCCCTCACTTTGCCAACACTCGACCTACAATTCTCTATCCTCCCTGTGCTGTCGTGCCACCTAGCTCCTGCACAATACCGCCACCATGGTCCTCCCCAAGAGCAAAAACAGCGTCGGCCTAGGGAACAGTCTCATGAACGACCGCTTTGGTCGGGGCAAAGGCAGCGACCGTAAAAAGGTCTCCCAACAAGGTGTGGTACGAACCGACCATACAACAGGCCAAACCTACGTGACCAACGCCGCCAAAGAGGCATCATGGGTGAAAATGCGCAGCGTCACGGAACAAGGCGCCCTCGACGAATTCTTGTCCACCGCGGAACTGGCAGGCACGGATTTCACCGCGGAGAAGATGAACAACGTCAAAATAATACATTCAGACCAGCGCAATCCGTATCTGTTGAGTGCAGGCGAGGAGAGGGGAGTGAGGAGGAAACATGCGCAGAACAAGGGCCGACTGACGGTGCCGAGGCGGCCGAAGTGGGATGAGTCGACTACACCGCAGCAGCTGGATGAGCAAGAGAAGGCGAGTCTGCTGGATTGGAGGAGAGGGTTGGCCGAGCTGCAAGAGAATGACGATCTGCTCATGACGCCCTTTGAGAGGAATATCGAGGTGTGGCGGCAGCTGTGGCGGGTCATCGAGCGGTCGGATCTGGTGGTTCAGATCGTGGACGCGAGGAACCCGTTACTGTTTCGAAGTGAAGATCTGGAGAAATATGTCAAAGAAGTTGACCCGAAGAAGAGGAATCTGTTGCTGGTCAACAAGGCAGATATGATGACCGAGGAGCAAAGAAGAGCATGGGCTGACTACTTCCGCGAGCAAGGGATAAACTACAAGTTCTTTTCGGCTCACTTGGCTAGGGAGATGAATGAGGGGAGAGATGCGCTTGAGGAGCTTGATGCCCGGCAGATCCAACAGCAGATTGACCGGAACATGCCAGAGAAAACAATGGTTGAGAACGTCCAGAACCTGAATCTGAAGGACCAAGAAGGCGAAGATTGGACAGACGAAGACGACGAAGAAGACTCGGAAGAAGACGATGGTGATGACGAGGAAGGTTCAGAAGATCAAGAACCGTCAGAACCCTTGACTCCGCAACTCTCGCCATCATCATCTTCTTCAGCAGACACACGGATTCTTACAGTCGACGAACTGGAGAGCCTGTTCCTCGAAAATATAACAGCAGACGCAACAGCAGAGCGAAAGACAACGATAGGCCTTGTCGGATATCCCAACGTCGGCAAATCCTCCACTATCAACGCTCTATTAGGTGCCAAGAAGGTCTCCGTCTCTTCTACCCCCGGCAAGACGAAACACTTTCAGACGCTCCATCTCTCCGATCAAGTCATCCTATGTGATTGTCCCGGTCTCGTGTTTCCGAACTTTGCAACGACAAAAGCAGAATTGGTCTGCAACGGCGTCTTACCCATCGATCAGCTCCGCGAATACACTGGGCCCGCGGGCCTAGTTGCCTCAAGGATACCTCAAGCCTTCCTAGAGAACGTCTACGGCATGAAGATTCAGACGCGCCCCATCGAGGAAGGCGGTACGGGGACCCCAACGGCCAGCGAAATGCTAAGAGCATATGCCAAAGCGAGGGGTTTCAATACGCAAGGCGCCGGCTCCCAACCCGACGAGAGTCGTGCAGCTCGTTACATCCTGAAAGACTACGTGAGCGGAAAACTCCTTTATTGTCATCCGCCGCCCGTCAAGGACACAGACACGGACGTCGAGGCCTACGGACACGAGTTCAATGAGAAGCTGTACGACTTCGCGCACCTCCCTGCCAAGAGACAAGCCTGGCTGATCGCACACTCTGACGAAAGCACGCTCGACTCCGAATCTTCGTCCCTGCCGGTCAAGACACTCGAGACGGGCCCCCGCTCCCGGCAACTCGACAAGACATATTTCAGTCCTAGCTCGGGCAACGCAGGCCACATCAAGGCCACACCGTTCAACCACCAGTATACCGAGCAAGGGAAACAGCAAGCGCCGCAGAAGAAGCAGTTGACCGGGCGGAAGGCCAAAGCGATGGCCGCGCTCGAGAAGGGTATCGATCCAAGTGATCTGAAAATGAATGATAAGAAACACTTCAAGGGCGCGAGGAGGAAGGCCCGGAACGCGAGGACCGCGGATGATGAGTGAATGACTGGACAACCGATACTACTGCATAAGTGGCTATTTAGAACAATGAGTGAGAGCCTCGCGGTGCTGCTTGACCGAAGTGCGCCTTTTCCCCGTACATACACAGTACCCCAATCACCGTAAATGCTATGTCAATGTTTCCACGGATAGACTTTGTGTCCCAGGACATGGGAATCCTGCCGGACAGTTGTGCTTATTGATGGTTCTTTGCCCAACATTCCGAGGCAGCAACTGGAAATGTGATCCTAGACCGGCGCAAACGTACTTTGATACGCAATTAAAGTATGCGTTGTGTTATTGAACTCCTTATCCCACAACGCAGCAACTCATGAGCTTGGAGCCGTTGCGCTGTACACAGTATACTTGGGGAATTGGACTGAGCTAGGACCTTCACTCCGACAAGCCCCCTGCAACGCTGCACATCAACAGCGTTCATGGTGATGGCAATGTCCCCACGTTTTTGTTGAGCCTGGACCAACAGGATCAGGTCTGCATGGTGCTTCGAGCCTTTTCGCCCATTTCGACACCAGCGCGCCGTGACAGCAATACATGTGTACCTTGGCACGGCCTGAGAGTTCTCATCTGACGAGAGAAATCGGCGCTGGTTCAGCTTTGAGACTGCTCACGCCTCGGTTCGGAGGTACTGTAGCTGCAATGTTGCGCTCCGGGTGTCGGGCGGCCCGTGACATGTCACATCTTGTCCATTGAGCGTGGGTCTTGTGCTAATCACCGATTTCGTGCCATGCCATGCCATGCCATCCAATCCCATCAGGTCGGTGTGCTCAATCCCCTAGACTGCTCCCGAACCGATCGACGAAGAATTCTCCCACCCGCTGCACCTCCTGGCGGTCACTCTCGCTCGACCTCTTCTCCGTCGGGAGCTTCCAGTTATTCACCCCCCACCACCACTTGCGGACCTTCGCCCCGATGCTCCGTCCTTGAAATTTACTCCCGCGGTTCCAATGCCTCCACCCGAACATCACCAGGTTCCACAGTACTCCCTGGGTCAGCGGTAGAATCACTTGATCTCGAATCGTAATGAATGCGACTTTCCAGTTGCTGTCCGCGTTCTTGATCGACGCGAGGTACGATTGTTCGAAGCGGAAGTCGGGGATCGGTGGGAAGGAACGAGCGCGTCGTCTGGGCCGGAGTATGTCGCTGGGGACGGTGGAGGCGTCGGACGCCAGGGAATTTGAGCGGGAATGCAGTGGTGAGATGGGTTCAACCTCGCCGGGGGTTTTCTTGGACGCCGCGGTGGAGGGGTTGATGTCGTAAGTTGGATCAGGGCGGCGTTTGATGCTGGCGGATTGGATAGTGGAGGCAATCTCCGCCGCTGGATTGGACGCCATTGTGGTAGATGTGGTGAGGGAGAAGAGGTGTGAGGGTGAGGGTGAGGATGGGAGGGTGTAATGATGCTCGGCTGCTGTAAGTAGAATGCACCGGCCTGACCAGCCCGGTGTCTTGCTCTCAGCCTTGCCGTGCTTGGTGCTTGCGGAGCCTCGGAGCTCTGCTCCACGTGACCTCGTGCCCGGAAAATCTCCGGCTAAACTTGGTCAAACCCCCACCATTGAACGGCGCTCACGACGAGAGTCGACTCTCCACACTGACCTCAGTTTCTTCCTGTTGACGACTTTTCCTCACAATCAGCGTCCCTAACGACCTGAGTCCTCTCTCGCTTCACGAACACCATTCCAAACCGCTCTTATCAGGCATCGTACCCTACCACTGCCCAGCAACCATGGCGACCAAGTCCTTCAAGCTTCTCTGCTTGGAGAATCCCCTCCTCGACATCCAAGGTGTAGGGTACGTTCAACAATCACGCCCATGTCACCTGTCCACACTGTTGACCTTTCGCTACCTATCCCCCTTCTCTATACATCACCCTCGAGAATCTGACCAATACCTAAATGTAGAGACCACGAAATGCTCCAGAAATACGGCCTCAAACTCGACGACACCCTCCTGGCCGAGCCCCACCAAATGGACCTCTACGACGACCTGATCCAGAACCGCAACGCCAAATTGATCCCTGGTGGCGCCGCGCAGAACACCGCCCGCGGCGCACAGTACATGTTACCCGCGGACAGTGTGTGGTATGTCGGCAGCGTGGGAGACGACGAATACGCCAGAATACTGCGCGAGAAGTGCAAGGAGCAAGGTACGTATAACATCCGACGGCCGCCTCCTTGGGCAGAAATCGCACCACGTCACCTTTGAAGCTAGGGAACATTGACACTTTAAAATAGGGCTACACGTCGAATACCACGTCGAGGCCTCCGTCCCGACGGGGAAATGCGGCGTCATCATCACGGACCACCACCGCACCATGTGCACGCACCTGGCGGCCGCGAACGAGTACAAGCTCTCGCACCTGCAATCTCCGGAGATCTGGTCCCTCGTGGAGGCCACGCAGACATTCTACGTCGGCGGCTACCACCTGACCGTGTGCCCTCCCGCGGCCATGGCGCTGGCGAAACACGCCGCCGAGAACAACAAGATCTTCATGCTGTCTCTGTCGGCGGGGTTCATTCCGCAGTTCTTCAAGGATCCCCTCGCCGAGATCCTGCCCTACTGCGACTTCGTCTTCGGCAATGAGAACGAAGCGTCGACGTGGGCCGAGACACAGGGCCACAAGGGCATCAGCATGGCCGAGTGCGCCAAGCTCATGGCCCGGTCGCCCAAGGTGAACGCCAAGAGGCCGAGAGTCGTCATCGTGACCCAGGGCACCGATCCGACCATCGTCGCCGTGCACGACAGCGCCAAAGGCGACCAAGTCGAGGTGAAGGAGTACTCCGTCCCGGTGATTGACAAGGACAAGATCAACGACACGAACGGCGCGGGCGATGCCTTTGCAGGTGGATTCTGCGCCGGTGTCGTGAATGGCGATAGTCTCGAGGAGTGTATCAAGAAGGGCCATTGGTTGGCGCGGTTGAGTTTGCAGGAGTTGGGGCCTTCGTGAGTTTCTCGCCCGTCCTCTTGTCCCGAGTTTCGTGTGGGGATCGCTAACCGAGACGGTGGTTGTGCAGATACCCATGGCCGAAGCAGACGTACAAAGGCAGTGAAGCTTAGATGGACGTTTGTTGCAAAGAGCATTATAGCATGAAAGACGGCGTTCGGGCTTAGAAAGAGAAGAACGAGAAGAAGAAAAGTGTACATCTATGAGGGCGCATGGGTAACGGTCATTCAACAAGACCACTGGGGTAATGGCATGCACGATACCAATGTCCTCCACGACTTAAACGGTTCATATTGACACCTAAAAAGGATATAAATCCTGGAAATTGATAGAGAGCGACGGCAGTTGCGCCAGAAATGAGGGAGAGAAAGGCTACTCGATGGCTGGCCCTGATAAAGGTGTCCCGCCTCGACTGTGAAAAGAATTCAATCCGATGCCATAGCTTTTGAGTTCCACACCTGGTAACGAGCGACAGACATTGCATTTGGTCAAGCTGCAGATAGACGACGCAAGATCAGCCATGTGGCTCGGCTGAGAATGCCCGGAACTTTTGACGAATTGCTCGTTGATGAGAATCGTGGTATTGCCGTGTCATGCAACGGCAGCCTGGCAGAGCCGGGTTCGGATCACTCGCGCAACGGCGACGACCAATGAAGATGCACTTCTCTTGGATCTAGGCCTCGCATTCGCCTGGTCAGCTGCATCTGATAAAGTTGGCCAGGGCCTATCTTGAGCGAAAGGTCCAGTGGAACTTTTGGCGAGTGAAGAGCCATGGGCGCAAATGACCGTGTCAGCAGCCATGACCCGGAGACACTTAGCTCGGTGGACCCGATGATTCTATCGCAGAGAAGTATGTAAAGTGCTTGATGCCCATTGATTGTGGGCGGTCACCCGGGTTGACTACTGTTCGGAGTGCGACTACTCCTTGGCCGTGATTCGCCAATAGCACCATAAGGAGACGCATTGGTATGTTTCGTAGGTACGGGAGTCTGGTGGAGAGGCACCGCACTGATAAATGGGCTTTGCCAAGGCGAGGACGGAGGCTGTATTTGGTCGTGGGCTCGGATCCAGGATGTGAGATTGGTCGGCGTGTCATAATGGCTCGACATCGTTGGCTGAAACGAAGATTGAGGGGACGTTCTCGTCTGGATTTCCTCTTGCAAGTGCACAAGATTCGTATGGAACTCCGCAGAGCTGTTCAGATTTTGAGGCACCGAAGGTGGGTGCGTAAACCGATGAGCACTGCTTGGCCGGGGAGATGACTCGGGTGTTTCCCCTGGTCGCGGCGCAAACGGAGTATTCCAGATAGATGGCAGCGGTGCAATGTTGATAGCCTGGGCTCTCGGACTAGGTTGCGAGGCGCTTGACGACGAGTGCTGCATCCGCTGCACGAGATCCCGTGCAGTGACTGTAGCAGGCTGCGATGGTGGATTTCCCCAATCCGCGAATGTTTGCGCCAAAGGCGTCTTCATTGGAGCTGCGGAGAAATCGTGTGCAATGCTTGAACGGTTGCTCTCCCGCGAAGGAACACCAGGGCGGGTTAAGTCATCGACCATGTTCTCCATGCGGGAAGCCATTGACCCTTCGGCATCAGGAACAATTTCATGTTGACTGGGAACTTGACGAACGATTCCACCATTCATGATCGCGTACTCGGTATTGGCACTTGATACGCTTGCCTGCCGACCAGCAAAAGCCTCAGCAGCTGAGGCGCCCGGTGCTTTCTCAGCTTGCGCAGGCCTATCTTCATCACCAAGATAGACGAAGCGCTTACCGGCGAACGTCAGAGGCACGGGGAGAGAATGGAACTCAACCTTGTCATGTCAGCACCCTTGTGACGGACGAGAGATGCAACTCACACTCTTGAATAGAAACATGGCGTCTCGAATGAATTCCTTGATGCGGAAAAGCATCTCATTGTTAGGAATCGCAGTGCCAAAGCTTGCTTCGGTATAAATTGGTTTGAATTGGCTCGATCGACGAAACCGCTTGTCCCTAACGAACTGGCTAAAAGCAGAAAAACCAAGAGTCTCTGCGTCTTCTTTCAGCAGATATTCAATCTCTGCGTCGCTGGGTGGGAACAACTGCAGCAGCAGGTTAAGTGCTCCGACATACAGACGCCACAGCTGCTGCATCTGGGAAGCGAGCCCCAAATTCGCCAGAAGGTACTGAACGGTGGTAAGCAGCCAGCCGCTGTATAGCCTCAAATGCGAGAGGGTCCGTCGCGTGACTGGAGGAACTTCAGCCAGAGGATTGGTTGCAGGAAGGTCAACATTTTCCGTAAGTTGCTGAAGCTCATCAAGCACAAGTTTGAGAAGCAAAGAGAATGTTTTTACGTTGAATGACTGAAGAATTTCAAAAGAGCGAAACGCTGACGGGTCGCCTGCTCCTTTAATCAGCCAAAAGAGATTACTGGACGATGGGAAGGTTGCACATACCGTCCACCTTTTCCGCAGCTGATTTCTCCGCGGCGATGTTGATCAAGGAGAACTTCCTGAGAATGGTAGCCTCAGGCTGCTGCCGAATTTGATCAGCAATGAGCCGGAGGATCTCCATTTGCTGCTCTTCCTGTTCGGAGGGGTTCTCTTCCCAACAGCGGGCATGAAACAAAAGGAACCGTTCATAGAGGTAAGGATTGCCCTTGAACACATCGGAATTCTCGGCGATTGCTTTTCCCTGGTTCGCCTTGACGCGGAGTTTCTTGAACTCGAGCTCCAGGTTTCCTCGGGCTTGAGGAAATGGCATTTCCACGCACATTGCCTGGTACAAGTGGTAGACAGCTCGTAAGTGATCTTGGTCACTGAGAGCTATGACAGCCAGTTGATTGTACGCTCTGCCGTCTGCGGGCTTGAGAACGGCAGCCTTGTTGTAATACCCTACAGCGGGACCCCAGTTGCGCAAGTGTGTTTTCAGCTCGGTCTCTCGATATCTGGAGAGGTCGCCGCACTGCACCAGGGCTGAATAACACGAATCAACGAGCTTTGTTTTGAGCACGGCGTCCACGGGCTGCGGCGTGTCTGCTGAAAGCGCTGTCATGTATTAGCGAGGGGCCAGCAACGTGTCAGGTCGATTCATACTATCCAGCTCCATGCCATAGGCCAAGGTGAGGATCTCCGGAATACCCTTGAAATTCGAGGCAAGACGCTGAATGTAACCTCGATAGAATGCTTGGCTGGATTTGATGAACAGCAGGTAAAGTTTCTCAGCTTTCCGGCGTTCGACCTTCAATTTCTGGCCATCTGCCTCTCGAAATCTTGCCATGAGCGGTCTGAATCTCGAGTTTACCTTGGAATGCGCGGCCCACAAACGCGCTTCCACTTGCTTCTTCGCCGCAGCCGCGAAATCGAGGAAGATGTAGTCTTGACATGCTGCGCGGAACCTAGGGGGGTGAGCAGACGATTCGCTCGAGGAAGAGATAGGCTCACTTTGCGAGCAGCGGTTCCAAGTTCTCGTGCTTGGTGTCTGGGCGGGACAGGGCGAGTGTAATATCGTTCTCTGCACGATCTACATTTCTGCAACGCTCGGATTAGAAGGCGGCTAAGTGTACCTGAGCCCGGGACCGTACTTGGATGCCCGGAGGGCGATGTCTTCCATGATGGTATTGAGGCAAGCAAACAGGTCATCCCGACCGTCCTTGCTGGTCAAGATGAATGTCCGGCGGGGTTCGACCACAGCTGAGGATTGCGCTCCATTGATACCTTCTCTCGACTTCTTGGAGTCGAGATGGCAGTTGTAGGCACGTACGGAGACGACAATTGTAGGCAGCGTAGTTTGTCTCTTGATTTGATCACACCGTCAAAGGAATGGAAAGCGCAGGGAATCGACGCGAACAAGTGGGGAGGATCACGGCTACGGCGGATCAGGCGGCAACAGCCACAATCTCGTTTTCTCACGGCTCAATTTCATTTGAAAGCCACGGTCTCTTAACTTGTCTATACGGTCTGTTGCCTGGGCCGAGAAGCACGCACTATGGCGCAACCATCGTCGACACGCCTGTTAAGAACATGGCGGCTACTGAACAACTCATCTATCTGCAACCGATGTCTTTATTCGCGACGAACCATAGCTACTCAAGCAGCGGTAGCAGAACAGCCATATGCAGAGCTTGAACAGGACTCGTCTCTCGTACCAGTCCAGAACCTCCATCCTAAAGCCCAGAGTTTTGATCCCCTGGCATTCCCGAAATCGAGGAAACGACAACTTCCTCCCAGCAGGTAGAGGCAATGCTCCCGCGTTGACGACAACGCGCTCACACTGAACAGGTATCGATTTCGAAGTCCCAGATATGATCGTGGTCCTATGCATCCTCATCAACCTTTACATCCTTCAGATCCTGCAAGCCGAGAATTCGTTCCTGGACCCTTCTCCTCCCCACGAGTTGAGCTTGCGTACCACAACATCATCGCGCCTGATTTCATGACAATGTGCTACCAACATACACCTCCCGGCTTCAGACCAGCGGAGAAGGGACCTCGTTTACGTTCTTGGGAGGGAGATAACCCGTACTTTACCAACAGACAACTGCGAGGACCCCGTGGTGGAGACGTCCTGCGACTGTTGAGAAAACCCATCACTTTTCGCAACGTACCAATGGTCGAACGAGTTACGGTACATGCCTATTGCAAAGGCGCACTCAAAGGAGGTTCAGGCTACCTCCACGTTGCTGGCATGATTTTGCAGGCAATCACGAACTATAGGGTCGAGATACACCGGGCCAGAAACAACGAGCAGACCTGGGGTTTGATCAAAGGTCGGCCAGTCAGCATGACCGTGGATCTGAAGGGCGAGGACATGTATCATTTCCTGGGCAAGCTGATCAATGTCGTCTTGCCGCGTATCAAGGACTGGAATGGTGTCAGAGCCACAACAGGCGACAACAGTGGTAATCTGTCTTTCGGTCTGAATCCAGATGTGGTTGCTGGCTTTCCCGAGATCGAGATCAACTACGACGCCTACCCGACCAAGATGATCCCGGTAAGTTCGAATATTTCGAGACTGTTATATCGGGGACGTGCTAACGACTTTCCGGCTAGGGTTTGTACATTACTATTCACACCACTGCCAACCAGGACAAAGATGCGAGGCTACTCCTCCAGCAACTCGGCATTCCCTTCTATGGCAAGATTGTTGATTAGAGAATTTCATCTGGTCGTGCTTACGGACGCCAAGGTCTTGGGGAGTGATCACGGACTCGATCCTGGACCACCATTTCTGCAATGTGCTACACAGCTCATAGGCTCCAGCCTGTGCTGCACTCGGCCATTCCAGGCGGCGCGGGAGATCATTGAGCCTTATTTGAGCTGGTAGCATGGACTTGTTCTACCACGTTTTCAGGCGCCTTGAGCAATCTCCTCGCTTCCTTGGTTCAAGGAGACTACGATTCAGAGCACCTTTGCGACTGATCTATGATCACTTGGAGTTGGAAACCCCGAAAATAGATCATCTTTGCTAGGAGGCTTGCGGACCTCTCAGACACGACGCGGCTCATTCTCTGGGAAGAGCGAGTATAGATGCGTGGCGTACGCTCGTCGCGCCGTCCATGATGCAATTACTGAAACGTGGAACAAGCTCGGTGTCAGAAGATGAGGCGATAGGTGCGTGTTGTCAGGTCGGAAGAATTTGTACTATACTCCGTATGGACGGCAGAATCTATCACGCATAAAGGAATGATCGAGCGAGTTCATACTAAACTCCATCCCATGCTAGCCCTGACACAGAACTAGACATTCATTATGCGCTTCCGATACGAGCGCAGAAACGACACCGCTGTGTAAGGGAAGGAGATATATCTTTTTTCGATTGGAGTGATATTCGATTCTGGTGCCGTAACGAATCATCTTTTCTGTCGTCCCTGACGGCGAAGCACTTTCGGTACCAAGCCGGGCAAGAACCCTTTTGTAATGGAAATCCGATACCATTTCGTCAGGATCCCCAATGCCAGTCATTCCCGTAGACGCGTGCATGGATACAGGCGAGGCTAGTCGCATGGCGACGACCCGTCCAGTATCGATGCACTCTATGGCCAGGTAAAATGCCTCCCTTCGCTGGTCACCTCACACTCACGCGCTCCGCAAATGCGGGATTCGCCCCTAGCACCTCCACCACCCTGAACCATCGCGACCGTGCCCATCTGCACACACTTATCTTGTCGTGGCCTTGACCTTGGACGGCGCGCCCTTGGCTCCCTGCTTACTCGTGATCTGGCCCCTCGAGGCGTTGGCCGCGCTCTTCGCCTTCTCGGCCTTCTTCTTGCTCTCGCTGGCGGCTTTCTTCTCCTTGGCGTCCTTGATGGCGGCTTGTCGGGCAGCGGCTCTGGCCTCGGGACGCTGGGAGCGGCGCTCCTTGATGACGTCGAGGGACGCTCCGACGATGGCGCGCTGGTGCTTGACGGTGCGGCGGGTGCGCTTCTTGGCGACTTCCTGTGTACGGGAAAAGGGGAAGTCAGTGGATTTGGTGGAACGCAGAGGAAAGGAAGGTTTCGTTGTTCATGTTCTTCTTCTTCGGCATCCTCCTCCTCTCAGATTTTTTCGGTGTAGGACACTGTCCGATGATCGCCTCGCTTGTCTTTGTGTCTTATAAAGATGATGCAAGTGTATGGAAAACAAGCGCGACTAACCTCTGAGATACCCTTCTTGTGCATTCGGCGGTAGAGGATGGTCCAGGCTATTCTGCGGGGGTTCTTGCGCTGCAAGAAGAGAGACTCGGTCTTGCCATTCTGGAATCGGAAGATCTTGCTGTCGCCACGGACGTAGAGCTTGCCCTGTATATCGCCGGAGAGAAATGTCAGCCACCGGCGCTCAATCATCTGGGGTGCTGCAAATTCGTCCGGTCGCTCTTATCGTCAAGACGTCGCGCTTGGGCGCGCGGCTGGGGTGAAATGACTGACCTTGCCCGGGTAGATTTTGGTGCCGCTGAAGGTATCGTCGTAGGTGCGCATCTTGACGGTCCACTGATGCTGTACCTAGTTGTCGAGGTGTTTGTTGAGGTTGGATTGAAATCGAAAGACGGCGTTCGATCGTCACTGCGGCCGAAGTCGATTTCTGTGGGCTTAGCTAAGCCTCGCCAAGAGATGTACGGCTGCGCATTATGGAAACCTGGCACTAACTACGGTGGAGCGCAAGCAGCCGTTGCGCAAGCCCCTTTTCTTCGAGCATGCTTAATTACCAAGATCATTTTCTGTTGGTTTCGCTGTGGTCCCATGGCTATCTGTGGCTGCATTTCTCGAGCCAATGGCCTGCCTAATCCCGATGATACCTTCTCCCTTTGGGCTACTGGTACTCTGTCGCATGAGTCATCTCAGCTCGTCATTTCTCCAAGAAAGCGTGTCTGTTCTGTGTGTTCCAATTTCAATGCAGCTCTTATGCCTTCCAACGCCTGGCTATGATTTTTGCAGTTTTCCGTGAATCGGTTCCTTGAAAAGCTCACAGGGCACATCGATTCATATCCTCATCGTGCCACAAGCAGTCGTTCCATGGGTCCTTTTTGCACTTTTGACATTGGATATCCTTGCAGATGGGCTGGGGGCATTCACCACAGCAATCTGGACAGACCATCTTGCCACAACCAACCTCGTCGCCCTTGGTGCACTGCAGGAAAGTGGGAGCTTCTTGGCCGTAAGGGAACAAGAAAGCGATCTGAAGAAGTCTCTCTTCTGCGATTTTGAGGGATTCAGGGTTGTCCTTGCGTATCTTCATGGCAAGTGCGGCGGCTCTGTAAGCGCAGCAGGCACGACCGCAAACGGCGCAGCATTGTTCGAGGCAAGTCGTGCACTTGAGGTTGCGAGAGTGCCACGCGCGACTAGTGTTGGGGTGGCGCGGATATGGCTGGCCAGGATCATAATCGTAGCTGTGGTTGTTGGTGGAACGTCGCAAATAGCGCTCCTGTAGAATATTCTGTCAGTCATGCTGCTACTTAGGGTGACGGGCGGAACGTACAAGATCAGGACGGTGAAGCATGTCGACTTCGATAGGCGGAGTTAATTCGGACTGCGACTTCTCGGGTTTATGTTTCCCAAACATGCCAGTGACCTTGCGTAGACCTGTCTTCTTCTGCTCGAACCCTTCCGAGGCTGGTGTAGTAGGCGTTTTCCCGCTGTCAATTGAGCTCTTTGCCTGGTGAGGGGTTGTCGCGGTGGTGGGCGAGCTCTCGCTGAGGATATCGTAGATATCGGCCTCGTCATTGTCTTTGTCAATCTGGAACCGAGAGAAGTTGCTGCGCAGGTTGAAGCTGTGGGAAGGTTCAGAGGACACTCGCTGGGGTTTGCGGGAGTAGATCGGATGGCGATCAAGTGTAGCTGACTTCGGCGTCATTCCTCCCTCCAATGCGCGAAGACTCGCCTCGGCTCCGACAGCGTTGTTGTAGCCAATATTGAACGCATTGCCACGTTTCGGGAATGACTTGAATCTCACAGTGCCCTGACGCGCAGCTTCCTCTTGCTCGGCCTCTTCGCGCTCCAGGTGACGCTCTCTGTCGTCGAATCGTTGTCTAGCTTCTTTCACCAATCGTTTAATTTCCTCTTTACTGGTCGTAGTGACCATGAGAGGTGCGTCGCTGGTAGACTTGAAAGGACTTTCTTGGTGTGCAGGATGCTGGCTGATGTCTGGAGGAGGAAGTCGATTCAGGTCAAGGATGTCACCTGTAATGACTCGCTGTTTAGGGTCTTGATTGGGGCCGAAATCGGCGCCTTCAGGCGGAGATGAGGATGCATTGAAAGCTGCCGGAGGGGAGAGGTCTGGCGACGACATGGCAAAGGTTCTTGCCAGTTTGACCGTCTTCTCGTCGTCTTGTCGTGGCTTCATGGTGGACGAAGCAGGAATTGCTCGCTTGACCGGGTCTTGTGAGGTGGTGATGTCGTGGGGTGTAGAAGAAAGTGAATTTTGGACAATGTCCAAGGCCTTGTTCACGTCAAAATGAAAAGGACGTCCGACCGCGACCGACAACGGCTTGTAACCCGGCCTACACCCAGTGTCGAGGACGTTGGCCACACCCTCACCTCCCTCACCAGCCACGTGACTCTGATTGAGCCTCGTGGCCTCCCCTCTGCCAGGCGATGTGTTGCGACTTCGCACTGACAAGCCCGTCAGGCTCAACTTCTTCCCCAGGGTTCTCAAGGGAGACCCCGGGGAGCGGAGGAGAGTCCTAACGGACTGCGGTGTCGATGGCCGCGAAGGGAAGCACGAGGCCAACTCATCAGAGTCGGGGCTCCAACGACTGATCTCCTCCATGGAGGACGCTGTTATTGCGGTGATTGTTGAGGGAGAGAAAAGACAGCATGTCCCGGGCGTTGTCGACGACGATAGAAGTACTCTCGGCGACGCCCAGCGCTGCGGCGGGGACATCTTCGACCAATGGCGCGCCCCGACGTGCTGGGTGCGGTTGAGGTATGATGTCGCCCTGCTGGGCGTCGGCCATGTCACGGCTGCAACAAAGTGTCGATGGGGGGACCCATGTCGGCGTTCAGGGCGATGTGACGACGGTGACTGAGGATACACTGACGTCAAAGCAGAGACTGACAACGAGTGACCATGGCGGTCGACAGGGGAGCAATGGACAGAATCGAAGCGAAGTGCAGAAATGCATACTCATCTTTGTTGAATTCATCATCATGGCCCATGACGGTGGTGAGGGCTCATCAAATCATGTTCGTGTCTCCAGCTACATCTCCCTCGAAACAATTGTTGCCAGCAACATCGCGCCCGGTATAATGTGGAGGGTTAAAACTGATCAAGCCGTAGCATGCGTTCTCGTCCATTCTCTCGCTGTTTGAATGGCAGCCTCTTGGTCCTCCTTCCACCGCTGAGCCACATCATTCGCCAATGGATCATCCGGATTTGGTGCGCCGAGCAAAGCCTGTATTGAGAGAAGAATGGTCCTAATCTGTAGCGCTGGCGACCAGTTGCCTGAAGAAGAGATCAGTGCTACTCCTCCGGACGGTATCAGCACTCACTCTTCAAGACGTCCAGACAGATCCGACCCAGTTTGTCGATATTAGGGTGGTATATCTTGGTGAGAAATCTGATCTTGGGCGGGGTCATGGGGTAGTCGTCTGGCAAGAATAGCTCGAGCTTAAAGATACCTCCTGCAAAGAATCAGCCATGGCCCCAAAGGCTCTGCTGCCCTCTCGACATACCCTCATACGGTGATTGAGAAGGGCCATGAATGCTGACATCGAAGTATCGGAGATTGTCTTCGTGAGGTACAGCGCTGATTCCTGGAACACTAGACAACTCAGACCACATCCTGCGGCTCACAGCTTGTGCAAAGACTTACGGCTCGGCCATCAGTCTCTCCGTTTCCTTGATGATCCGCTTCGGCAGCGCCATTGCGAACGCGAGGTTTGTCTTGTGCCGCCGAGTGTAAAGACGCTATTGAAAGAGCAATGCGACCTCGTCTTGCTTCCAAAGGCGTTTGAGATGGTCGAATCCCGGGCGCAGGGTGGGAAGAGAGGCTGAGAAGGTGGAAGTCGAGATTCTTTGAATGGAAGTGGGGCGCAGTCTTGATTCTCGTGGAGGAGGTGATACTTGGGTGGCGGCGAGTGGATTCCTCAGGCGAAGACTGATTCGTCAAGGTCGATGAGAGTTGGGCAGGCTCGTGGTTGCCTTCGTTGGGCTGTTTGTACGGAGTATGTCACAGATGAATCTCCAATCTCAAGTGATGTTCAGATGCGTAAAACTGCGCCTGGCGATGCACTGCGTCACTCGTCGGCTCCTCGTGCAGTGATGCTTCACCGTATTCCAAGCTCCTTTCTAAGCTCAACGGCGTCTCCTCAAGTAGCCTTTGGACTCCGGCACCTACTGTAAGTACCTCTCTCTTGCTTGATCACGCTACCACTGGGCGCGCGTTCGATATGGCGCTGTAACAATCTGACAGACGTGCAACAAGATCCGCGCGCTGTTATCATGTAGCAAGTTCACTTGTTGAAGCAGCCCTTCACGGCTTCTGACAATCGCATGAGAGAGTGCCTTCAAAGAACTTCATCTTGGTGCAGTGTAATTTCAATATCTGGACAAGCACACTCAGGAAACTACTGCCCTCGTCCTTTACTTGCAAACCCAAGACATCGGTGCAGATGCTGCCGAGTCTTTTGTTGATTGGGAGGGAGATCAGGGATACCCAGTCCGTGACTCTGTGAGAAGAATGGACTTTTGGGTAAATCACACCGTCGGAGGAGTTGTAGAGATCGAAACGAGAAGCCACGATCCACGGGCACAACAAACACCAATTCCAAGATCAGCTCGGCGCTGCTTGTACGCACAACAGGGAAACAGTGTGATTGACAAGTTGCTCTCCCACCTTCACTCCTAGCCACAATATTTGCTGGGCGGCGTGAGCTTCAAGTCTTCATCAGCACAACAAGTAGCGATGGATACGGCCATCGCCTTGCTGCCAATCTCTGTTCTGTATAGTACTCCGTACTGTCTACCTCAGGCACGATGACTTCCCGCCGTGAACCGGTACGTTGTCCCGCATTTTAGGGTCCCGCATCCCGGCACGGCATGTCCAGATTTCTTGGGTTCGCACCAACCTCGCACCTCGTCCGCAGAATTCCCCAACGTTGGCGACATCAGGCCATTGTCCCACATCTGGGACCCCGGGAGACCAGACCATGGCTGCAATGTTGCACCTTCAGCCAGCTGTGCTCCATTCGTCCCTGGGAAGCAGGAGTCCCTTGTTGGAAGACTCGGGTGGAGGTTGCAACACCATCGTTCATCAGCCGTTCGAGGTCTATGCGGACCACTCTTAAGGCTAACAAGCGGTCCCAGAGTTTATATTCGCCAATGCTCGCTCAGATGTTTGTTTTGCTGATCTCTCAAGCCGGGTTGTCGATATCTTTCAACTCGAGCTTGCCGTTCCACACAAATGAAGTCCGCAGCCACCTCAACAGCAGGCGAGGATATGGAGACTACAGATGTCATCATTTGTGGGTGTGGTCCGACGGGCGCCCTGCTGAGTGGTCTATTGGGTCGATCGTCGGTCAGTAATGTGGTTCTGGAGAAGGAGAAGGAAATTGTAACAGATCCGCGTGGTATTGCCCTCGATGAAGACGGCATTCGACTGCTCCAAGAGCTTGGGCTTTATCCCAAGGTCCACACCGAGATAGCTCAACACATTGGATGGACCTACTTCACCTCTGGGAAAGACGGACTCATGACCAGGCCATTTCTGGGAATGAACCTGGGCACTGCGGAAGGAGGAACTGGCCATGTGGGTGCGATTGCGCACAAACAACCTCTGATGGAGAAACACCTCCGCCTGGTAGCTAGTAGCTGCCCAAGCTCTCACCTTAGGCTCGGCTCAACAATTGTCGGCATTGAAGAGGACGACGACTGGGTCTATGCAAAGTACGTTGACGCGAACGGCACGCAATTCAAGATTCGTGGGAAATTCCTGGTGGGCGCAGATGGGAAGACGGGTTATACTCGCAAACATTATCTGGAACCCAAAGGAGTCTTGCTGGAAACTCTCTCTGGGTAAGCTTGGAATTCGCCGTTGCACCGGGCAGGTCCAGAGCTGACAACCCTCCAGTTATGAATACCAAGAGACATGGGTGGCGATGAATTGGCATATGGATCTGCCAACGCCAGAGACGCACCCAGACTTTCCGCTGTGGAAACTCAACTATACCCCCCAACAAGTTTACGATACCTTTTTCCCTCCAGACTTTCGCTTTATTGGCAATCCCGACCGTCCCTCAGTGTGTGGTACTTTCGGGCCGCGAAGTGAAAGACTGTGGAGATTTGAGTTCGTCGTGGATAAAGGAGAAGACCCCCAGCACATGTCGACGTGGGAGCAGACGTCTGAAATCGTTCTCCCATATCTGACTCATCCGGGCTCAAAGTACAGGTATGCCGCCCTCTTATTTCGCATGCGTCTGGTGTAGGTCCGGCTCATATAGAAAAACGCAGTTTGAAAGATGCCGTCCAATACCCGACGGACTGCATCCACGTTCTGCGATCGAGGCCCTTCAGCTTTGCTGCCCGAAGCTGCAATAGGTGGGCAGTCGGAAGAGTTTTACTTTGTGGCGATGCGGCGCATGTCATGCCCCCTTGTATGTATCTGCACAATCCGAAGCGAGACTTTGCTGACCGGAGAAGTTGGTGGCCAGGGAATTGCCTCAGGCTTCAGAGATGCCTCAGGAATCGCGTGGAGACTTGCTCTCGCTTGTCGTCCTCATTTCGATGGAAGCTACAATGACCTTTTCCATGGCTGGTTTTTGGAAAGGAAGCAACAGCTGGACCGTTCTCTAGCCTCGACCGTGGTCAACGGAAACCTAACCACGGCTCGAAATCCCGTCAAACTCTTCCTCCGGGACTGGGTCCTTTGGCTGATGCAACTTGTCCCGCCCTGGAGGCACCGTCTCGAGTTGGGACCTCGCGCGGATGGCATGGGGAGATACAGATACACCAGCGGGATGGCATTTCTGCCTGATATGGCCGGCGGCTGCTGCTTACCTCAAGCCTACTGTCGCTCGGTCCATCGTTCCACCGAAAACGAACCTGCAATTGTGCAATTCACAGACGACGTTTTGCTAAATGGCCTCAGAGCCAATGCACTCCTTCGTCTTCTGATTGCTGTTGACGATCTAAAACAGGCGGAGAGGGCCTGGACGGAACTGAAAGAGCTCGACCTTGAGAAGTCGTCTAATGTCGAGGTTCGGGGAAGCACGGCCTTGTTGTTGATCCATGATCCAACCTTTGAGATCCAGCCAGAAGGTTCTTTATCTGATCTTCCACCGGCGAGCATATACCGGATAGCGACAGCGGAGGAGTTCGCCGCCTCAGATCTATGCAAAAACCGTCCTTACCCGACAGGGTATGACATGTATCGAATCAGGAAAGACATGAAGGGGAGGAAATACATCTTGATGCGGCCGGATCGATTTGTGTATGCAGCTTGCAACACCGGGACGGAGCTCCTCGCAGCTTGCGAGCGCATTCCAACGACACTCTTGGGATCATGCCAAACAACTCAGCGGTCGAAGACCAAGCTCTAGTCCTTCGGACTTCGGATTTCAAGGCACTTTTTACTCACCCGGAAACGCAGCTATGGGCTTCAATCAGCTCTTTCTCGTCATGATGGCTTTGTCAGTCTCTCGATCAAGGTGGTGTACTCATAGAGCGACAGAGGACACCATACACGTTCCTTGTTTGCACGTTATCCTCTCATCAATGGCTATCATAAAGGTACGTAGGACTTTGGCAACCCATGCAGAAGTACAAGCAGTTGCCAGGTTTTCACAATCGGAAACCTAGGGCTCGGTCTCCCTGTCCGACCGCCCAAGCCAGCAGAACCGTGACACCCAATTCAGTTGTTCCCCGACACTAGGAATAAAGCCGAGGTCCTGGGCCATATGGCGGGGCGCAGGCATCTACTGGGTACCAGAAGCCCATGAGGCGGGGTTTGTGGGAAAAGCCAGCCTCGTTGCGGGACAGATGCCCCCCTTTGGCCAAGCAAAATCGGGAGGTGACCTCCATCTTGAAGGATGGATAGCACTGACGCCTTCGTACTGAATCTCCGTGCCTCCAATATGCCCTGAGTGGCTTGAACCAATTCAGTGTTCAACGCTCTTTTCTGGCTGTCAGGTGACGAAGAGTGATTCACTGTCCGAGCGAGGCTGAGTCCGTTGAATGCCAAATCCACGTCAATCCAGGCCGGTCTCGACATGGATCCTGGGCAGGACCTCCCAATGCAAAAGGGGGCGCACCAACAGGGGGCTACTGCCTTTGGGGCAGGAAAGAAGAAATGTCCCTATTGTCCAAGCGAGTTTCGAAAAGCGGACCATTACCATCGCCATATCCGCTCACACACCAAAGAAAAGCCATTTCGCTGTCACATCTGTCGCAAATCCTTTCCTCGCCAGTACGTGGAGGCACTTTCTCTGGCATGAGGGAAAACTAACAATAGAAGTGACACGCTTCTCCGGCATTCGAGAATCCACAAACAAGTTGCAGAAGCCGCTCCTACATCTGAAAGGGCAGCTTCGATTGGGCTGGTAGAAACGAGACCCCGAGACCAGTCTCCGCCTTCCAGCTTCTCTGCGGACCCTATCACTATGAGCCTCACTGGCATGCCGACCACCGAGCAAGGAACGCCAACGTCGTACCCCACAGCGGACTCGGTGGCACAAGGGCAACCGGATGATGGACAAGGCTCACGTAGCGCCGCAATACAATCCTTCACCCAAGGTATTTCGCCGCATTCAACTGCCGCTATGAATGAAATGCGGTCTGAAACGTACTGCAGCCAGGTTCTCCGTCAGTGGCAAACTGCATCAAACATGCTACCATCGCCTCCGGTGCTGGAAAACGAAGTTCTGTCTGGTGAGCGAAAGGACTGTTTGACAGTCGATTATCCGCTCGAAGCTCCCGACTGCACGGAGCTGGGTACCTACAGCTCCACGCACTGGCTCCTGGAAGATGACTTCGATTTCACCGTCTTCGACCACCTGGGCTCCAGCAATGCTTTTGAATCACAGCCTGTCTGCCATAACAACGTTTCGGTGCCACCGCTTGATCGGGCACCCGAGAAACCCAAGCAGCGGCTGGCTGTCTCTGATCTCAGACGTCTTTGGTATGTTCAAACTGCTGACGTTGATTCTGAAGCGGGTTCTGGCACTGTCACACCTGCGGGCAGGGCCACAGGTCCTCCAGAGGATATCGACGAAGCATACCGCGATAAACTGGCGAGAACATTGCGACCCCCGATACGTGATGAGCCCCTACCTTCGATCGAATTTTTGAATCTATGCATCCACCTCTTTTTCACCAAGTTCAATGTTGCTTTACCACTCATCCATGGTCCTACCTTTCGCCCGCAAAACAGCAACGCCTTGTTGGTCCTCTCGATATGCTCGGCCGGATGTCTGTCACTGGGATCCGAGGTGGCTGCGAAGATTGGCTCCATGCTTTTTGAACGAGTAAACAAGACCATCTTAGTTGCACCTTGGGAGAGGGTCCTTCCACGAAGCAATGACCACACGTGGAACATTGCTAAGGCTGCCATGATCGGTCAGACTTATGCACTTACTTCTGGGGATCCTGCACATCGCGCTACGGCTGCTGCGTATCATGGATCGATAATTTCTCTCGCTCGGCACCACAAGCTGCTCAGCCCTGGACCATCCTTTCGCCTGGCGGGTGACCTTTCCACCGATCAACTTGACAAGGCTTGGAGATCATGGGTGAAGCAGGAGGAGCTGAGAAGAGTCGCTGTGTTACTGTACATACACGACGCTGAAATTGCCGCGCTCTTTCATCACGAACCCATCTTTCGTCACAATGCCGGCTATATTCCCGCAGTGTGCTCGCAAGAACTGTTCTCAGCTCCAACAGCAGCCATCTGGGCCTCGTTGTTTCGAACCGAGGCGCGCGAAGCACAATTCCACGGTGAACATTCCAGGACTAGAATTCAAGACCATTCGGGTACTACTGATATTGGAGCCCGGAACCAGTCGACTGGCCCGGTGCGGACAGGCTTGAGTAACGGGAGTATGCTCAGTGTGTACAACTCGCTCTCCGGTATTGCAGCATCAGTTTGCGAGTGCTGGCATCTGGATCTCCTTTCTTCCACTATGGTCAATAAGTTTGAGTCGGACCTCCTCACCTGGTACGCGTCTTCTCCCAAAGCTTTCAAAGTGGCCAACGACTACGGAAAACAGACAGAGAGTCCGTTCAGCTTGCTCCCGCTTTGGCACTACACCTTTATCGCGTTGAGTACCAATCTGGATCTCCTGGAGCGAGCGGTCGGTCGAGAAGGGACTGATATTGCTTCGTCAACAAGCGAGTATGTGCTGTCGTGGATCGCATCACCCGATTCCAAAAGGTGCCTACTCCATGCACTCTTTCTGCAAAACCTGATGGTGTCCACGAACATCGGTGCGCTTGTCGCGCTTCACACGCCCAGGATTCTGTTTTCGGCCGCTCTCTGTTGGTACTGCTATGTGCTGTACCGGCCAGACAGCTCTCCACAGTCTGCACAATCGGCGCGCAGCTTGCCAGACCTGATCCTTGAGCCATTGAACTCACTTCCTGAGATCCAGCTTCTGCGGGAGAGCGGCAGCAGCTCAAAATCGACCAACATCTACCCGGTTCCGCACATCTTTGATCAGACTCTTTCCACCCTGCCACAACTCCTTGGGGCGAACTCGGCCGAGATGCAAGCCAACACCCTCTGCGTTATAGAGAGCATGCTTCGACGGCTGGGCATGACTGGCATCTCCCTCCGTTTCGCGGACATCATACAAGCTTTTATATTCAGAGATGTTGATCAGATAAGCCTGCACTAGCAGGTGGATCGACACACTGTACATGTACCAACCACCAGCACACTAACCGTGATAGGGACCGACAGCCTGCTCATGTTGAGGCGAGCAGTGGATGAGCCTACGTTACAAACTCGCAACGCGGAACCTAGCAGGCTCCTACAAACCAAGCACGTGCGGGAAAGCCTTTGCCATGACCGGAGACACTAGCTTTTGCAAACCATACCCCAGACCAGACTTTGGACATAAAATCGAACATCACAGAGGCGGCCAGGCTCCCACGTCGAATATGATGCTCTCTGGGGAGCTGCGAAGGTGCTCGAGGGCCACATATCTGCGAGGTGGTATAAGTCCAGCTCCGTAGAGGCGAATGTATTTCTTGTGTGGCATGATGGTCTCCAGAACTCGGCATGAGGTCGATCGTCTCGTACTTGTGGCACCATTCTCTCCACATAGATATTGGCCATCCATGCTCGGACGACAGTTGCTGGGATGGGCTCATTCAGAGGCTTCAATGGTGCAACGCAGGATCCTGTTACTGCAATTATGTAGCAGGTGTCACAGCCACGTCGACACGCTGGTAGTCTTGCCCGCCCACCCAACAGGGCCGAAGGGCTGAATTACATCTGCATGATTGCCATGAAAAGCAGCCGTGTCACGGTTTGGGCCAAGTGCTACTGCGTGGTAAGGCGTTGGAAGGCGTTGGAGGGCATTGGAGGGCGTTGGCCAGGCTTGAACTTGGAGCCAGTCCAGTGCCACCGGCGGTCCCTGATTCCATCTCCCTGCTACGTTTCCGCCTGTTAACAGCACGATGTTATACAGCGTGTACTAATAGATACTCTCTTCATATTGCCAGGCGCTCTCCTGGGACGGAACGCCCTTGGAAGAGTTTGTTTGATTATGTTGAATAGCGTCAGATATCGCCGTCAGGTAAGATCACGTGATAATCACGTGAGGTCGATGTGACCTCTGCGTGGCTCGGCCTTGAACCGGGCATCGCGCTTCCTCAACTCTTTCCAAGACCACGACTCGAACAAGCTGCGATTCTCCCACCTAGACGCGCGAACTGTATATCTCTCTTGCAATCGGTCCTGTGTGTTTCTTGCTTTGAGCCTGAAGCAGAACTCGTGGAACCGCATGCTGGCCGGAGCAGGTAGATGACATGGTCATCCATGTCCAGCATGCCATCCAGTGCTTTGGACAACCACACATCGAATGATCCGTTCCAGCATGGCCGCTTGACGGTAGCCAGTGATGCAGTCAGCCGTCAAAGCCGGCACATTAAAGGTCTAATCAGCTCGCAGCATGGCATTGCGAGGTCCGGCTTCGGCGTTTGAGAGCGAAACCTTTGGCCAAGATGCGTCCTTTCGACTTGAGCAACCCGTCGGCTCCATGTCAATATCCCCGAGCGGACGTGACGTGGCCTTGGCCTCCAAAGAAGGGCTTCACATCATCGACCTGGACTCGCCCTATTCTCCTCCGCGGTACCTCCCACACCGAACACCCTGGGAGGTGGCTGATGTGCAGTGGTCGCCGTTTGCAGCACGAGACTATTGGGTGGTCAGTACATCGAATCAGAAGGCACTAGTATGGAATCTGGACGCCCGGTCATGGCAGGACCCGATTGAATTCGTGCTGCACGGCCACACTCGAGCAATCACCGACATCAACTTTTCCGCTCACAATCCCGACGTCCTGGCCACTTGCGCCGTGGACAGTTTTGTGCACTGCTGGGATTTGAGAGCACCGTTGCGGCCGGTCAATTCCTTCTCGGATTGGTTTGCTGGCGCCACTCAAGTAAAATGGAATCGGCAGGATGAACACGTCGTCGCAAGTTCGCACGACAAGTTTCTCCACGTCTGGGACGACCGAAATGGCGCGTATCCCGTACGGACCGTCGAAGCTCACGGGACCAAGATTTATGGAATCGACTGGAACCGACATGATCACAACAAAATCGTCACTTGCTCACTAGACAAGACGATCAAATTCTGGGACTTTGAGCGTGAAGAGAGCACTCTTGAGCGCGAAATTGACACCCCATTTCCCGTCTGGCGGGCTCGCCACACTCCTTTCGGATGGGGTCTCCTCGTCATGCCACAGCGCGGTAACAGTGACTTACACCTCTACGATCGGCGGGCGGTCCATGGAGTGCTTGAGAGCGGCCGGGTTCGCCCAGTTGCGACATTCAAGGGTCATGATGGCCAGGTCAAGGAGTTCCTGTGGCGCGCCCGAGGAAGTGTTGTTGATGGCATCGATCAGCGAGACTTTCAGTTGGTGTCTTGGGGCACCGACCGAGAGCTGAAGCTTCATGCCATTGAGCCCGAGATGTATGCGGACATCGGCTACGAAAAAGGCGTCTCTAAAGTCCAGCGGCTGAATTTCACCCGCAAAGGGGCCATCTACAAAAGCTTCCGCGATGTCCCTGGGGATGCGGACTCGCCCATGGAGGATGGACCTCGAAGTGACATGATCGCCCGTCCCGGCCATTCCACCCATTTTCGGCCTCGAAGCAGTACTAGTGTTGGCATGAACAAAATCCCCGTTTCCCAATTCCGCGGCTGGGTGCAAGGCGGCCGCCATGGCCAAAGATCTGGCATGCATGGCAAGGGAAACAGTCGCCAGAGCGCCGACCCCATTGCGTGGCTGAAGAACGTGAAGATATCATCATGGGACCCCGACACGTTGGCGGAAGAGATCAGACACGTTGGAGAGAAATTCAAACGAGTAGAGTTTGAGATGGTCGATATCTCTCATCGCAAAGCGGTCATGTCTTTGGAGGCTCCATGGGGTGACGACCAAGCCCAAGTCTTTTTGAGGGTGGAGATGAGGTTCCCTAAGCTGTACCCGCGAAATGCAAATGCCATCCTGACCTTGCAGAAGTCGGCTTTCCTCGACGAGGCCAGGCACAGACTGATCACCACCGAGCTGCACACAATTGCAGAGACTTACGCCTCCCGGAAGCGGGGATGCCTTGAAGCCATTTTGCGGTATCTGCTGCGGGAGCAGAGTCTCGAGCAGATTGTTGGTTGGGTGCTTGGAGAATCATTGGTCGACTCCAAGATCTTCGAGACCGGCGCGGTTCCGGAGGACGACGAGAGCACCGACAGCGACGACGACGAGCTCGAAGGTGTACGGGAAGGCCTTGATGCATCGGCGAATGTTCTTGTGCCAATAGCCAAAGGATGTGGTGCTCTGTGGTCTGAAACAGGAAAACTGGTCTGCTTCTTCCCAGCCAAAGGCAACGAGCCTGCCTCGTTTCTAAGCACGCTCGGCGTCAAGGATCTCGAAGATTCGCAGTCAAGCAGATTATTCGAAGGCTTTGGCCGTCTGCATACAAGCTCTCCCGCCCGAAAGACCACGACGGGTACCAAAACAGCCGACGACGATTCGGATTCCGAGACGTCCGAGTCATCGTATAACTCCTCGAGCACCTCTTCGTCATCCTTTGAAACCGAGCAGAACGAACGTGGGGTCTCATCATATCGAGTCGGCGTGTCTGGTCACCAACATCGCTCACGCTCGCCCGACCGGTCTAACCACTCCACGACTGGTGGTGGCGCAAAACTGAACGAAGTCCCTCCCCGCAAGAGCGCCGTCTCCATCCGCACGTTCGATGATTTAATCCCTTCCAAACGCGAGCTTGCCGTGGAGTATCATATCTTCGGCAATGGTCAAGACGTTTGCAAGCATAATGCTGCGGTCGCCCAAGACGCCTCTCTGGATGATCTCGCATCCGTGTGGACGCTTTTGGGGCTCGTGCTTGACGACGCTGTGCCCCTTGAGGTCGTCTCTGAACTGAGCCACACTACTGCCCAGGATATAACAATCATTGCAAGAGCAGTGGCAAGGAAACACAAACAGAATCGCATGATAGCCGGGCTGCTACGTCGAGAAGCCATGGGCAGAACACGATGGGGCAACCATCCCCTTGGTGCACACTACTTGCTCCCGGCCATATTCGACCACTTTGAGCGGCTCGGAGACGTACAAATGCTCGCAATGCTCGCCTGTGTCCTGGCCTCCACGCTCAATCACGGTCTCATACCCGGGGAGATCCTTCACAAGCAAGGGCTGCACACCCCGAATAATGATCAACTAGTCCAGGTTGACTACTTTCCTTCGGGATCTGTGGCCAGATCTGTTCTACAAAGGCTCCCGGATCCAGAGGGATATGTCCTGATCGACAACCAAGCAATTCCTCCCAGTCCTGGCCTGCAACCTCCAAGTAGCGGCGACAGTCAGCGGAGGCCATACCTCAGCCTAATTCGGCAAGGGAGCCAATTCTCATCTCGGGCACCTAGTTTCGTGGCTGATTCTTCGAGCGATCAAGCCCACCCTTACTCTACGGCTGTCTCAGTGTCTACATCTCCGGAAGGGAACAGGCCAAGCAACAAGTCGCTCTCCGGCATCACGTATTCTACGGCAAAGGCTAGTCTGTCGGCGCTGACGCAGTCGTACTCCAACTCTCCTCCTAATCAGAACCCGTCTTCCAACTTTGCATCGAGTCTGAAGAAGTATAGCCCGTCCGGGTCATTGACTCCGGGCTGGGTGCCGTCTGGACTATTCGGAGGGCAGCATACAAGCCGGAATTCACGTACTTCTTTGCAGAACGGGGACGGCGGCGCACAAGAGGGTCGCGAGCCGGCCAACCGCTCATTCGTATCCTCGTCGACCTTTCCAAGCTCGCGCAGAAGCCACATGTTCCAGACCTCGACCCACCGACGAAGCGTCAGATCAACTGCTGACACGGATGTGTCGGAACAGACGCAGCGCAAGAAGTCCCCCCGACGCAAGCGACTGAGGACCCGACTACTCAATCAGGATCAGTTTGATCTCGATGGCTATCCATCCACTCCTCTTCTGGGTCCGCTGCTTGCATGGAAGTGCAAGATGTATCGCGCAAGCTATGCTCAACTTCTCAACGTCTGGCAATTGCCCGTTCAGCGGGCTGAAATGCTCAAATTTGACGGAGTTGTCGCGGAAGAGACTGTCGCGCCGTCACGACACCGCAGCTCGGCTGGTCAGCAACAGTCGTCTAGTCTGGGCCGCCCCCGAAGGAAGACGCTGACATCTGCATCTCGGGCCACAAGCCCTGGTTTGACTATAAGGCAGTGTTGTTGCAGTTGCGGTGAACCGTTGGCACCGATTGAAAAGAACAGAGTCCCGATCGGATGGAACTGCGTTACTTCCGCTTGCGTAGCGTACAATCCAGCAATAGGCACCGTCGTCAACAAAGTGCCCAAACGCGGAGCGTGCGCCATCTGTAATACTTCCATCAAGGGGCTGGCAGTACCGTGCCTACAGTGCGGACACATGACATGCTACGACTGTGCTCAAGGGTGGTTCGGCACTGACCGCGCGAAAGAGAACCACAAGGTCCATTCCCGACGCTCGTCAGACAAGTCCGAACTCTCTCCGATCGAGGACGAAGACGACATCTCCACGGCGTTTGAATCCACAAATTTCGATGCCAACCCAACCTGCCCGACAGGTTGCGGCTGTTCCTGCGCAACGCTCACCACCATCCAAGTCCCCTACCCGTCCACAACGACGCCAGACCTCGACAGCAGCAATGCCAATGCTGAGCACGAATACCTCGCCCCACCTCACCTGACCCATCAATTAAGCCGCAGCAGTGGCGCAAGTTCCACTCTCCAACGGTCTTCGAGCCTCATCGTCCCCGGACCGTCCTCGGACAATAGCCCGGACTCTGCACTAGCGGCAATCCTGGCCCTCACGCAATCTCACCAACGTTCGAAATCCGTACATCTAGGCGGGGCGGGGGCGGGAGCGGGAGCGGGATCGAGGAGTCGAGGCGCCAGTTCCGTCGCGGAATCGCAGGCCCAGAGTCCCAACCCGTCGTCGCATGAACACGGCGGGGGCGGTCCACGGGCAGCAGCAGCAACGACAACGACAACGACAACAGTGGATGACGAGACGAGTCTCAACCCCTTTGCGGGGACCAAGATCGCGACACTGGGCAGAGGGATCGGCGCGGGCTTAAGTCGCGGGTTGAGTTCCAAGGCCAGCGACGCGACGATCCGAAGGGTCAAGTAGGATGGGACCCGACCTTGATGGCGTTGTTTCATGGCAAAGGCAGCCGTGGGTGATAGGAGCTCCGGCGCCACGTGCGGCGGGGAAGATCTGAAAAAAGAAAACAAAGAGGGAGGGACATATCGGTGATTGCAGTACGTGTAGGTGTGCACGTGCACGTATTTTGTAGGTGTATGGTGTACAGATGGACAGGTGGGAATGTAGGGCGCAATATGGAATCTCTGTACTGTACTGTACTATACAGGTTGTACCAACACGGCGCTGATCGTTCAGAAGCGGACAATACAACACCACAAGCTTAAAGCGTCAAGGCTGCGGCTGGAGGCGGGAGACATGTATTTGTACGGAGTATGTCACATTACAATACTCCTGAGCATACTACAACACAACACAACACAACACGACGCAACACCGCACTACATAATGTAATGTGCATCGATCGATGAGCGACCGTGTTATTATATATTCATGCATTGAGGGCCAATATCGGTGCCATGCTACTTCCTACCTATGATACCTATCGCACTATATATAGTTAATTATATACCTTACCCACTGAAATTGTAGGATCTAGGTCTGTCTACTTACGCTACTGTATGTACTGTGCAGTGTGCAGTGTGTAGAGGGGGGATACATAGCTAGATAAGTACTTTGTACTCTGTACAGAGTGCGGGAGGCTCCGACCCATGCATGCATGCCACGATGGTCAATGTACTGTAGTCCGTACAGTAGATCACAAACTTGTATCCTCTACTGTATGTCCACAGTACGTCCCCGTCCAGTCCAAGGGAGGACCCCTGCTTCGCATTCAAAGCCTCGTATTCTACCTCGTACAGTACATAGGAAACGCTCGAGGACTTCTCTACGTACTACGACCTAGGACTGTTGCTGGGTTTGGCTTGGCTTGTTCCTCGGGGCCTTGGTCAGTGGCTTCCCATGAGCCCCACTGCTCTCACATACATACAACACAGAAACAGTACCACTCAGCCAGGAAATGTAGGCAAGTATATATCCATCGTCCCTTCGCAAAGAAGATCAGTGATTACATGTTTCAACACCAACGTCAACGTCAAAACCAACTTCATCAAGGCCATCCCTTTCCATGCTATTCAAGGCATGGCTGCAGCTGTAAGAGAAAAATATGTTGCTTGCACGCATGTGTCTCCATGACATGCGAGAGAATGGAAGCTGTCCAAGTGCATTACCATTCGGGCTTGCGCAGCCTGTCGCCTAAACTCAAGCCTTACTGTATATACTTCTTGTCTTGAGCGTATCCATGGAGGGAGACAACGATGCTTGTTGCAGGGTCAACCTGGATGTGACGGAGACATCTCCGCTTGAGAACCAGGACTGATCGTGTATCTGCACCTCTCACCTACAACAAGTAATGGCATTACTCTGCAGATCTTCCGTCCGTCACCTCTGAGCAGGTTGAGTCCAGCCTTGTTATAGGACATGGCCCCATGCATGATTTGCTCAGGGGATAGACGAGTTTGGATCGCCACAACTACGCGCGGTCAAGTCAGCAGCTCTCAAAACACACAAAAATCTCGAAATGTTATTACGGGATCAGGTCCCTATTGACCGATCAGCTTTGCTCAAGTTATGCCCTTTTGTGATACTTTGCCTGTCCAACCCGTAAGTTGGGCCGTCTCGCACTTTCTCGGCCATACAAACCACAGGCTTGCGTGAAGAAAATATTGCTAGTCCATGTTCAAATCAACGACGCGGAGGGGAGATGAATTTCTGCTGTTCGCTTCTTTGGAGGACTCGAGAAGCTCGATCTGACAATGTCAGCTGTTCGGGACACCAGTCATGTTCATAAACCTGGAGGGGGCGGCACTGATGCGTAGCCACCAGAGGGCGGAGGCGGTGGTGGTGCACCGCTACTTTCTGCTGGCGGAGGCGGAGGTGGATTTGCATCACTGCCTGGCGGTGGAGGAGGAGACTGCTGTTGAGCGGCGGCCTGTTGCTGGTAGTAGTTGTAGTAAGCAACGTAGTTCTGATAGCCGCCATAAGCAGCATAGGGATCGCCTCCTGGCTGGCTCGCATAGTATTGTGCGTATTGAGCTTGTTGCGCCGCAAGGTCTGTCGGGGAGGCAGCTCCGGGAGCAGGAGTGGTGGGAGTTGCAGCATAAGGAGAATTGTAACTGTTGCTCTGATGCGAATAGCTGTTCTCGCGATGGCGATCTCTCCCGTAGCCGCCGTAGGACCCGCGGTTGGCATCAGCTCCGTAGCCGTCGGTGTATGTTTCCATTCTCGTCGGCGGCGGGTTTGCTTTGAAGTGCTCGAAGTTGATGCGAACGTTAGCAAGCAAATCTTCACACAGCTCCTTGGCTTTCTGAACCATAGGAGGTTGAGGCCCTGCAACATGAAGGTACATGGGCTCGTCCGACTCCTGGCCCGTGCTATGTTCCATAAAACCCGATCCACGGCCTTTGATCTGAACCCTGCATCCGGTTTCTTGCTGAATGTGCTTCACATATGCGCCACCTTGACCGACTACCTGAGCACGTAGGTTGAAGCCTGGGATGTTTTCCATGTCGATGGGAATCCGTTCCTCAGGCCATTTTCTCTGCCACAAATGTGAGCGAACGGGTGTGACGCATCGCAAGCGATTTGTACTTACTCTACCGAACTCGTCTCGCTCAAATTGCTCCGGCTCTCGCCGTCGGAAGCGTCGCTCGTCGACCAGATTAGGCAATTCCTGTTGCATGAGCTCCTCAATCTTCGCAATAGCTTTCTCGAGGCCGGCCTTGGATGTGCTGGTTACATGAAGATACAACGGAGGGTTCGTCGCGGTAGCCATGGTCTTGTCGGGATAATATGAGCCGCGAGTGGTGACGTCGGCACCGGTCTCTTCTTTGATCTAGGAAGACCAAATACGCGTCAGTAAAAAGGGCTTATGCATCTCGAACTGATCCGCCTCGCTAGATGGGCTAGCACAGCACCGAGAGACGCGTCTTGGGCCAGGAGGGCGTGTGTTTACCATTTTTTGCGTCGACCCTTTCGTCAACGTGTAACGGTTCCGCAGGTCGTTGACTTCGATATCCTTGATGTAGTCACCATCGGCAACGTAGATATCTCCATCGAGCTTCGCGGTGGCTTGGGTGGAAGAAGGGGTAGCGGAGTTGGGGGGAGGCGTGGCTGTGGACGACTGTGCAGACACTGTGAGCGCACACTCGGTTATCGGATACGAGAAAATTTACCGAGCGGACAGGAGGGACATCGACATGTTGAATACCCTTGCGAGCTTGTAGCTCGGCATTGATTTTGGCGGCCGCCGCAGCTGGAGTAGATTAGCTGTGCCCCAAGGACCAAAAGAAGACCATGACATACCGGCAGCGGCGGCCGGGTGAACAGGAGTGCTGCGCCTCTCACTAGCTGTAGGGCTTCTACTATCTCTGCCGAGTGGACTGCGACTTCTGCGTGACTCGGGCTGGCGGGAGGAAGGAGATCTGGACCGTCTGTCAAAGCGAGACGCTTTGCGCGGCTCTGGTTGCGTCTGATCGAAGCGTGATCGCTTACGAGGCGCCTCTTCCGACATGACGGGATCTCCTACGGGCGTTCACGGTATCACAAAAGATGTGTGATGTAGCGACGCTATGCAAGGACTTTCGTACCGTGGTAAGTGAGAAAAAAGTGAAAGAAAGCTGAATGGGCCGATGGAATTTGTGGAGAACGCCGGAATCTGGGTTTCAGATGCAGCTCGATCGAGTGTCTTGGCACGCTAGCCTCAATATGGCTTGGGCTTCTACGGTCAGTCACTGTCATCGTTTTCGCCATTCCGCTTCCTTTTCTTCTTCGGCGCTGGACTTGCAGGGGCATCTGTATCCTCTAGCACGTAGCATCTGGCATCACGCTCTTCACCCCTCCAAGCGCCTTTCCGTTTGCCCTCATCGGTCCTGTCCTTCCCCGTGGTGATTTCCCCAGCAGTCCTCGCGTGCCGATACCCTGCATATGCAGACCAGGGAAACTTGAAACTCTCCACTACCTTCAAGCCACAGTGACGGGCTAGGTCGCGGATGTTCCAGAGCGTATACGGCTCGCCCTCAAACAGCGTGACGAGTATCTGGCCATTTACAGCCCCCGGATTCCGGTGCTTTACTTCGTCCAGCATTTCTTCATGGTCACCATCGGCGTCCCCCACATCCGATCGCACTCGTGCTGGACGATCAGGAGAGCTGAGCAATGGTTTTGCGGCTTTGAAAAATCCAACGAGAAGTTCTTGATTGTACCTGACTTGCCTGTTGACATCTGTACTGAGGCCTCCAACGTGTGGAAAGTTGAAGACAATCTTCGTAAAGGGGGTGTATGCCCGTAGAGCCTTCTTGTGTGCAAAAGAAAGCTTGACAGCATCAATTCCGTAGAGTACGGTGACAGCGGGACCCCCTGGTGGCTGTTCTTCATCAAGACCCGCGTCTGCCATAGGTGAACTCGGCGGAGATGGGGAAAGCCCTTGCCACTCGGCCTCGTTGCCATTAGAGCTCTCTCCGTCGTCGTTCACTGCTGATTCAAGCCGTGCTATGGTCTCTTGGACGTTCGGATATTTGCTCTCGAGCACATCCTTGGAATCGTAGCACGTAGCTGTGATCTGCCTAGCCTTCCGGAGCTGTTTTAGTGCTAAAGAGAAAGAGAAGTCCCCTATCACTCGTAAGCATATACCTCGACCGCCAGGTTTTTTATCTGACCTTCGCCAACAAGTAGCACGTTGTCATATGCGGTAAAAGGTACCTTTAGCCGTCCGTGCGGCGGTCCATTTGGACTTGGTTGCTGAGCAGCACGCGTGCTCGCCTGGGATCTGGGTTGTTGACTGTGCTGCCTTCTGATCACCCTGGACTTGTTTATCGGTGGATTATCGTGATGATTGCTGTGCTTTCGGGCATTGCGCTTGACCTTGCCCATCTATTCTGGTCAAAAGCACGTGTCTCATGCCAGAGCGTCAAGGCAGCCAGTCTCGCAGCCGATGTACTCGTCAAACTTCGCATCTCAGACACACCGAAAATTTACGGACTACGGAGGATCAAATGGACATTCTGCTACAATACAAGCCCTTACGATTGGAAACAATTTGGGAGAAGTAGTGCCAACGGTAGAATACCAGCCACAGTCGAGCCTAGAATAGAAGATGAGTTCGAAGAAGATACAATTGACCAATAGTGTATACAGTGTACACAGCTCCAGCCAAATGGACTACACTATTTCTTCGCATCGTCATCCATCCCATGCTTGATCCAGCCCAAATTCGTCTTCAAATACGTATTGAACACCTGCGGTTCCTTCTTCTCCATAGCATCCAAATCGACCTTCTTTGGCGTGTCGTACCCCTTCTGCACAGCCGGTCGCTGCGCCATGCGTTTCTGCCACTCTCGAACCCGCGGGAACTCGTTAATGTCGATACTAGCGAACCCTGATTGTGGGCGCACATGTAAGCTTCAATGAAAATGGTGTACAGTCTACGTACGCAGAACATAACATAATATCATTCATGCGTGTCAACAAGAAAGTAATGTAACAACTCCAGATCACGCACACAAGCGACGGGCGTACGTACCTAGGAGGTTGGCCCACGACGAGATGGCGATGTCCGCAATCGTGCACTTGTTTCCCACCAGGTACCCGGACTGGGCGTCCTGGAAGTGCTTGTCTAGCGTGCGGTACAGGCGTCGCGTCTCATTGACGTATCTATCCCGAGAATACTGCTCGGGCTGATCCGAGAGGTTGTAGCGCACGAAGTGGTTGGCTTGGCCTTGCATCGGGCCTATCCCGGCATTCTGGAAGAAGAGCTGTGGTCACTGAGTTAGAGATATTCCGAGAATCTGCCCGGAATGCCGCTGCCACGGGGAGCAGATCGGTCTGCTTCGCCATATAGCTAGCTAGCTAGCTAGCTAGACTGGTACTGACCCAATTGTTGGTCTGATAATACTCTTTGCTACCCCTTGGGTACGAGATCTTGTGCTCCGTGTCGTACCGGTCTACGAGATACTGTTGGATACTGCCAGACTCGAACAGATTGATTGGCGTTCCATCTTCCAGGGTGTCCGTCAGGGCAGGAATACGACCATTGGGGTTGATATCAAGGAACCATGGTTCCTTGTGTTCGATTGCTGGCAGGTTTAGAGCGACCATGTCGTATTTGAGCCCAAGCTCTTCGAGCGTGATGGCGATTTTGTGTCCATTAGGCGAGAACGCCGTGTAGAAAACTATCTTTTGTTTCTCGGTCATGGTGAGGTGTTTGTTTGACGATTGGGGCCGACTGGATGCAGAGCTGAGTGCTTCCTCTCATATGAGACTGGGACTTCTCTCATACATCAGCTTGTTCATGGTGCTGTGGTGGCACCTTGAGATATATGGCAGCCATGGAAATCGAGTCCCGGATCCATCATGATCTACGGACTGTAACTGGGCACCGAGGAAAGCATCCAATCAGTCTGATATCTGGATTGGTCATCAGGTTGGTATTGCGAGCCCCCTGACGGACGGAGGGCCTATCTCTTGGCCAACTCCGGTGAGCATTTGAAAACCATGCTTTTGAGATGCTGGACTTGATTGCGGCTCGAGGGGTCGTCCGGGGCTGTCGAGACAGAGCGGAAGAACATCTTGGCTCAATGGGGTGGTTATGATGTGAAGGCAAATCTGAGATTGACAGTCAGAGGGTGATACCTCAAGTCCAAAGTCCTCTTCGTTTGGGAGTATTGAAGAGCTCGCACAAGGGTCTCGACTTCCGACAAGATTCTCCTGTGTTTATTAATCCCCCGCAGTCCGCGCAAGAAGGGGGTCAGTGAAGCGGATTTGCACCGCCATTGGGCAAACACTCGTGGACAATTAGTGAGCAAAAGGTAAAACTTCCCCACCACCAGCACCGGCTCAGTACCTTATAGCGCAAGCACCCGCTGATGCCCTGTGTGCATGTCCCACGTCGCGACTAGGTATCGGCATACCAACCCAATACGACGGCACCGCGGAGCTCATACTGAATAGGTCCCTCGAGTATTCCAAGTAGACATTAGATTGATGTAGGTGATGCAAAGGAAGAAATCTCAGATGCGGAAGGTTTGGTGGTGCCAAGAAATACGGCGTCACATTCAAGCCAAGTAGCGCAAGAGACTCACGTGATGGTCTGGCTTCGTGAGGTTTACTCCGTACTCCGTACTGATACCTGAATTTGATGCATGTAGCGGAAATTTCATTACTGATGAGCGCGCTGCTAGTGTTCTAGATGTAGTGCCAGCAGAGTTCCACTCAGTTGACCATTCATTCTCTCAACTGGCACCTGAAATGGCTTGCCGTTCGTTTCGATTCGCAGCTTCCATCTGCACAAGGAACTCCTGTCGTCATCGTCTTTACTGGCCGTTGACAGCTACAAGTACAGTAATCCCGAACAAGGCGTAGTCTAAAATTCTAGTTGGTTGCGAATGGTTGCGAATACAAGGACGATCCTAGGCGTGTCCGTGAAAGCAGGTTCCGTGACTGCCGCCCATTGCTTCCACCTCGCTTTCCCGACGAAGCAACACCATCCTGCCTAACGCCTCGCAATGCAATCAAGTAAGTCTTCCGTCCATGAAGCTGGGAGAAAAGGCGAAAGATCGGGGAAGAAAGTTGCTCGCTCACGCCTTCAGGCTGTCCCTGTTGCTCTGGCTGCTAGCGCTCATGGTGTTGGACGTGGGAAGAATTGTTTTCGGTTTCGAGGATTCTCGAACTTTGGCCAGCGCGTAGACGATGCCACTGACAAATCCAACGAAAATAGCAGAAACACTTGGGATCGTGACTGGGGCATCGAAGAAGATCAGGCCAGACACTGCAATAGGCAGTTTGTTCAAGGCACCGACCATTGAATAGGTGGTCGATGATGTCGCTCGGACGCACCAGGCTGAGGTATAGGAGATGAAGATCGAGGATAAGCCGGTGAAGATCATGGCGCCAATTATTGCGTTTCTCGCGTCGATGGGGAAGTTCTTTGCGATGTTGATGGCAGACCAGTCTTCAACGACCAAGGAAGAAACCAGGAGGATGGGAATGGTCAGGAGATTGTTGTAGAACATTGCTAAGAAAGAAATCAGCCTTCTCGTTCGGGGTGTAGATCTTGTTCACTCACTGTCAAAGTCCTTGAAGTTGGTAAGCTTGATCCGCTTCCGCATACCCAGCACGTATGCCGCAGTAGACAAGCAGTTGACAAGCATCCAGATATATCCTGAATTCAGCGTCGCCAACTGTGCCGTAGTGGCAGAACTGGCAGAGCTGTGTGATTCCAAGGCATGCTTAATGTCCGCCCAGGCCGCAATGACGGAGCTGAGAACCATCAAGCCGAAGGAGAAAAGCGCCATGGACGAGACGGAACCGCCAAACCATAGAACTTCACCGTAGGCGATGAGGATTATGGTCAAGTTCTTGAAGATAGTGTACACAGGAATCGACAGGTATCGCAGGGCCTTTGTGCTGGTGTAGATCATCCCGATCAACAGGAGGGAGATGGGAAACCCTGGCGTCCGTTAGCTGATGTACCACCTCCGCGATTGCCTCCTTCTCGTACATTTCTTTGCCTCATCTGTCTTGAAATCTCGGTAGGTGATAATGCCAGCGGTTTTGCAGGATTGAATCGCCACGACACACACAATTGACTGTGGCGCGAGGTGTCAGCTGAAACCCGGGAATTAGGGGCAAATCTGTCTCGACATACTTGGACTGCCAGAAGGAAGAAGTTCAAGTTGTAGTCGGGAAATGAGAGAATGTATTTGTTGGCGACTGTCATTAAAATCGACGAGGCGCAGTAGCAGACAACAGGCAGGACAGGGTTGTTCTGCCAATTTGACGAAGGCGGATTATATCTCGGAATTGATGGTTGAGGAGCGTGATGGAAGGTCCTGCCCTGCTTCTCGCCGAGCTCCATATCGTTCCCTTCGAGGAATCTCTTTTTCTCCTCTTCAGCCATTGCTGCAGATGGTGACTCGGTTCTGGTGGGGACTCTCGACGATGGAGCACAAATGCCTGCGGGCACGTCGGAACGAACGTGGAGGCTGCAAATGAGGGCGGGCAAGGCTCTATGAGCAGGCAGAGAAGTAGAACAGTCCGAACGTACGGAGTGGATGGGCAATTGGAAATGAAAATGCCAGGGTGTCGAAGGTGAAGTAAGTTACGGGTCGACGTTGAGATTTAATTGCATCGCCTGGAAAGGGGACAGAAAAGGAGTGCGACGCGCAACGTGAAGGTTTCGCCGCTCCGAAGTGGCTGCATTTTCCTCATGGTGGCTGACGTGCGTGCATCAGTCCCCTCTGCAGCGCCGATGGGCACACGCTAGGGGCCTAATTAATGCCTGCAGCCGTGCCTGAAGAAGCCACGACTCAGCCAAGCCTGCTCGCTCGTCTACCACTAGCATTCCGCCATATAATTTCCGATATCTTAGCACTTTCCCCTTTCCTATGTTTTGAGATGTACTTTGTATATGGCTATTTCGCTTCTCAATGCTTCACCATGACTTCCGGAGCGCCACAGTCGCTACTTTTCGGTAAAGGATTGGCTGATTGTTGGTACGATTCTCTCCTAAGCCCAACCAGGAGTGAAATACCTTTTCAGGCCATTTACTGTGGTGCAGTGTCAAGAACAGGAGGACCCACCGACTGAGATCCACCCGGATAGACGAGCGAGGCCGAAGGGACCTTTTAACTCCCGTGAAGGTATGGAGTCGCGTAAACCAGTATCAAGTGTACACAGTACCCCGGCTCCCAGAACAAGTGACGAACGCCCTGTGTGTGGAAAAAGGCGTCGAAATCATCGGCATGATGTATCTCCATGGCATCCTAAGCAGCCCAGGTGTTTCTGAGCATCCACCTTGAACCAAAGACGAGAAGGGTGGCTGCTAGAACGATGAAGAGCCACGATGTTCGCGGATCCAGGCGGGAACTTCGTCCGAGTATCCAGCCATGAGATGACCTGCGCAGGTCATGAAGCGTATTGACCCCTCGATGTCTTTCGCGGGCAGGATAAACAGCCGGGCAAGTGTTTGACGCAACTGCATCTAGTCGGTCTAGCCTGGGCGCCTCACATAGCTCTAGAGACACGGACGAGAGTAAGGAGGTACATCAGTCCCAATCGTCGTCGTCGTCGTCTCCCACGGGTTGTTTGCGATCGCGGATGCCTCGCCGACCGGTTTGACGTCGATCGGGCGCACCATCGTCTTCATCGCTCTCGTCGTCGTCGTCGTGTCTCAGGAGATGCCTCTTCCTTACAACAGTCCAGTCAACTATTGCCTCCTCAAGAGCTCTCGTGACTTCCACAGTGCCCTCTTTACCATCCCAGCACAGACCTTCGAAGCCAGTGATCCTTCCCTTGACGACACCTTTGACGAAGCCGATGACACAAGGTAGTACTCGCACTCCCAGCTTTTCAACCACAAAGGGTGCGTGGTTGACGTTGATTCTCGCAAAGGCAACGTCTCCGTCAGCGTACTCTGCATGCTTGAGGGCGATAGTTTCACAGTGGAAGTCCATCGTACTGCATCTTGCAAAATCCGGGTGAAAGAAGTGGACGACCGCTCGCTCGTGCTCAGTTGTGAAACTGAGCGCCTCGTCGTCGCTCTTCAGAGTAACATAAGCCTGCTTGGCCGTGTTGAATACGGTAGTGGTGGCTGCACTATTGTATTCTTGCATGCGCTGAGCACGATATGAAGTATCGTCTTCTTCCTCGAGAGATGCTAAGATCGCGTCGGCGTCCTCGTCTTCGGCATTGCTTCGCGGCTCTGCGTTGCCATGTTCACTCTTGCCGTTTTCCAGCCCCATACTGGAGTCACTCGACAATGGTAGAATCGCAATAGCTTTAGAATTCGACTGTCATCACTCCGGGCTCAAACAATCATTCATTGCATGAAGTGAATCGTAGGTGGCTTCTAATGTCCCACTAAGTCCCTATCGTGTATTGCTTTCGAGCAATCGACACTGCGTCTGAGGGTGAAAATGTGCCGCCGGACGCGTCTTGGCAAACCCAAATCTTGGCGTTGTGGAGCCCACATTCGTCGCTCTGCCGGAACTGCGACTTTGGAGGTTGATACAACTTTTCCGACGACCACCTCAACGCCAGTGCTCTTCAATCGCAAGACCGTAGGGATGGCACCACCAACTCAAAAGCCGAAAGGTACGACAGTCTATTCCTTCCCACAAACGACAATGAGAGAAGAAGCAACCCGGGTGGTGTCTTCAGAGTCGCACTCTTGGACTCACCGGCGGACTCATTTCGTTCTCTCGAGTAGTCATTCTTCTTGAACACGCGCTGACATTATCGTTCCTTGTCCAGGCGGCGACTCGAAGCCAAAGAAGCCGAGTGCCAAAGCCAACCAGGCCGCAAAAGCCACCCTCAGAGGCGTACGTGTCCGAAGTCGAAAACTCCCTTCCGCACCAGTCCTTCTAACTGTGACGAATAGGTCCACACCCAGAAAGCGCGAAAAATCCGCACATCAACCACATTCCACAGACCCAAGACCCTCGTCCTCTCCCGGTCACCAAAGTACCCCCGCAAGTCTATCCCCCATGAGACCAGACTCGACCACCACAAGGTGCTCATCCACCCCTTGAACACCGAGAGTGCGATGAAAAAGATTGAGGAGCACAACACGCTGGTCTTCATTGTGGACGTCAAGGCCAACAAGCCCCAGATCAAGGCCGCGTTGAAGAAGCTTTACGATGTGGAAACCGTCAAGATCAACACTTTGATCAGACCGGATGGCACGAAGAAGGCGTTCGCGAGGTTAACGACGGATGTGGATGCGCTGGATATTGCGGCTACGAAGCTGTCGATCGTGTAGAGAGGGATGGTGTCGGACGGTGGATGGTGAGTGGGCAATGGCTGGCAGAGAGCGTCCTGTTGCGTGGGGCTTCGAAAAATGCTTCAAACATCAAAGCCGCGGTTCCGGCGCGAACAGGATTCAATCTCGACATAACAGAGTAGAAGTGTCGAGCAGACAGCCACGCTGAGATCCCAGGACCTTCGGATAAAGGAGAAGAAATCCCATTAAACGGGCTTCGATACGAAGTTTCCCACGCCATTGGATCTGTGATGTTCATACAATTGAGCAAAGAGTCAGGGTCCTGACAAGATTGCCTGCCTTCTCTTCCCAATCCAGCCTGCCGTATCTATGTGAATAACAACGGCAGCCTAGGGTTTCCTATCCAGGTATCCCGAAGACAGTCCCTAGTTTATGCATGTTGCTTCCAGCTTTTTGTACAATTGACTTCGCACCTTTTGTCTGTTGAAACAAACTCAACCACGGATAGCACTGAGCATGGTCACAGGTCACTGCTGCTGCCTCAAGGCCTCCAAATGCTTCAGAATGACCAGATTCGAATCAAACAGGCGATTCACACAGTTTGTCATGCAACCCTCCTCCTTTCCTGCCAGTTTCCCGGAGGATATCGAGCCCGTGATGCACTTCTTGAAGCACATTTCCGTCAACTCGTGGATTTCTGCAGCGCGCAAGAAGACGAACAGATCAGCACCACATCTTCGATCGCAGATTCTGATCTGACGCAAGAACCAACATACGTTTCTGAACTTGGGCTTTTTGTGTTTCACCCTGCAGGAAGATTTGGAGTTCGCGCTTTTCGCGGTCGGAGAGGCGATTGATGTCCTCTGGATTGATGTTGATCTCGCCGTCATCCATGATGCTAGAGCTGTGCGATAAGGTGGATAGGCTGGATGATTGCAGATTCGCAGGAGTCTAGATAGGTCCTCGCAATGAGCCAGAGGTGTACACAGTAGGGAATACCTAATGAAGGTACTTTCACTTCTGGCTGAGCGCATGGTCTTTGTCGGCGAGTCGGAACCACCCGTCGCCGCCAAGAGAAGTCTCTTTTGGCTGACACAAAAGCAGCGTCACATATTGACTTCTTTTATTGATTCCATCGAGCCGCCTTGACGTGCCCGGACTCCCATACCGCTTGAATACAATGTCCCGACAAAGTCATGCGGACCAACTTCCAAAGTTGACCATCGTTTGACACAAACAAGGTCTGAGATGTTGGGAAGTAGATCCCAGGCATGAGTTAAAAATGCATCAGGCAGGCTTGACTGAACCTCAAGGTCCGTATGGTAAGGAATACTGTGACATTGCAATTCTCCGTGTCGACGGATTACGGACTCGAGGTGGCTAGCAGAGTGCATGGCTACCTGGATGGAAGTGTCCAGAGTGGAGGCCGTGAGCGAAGACAGCTCTTCACACCCAAGCCAGAACAGGTTATTCACCGAGTCCGCACCGACAACCACGTCTTATTCCGGTCCACCACAGCATCCACCTCCCCCTTCTACGACACATCACCTGCGCCAGCGCCTGCAATTGCCAGCCTTCCAGCCGTAGGCGCCTGTCAATCTGCTCTGCAGGCGTACAATTACCGATTCTGACGGTCTTGAGGCTTCAACCCGACCTGCGGGAGGTCGGGGCCGCTCACGCAAATGCACCTACTACAGACATGCCCGCGGCTTTCGAGCAAAGGGTCAGCCGGACACATCAACCGCAAGGGAAATGACTCTTCGAATGACGCACCTCCCAGCAGAACGTAGATAAATGCCATGATCTAGTCCTTCTTCGTCAAGGTCAATTGAGCTTCTTCAGATAGAAAGTCTTCCGCCAGCAGATCGACTGTCGCTGCATATATCAGGAGACCCGAGGAACTATGCACCGATCAGCAGTCTGGATCCAAGTGGCAGGAAGGGGAAGAGCCGTATTCTTACAAGGCATTGAACGCGCCCACTAGAATCAACGCAAAAGCGCTGGAAGGATCGTACGAGTTGCGGGTCAACAGTCCGCTGGCCTGTCCGATGGGACAAGTGAGTCCGAACGCAATAACCAAAATCCAGCGCCGGACCGCCTTGTTGGGATACGGCACCGCGGCGATGCGGGATCCCAGCCCTAGGCCATCGAAGAATTGATGGAACAAGATCGCGATGAGAAGGACTACGAAGCCATCACCTGTGATTGAGATGGTCATGCCGACAAAGATCGAATGGAAGAGAATGCCACCTTCCAGAAGAGTGATGTTCAAGTTTCATGCGGCGAAGGGTCGCCTCGCCGGCGAGGGATTCCGTATCTGACAAGGTGATCGACGAACGGTCATCGAAGGACGATGTTTCTGCAGGAAGAGCTGCAGCTCGAGGAGTGATCGCCAGGACCATGGCCTTGAGCTCCTCTCGTTGTCGGACATATTGGGCATAGAAGACCTGGAACCAAGGAGGCATGTCGGCGAGGTTGTTGTATTGTTCCATCTCTTCGCCGGACGCCGGCGTCACTTCGTAGGTACTGCGTGGAGATGTATTAGCCTCGTTGTGCTTCAGTCTGCATAGTGACTCGGTCAACATACTGTGTATAGGCGTGGGGCTTTTCGTAGTCGGCATATTCAACGTGCTCTCCGCTTCGAGCGCAGTCCCATACGAGGGAAGGGCCTGGTGATCAACAGTTCCTGGTCGAGCCCCTTGATGGGCCAAAGCGACGGTGCCGTGACCCATGGGTCCACCGTGAGAGTGACCGCCAACCTTGGCTTTGAGGTACATCCCGATGGTGAATAGAGCAAAGAGCGCAGTCATCATGATGACTCCAGGCATGGCCGGATATTGTTCGGTCAGAAGAGCAGGCAAACACGGGTCGGTCAGGGAAGAGAATGCTGTAGGAACAAGCTATATCCGAGATCAGTTCGGGCATGCGTCTTGGGAAGTAATGAAAATACATGGACGAATGCTGTGGCAACCAGGACGCCTGTGCCGAAATGCTTGCAGAAGAAGAGGACACCAGGTGGAATCCTCATCCATCGGATCCTCTTTCCAGTCACCGGGAAGCCAGCTCCTGTCCTTGATATTAGTCTCAGATAGGTTGATCAAATGATGGGGTCAAGATGGGTACCTCCGATGCTGAAAGCAAAGACCATGACTAGTATCGGGCATTAGTTTCTTCCATAGCCAACGTGCAATCACCCAACCTCGACTTACAGACAGCAGCAATGTGAAGTGGCAGGTCGTAATCGTCCTCGCTGAGACCACCTCCACCACACTGTGGTCGTTCTGACATATTGAGAAATGGGCGCCAGGCCTTTTAGAGATATAAGCGAGAAAAATTGAAAAGAAGAGCAAAGCCCAGCCTTGCACGAGAACAGAACAGTGAGCGCGACAGAGCTACCAGAGCCTGAAGGAAGGAACCTTTTCCAATTGCGCGGGACTCAAGCTTGTCTATAGCCATGCAAGAGGCGCCAAGAAGCATCACATCCTGTTTAGCCTTTCCCACGGTCGGAGCCTAGACGCCGGTGACTGGGCCCTAGATTGTCTCACAGCACCAGGAGCTAACAGTGATCAGCACGGGCAACAACAAACGAGGCTCTTTGTGGACGTCGAAATGGACATAGTATCTCATTTGGTACCTCCAGCTCGATGCATAGCTTGTTTGGAACACAAACCTCTCCGTCTGTGCTGAGCTGTGGGTCGGCAGATCCCGAAGCCCATATGAAGTTCTGCCGCGCACGGTGCCGCCAGTACCGTATCCTGAGGACAGGAGTAACGCGACTTGACAACGGTATACTTGCCCAGTGGATGGCCGTGTCAATCAGGTCAACGACCCTCAATAGTGATGTTTAAATCCTCTCATGTACCAGGAGTGTCTCTCTTGACTGGGCAGATTAAGTCCCTTCTCTGCCTACTCTTGTCCTCAAGGCACGAAATCGAAGCGGTGACAAGGGAACAGCTCTTGGAGATCCTTCTTGGTTGTCGTCCAGCCTCACTCATTCCAAAGCAGTGTCGTCTCTGGGTGGGTCATCCATTGCCGAGCGAGCGGCGCTACCTGATGCTTCCAGGATCTGATATTGCTGCTGACTGATTTCATAAATAAATGCATCTGGATCTCGGAGCTGATGCTGGCTTCTTGGCGAGCAGAACAGGGGCAAGGCCTGGCTACAGCCTGCTGTTATCTGATTGGCCACAGGGCACTCCACACCAACGCTAGCGGTTTCTTCCACCTCGCCTTATGAAGCTGAAGCTGAAGCTGTTCCCGGTTCGCCAATTCCCATCTTTATGATGTTCCACATCCTCTTTTCCCGCCCGGACGTCGGACAAGCTACGTGCTCGGTTCGAGTAGATGGCCCCTCCAGTGGCGCTCCTACCTGCTTCCCCGGATCCTCAATGTGGCGTGTGCTTCAATCATGACAAGCAATGGCCCCAAGGCTCCGCCCTACGTAGATCACTGTTCTCTTTGGCGCGACTACCATTGCAAAACCGGAAGACTTCAGACATTCCCAACGTCTCCCCCTCTTGGCGGCGAAGACCGAGACTCCAAGCGAGGTAGTAATCCGACTGTACACGTCCCGATTTGTGATTCCCGACCCCAATACAGTTAGGACTCTAACTCGAAGCACCTGTGTCACATACAGCCAAGAGCCGAACACGTATACTTCGCTGCATATCGTTGCTGCGATGATCCTCTGGAATCACCCTGCTACAGATCTCTTACAGACGGTCGAGTCTTCTCCAAGCTTTGCTATGTTGGGTTCTGTCGCTAAGCCTCCAGGCGAAGCGACGAGAGAGCCTACGAGACTGGTGCGTGACAATTGTATAAGGTAAACGTGGAGGAACAGACCACGTTAGTTTCCAAATTCGAGCCCATCCCCTTGCCTTCCTCAGCAACGGTTGCTTCTGCTTCCGCTACCCAGTCTTTCCTTTCCTACCACATTATCGATCTCCTCGGCATTCGAGCTCATCCCTGGATTAACATGTCTTCATCAATTGAAAGCAAGAGCCAGGACCACATTATTCAGGAAGAGGCACATGCGGGCTCCACAGCTCTTGCCGGTGGACCTGTGCAACAGCCAGAAGACGGACCGGCGGAGGAAGTTATCTCTGCGTCTGCTGGGTCTGGGCATCTCCCTAAGCACCTAGGGCCGAGCAACGAGGAGCAGACGACTTCGTCCAGAGACCCTTACTCCCTCCAGGGCTACAAGGTCGACAGCGTTGGCCTTGACGAATCAAACAGCAAGCGCCCTTGCCGCAGGCAGACCCGGTGAAGAAATACTGTGAGTCTGTCAATCGCTGGACCGGAAGCCTTGACCACCAGCTTTTGTCTGATCCATGCCCCGGGCGCTGACAACAATCCAGATAACCGCCAAAACGCCCTCATCGACGCCTACCTAGGCAGCAACGATGAAGAGGCCCTCGAAGCCGAAGACAACATCAAGAACGAGGGCAAGGTCCGGTTCGCCGTCAACGCCAGCTTCGCATGTAACTTCTGCCTGTTCGTCATCCAGCTCTATGCGGCCATCTCGACCGGGGTCGCCGGCTCTGTTTGCCACGGCCCCAGACGCATTCGTAAGTCACCTTCTACTACCTCGGCGAGGATGCACATCCCACTGACTGCTCTCAGATGGACCTCGTCAGCTCGGTCGTCATGCTCATCACCTCGTGGATGGGAGCACGGCCCAAGCTGGCCAAGTTCCCCGTCGGGCGCAAACGCGTCGAGACCGTGGGCATCATCCTCTTCTGCGCCCTGATGACGACGGTCGCCGTGCAGCTGATCATCGAGTCCGCCCGCGCCCTCGGCCGTGGGGCCCGAGACACAGAATCGCTGGCCATCATCCCCATCGCGTTCGTCTCGACGGCCATGTTTTCCAAGGCGTGTCTCTTTGTGTACTGCTTCCTCCTGCGCCGGTACCCCGCGGCACGGAACTTCATGATCGACCACCGCAACGACATTGCCGTCAACCTGTTCGGCCTGACCATGTCGACCGTCGGCAGCCGCTTCAACAAGGTATGGTACCTCGATCCCGTGGGCGCCATCTGCATCGCACTGCTGATCCTGTGATCGTGGGCCTCGACGGCGTTCGAGCACATGTGGTATCTGGTGGGGAAGTCGGCGCCGCAGGACGTGCTGAACAAGCTCGTGTACGTGAGCGTGACGCACGATGCGCGGATCCAGAAGATCGACACTGTGCGGGCGTATAATGCTGGCGAGAAGTTCTATGCCGAGGTGGACATTGTGATGGCCGGGACCGAGCATCTCAAGGTCACGCACGACGTGAGCCAGAGCTTGCAGCGGAAATTGGAGGGGTTGTCGGATGTGGAGCGGGCATGTGTCCACGTCGATTATGAGGCCGAGCACGACGCCCATGAGGAGCACAGGGCTCTGTATAAGCGGGCGAGAAAGGCCGAGGAGCAGAGGGTGGAGGATGCTACGGGGAGACCGGAAAATGAGGCGAAGAAGGGCGTGTTTGCGAGGTTGCCGAGGTGATGTGATATGGTGGTTGGATCTTGTCTTTGTGATCGTAGCCGTGGTGAAGGGGTTGATTCTACTAGAAAAGTGTCTATGTTTCTGGAAATGCTATGTGGTAACAGCAACGGTACCTCGGGCTGTAGTTGATGGACATACAGGAAGTGGTGTGAAAGATCTCTGTACATCCGCCATACGTGTATACACACGAGCCGCAAGCCTGAGCGAACAACAAGGAATAAACACAGACATGCACGACACCAGACCTTGACCCCAGTCATTCTCAATAATTAATGATCTACCGAAAGGCAGTCAAGTGTCCTCCCCTTCACCCTTGCCACACAACATCCACCCACAGTGAGTGCGAGACAGTGCGAGACGCTGTCCATGAGACGTACACATCGTAATCATCATCACCATCGATCCTCAAGCCGTGGACCACGCAAATTCGACCCTAATCGGATTATGATCCGAGAGTCTATCGCCGTTGGGCTGCACAAACTTGTTCGCCACGTGGATATAGGTGAGCGCCGACAAGCTGACCGAGTCGCCCGACCGATACCTGGAGTGACAAAAGACAAGATCAGCATCAGCATCAGTCAGTGGCGTGGAGGGAGCAACGCCCACAGATCATCACATGCACATGCACATCCCACGCAAAGGACAACTCACAAGATCTTGTCCACATCCTCACAGTCATTCGTCCCCGCGGGGATCCCACAGTCGATATTGGCCGAGCCGGCCGCGGGCGCGACGCCACCCCTGACGAGCTCGATCCACGCATCGTGGAACCCGGCGGCCGTGAGGAGATCGATGCTCCGGCCCGACTCGGTATACCGATCATTCAAGTCGCCGGCGATGACGACCGCGCGGCCGACCGAATTGGCGGCGATATAGGCGAGGAGCTGCTGGACGTTGGCGCGCCGGGCGTTCTTGTCGCCCTGCTCATCCCCGGCGTCGGCGTGCAGATTGTACAGATCGACCGTGACGCTGCTAGGGAGCTGGAGACGCATGAACGTGAAGCCCTTGGGCGTCAGGCAGTCGGCCTCGTTGATGAAGCACGTGGACCACGGCACGCGCGCGAACGTCGTCCACGGGAACCGCGAGAGTGTGTTCAGGCCGCTTCCCAAGGGTACGTTGCCCGACGTGACGGTGCGGTAGGCGTGGTTGTCATGCTCGTACAGGTCGGAGTGGTACGCAAAGTCCTAAACCCCATCACAAAGAAAACGGACGGACGAGTCAGTGTTCTGTCCAGGAGGGGGGGCCCTTCTGCTTTGGAGGTCATGGACACAACACACACCTCCTGCACGTGGATCACATCGTACGCGTACTCGGCGAACTTGGAGCCGATGGCCGCCGCGTTGGTGGCCTTGTCGCCGGGGACGCCGTTGTCGGTCAGAAAGGCCGGCAAGCCCGCGATGTTGTAGGTGAGGAGGTCGAAGGTGCCGGACGTGGCGGCCGAGGAAAGTCGTAGGAAGAGGAGGATGAGAGTAATCAAAGTCGAGATCGTCTTCATCGCTGCGGCAGAAGGACAGGGAACAAGTACGAGCGCGATATCGGCATCGACTTCGACATCATGTCTCCTGCGACGCGCCGGGCTGAGGCACCCTGGCGCTCTAGATATAGGGAGAAACGACACTTCAGACTTGAGATTGAGACTTCCGTCTTGGTAGGCGGTCAACGAATCAATCAGTCTGTCAATCTGTTCTGCGACGGGCACGTCTAGACCCGTGGTGGTCTATGGAAGCGAGGCTGTGATCCGGGTCGAACGTCTCCCGCCCACATGGTCCTCTGTCCGGGCACTGTGTACGACTACATACGTGAGCCGGGATCCTTCCAGCAATTTCAAAGCTTCATGCATGTGCTGGGACAAATCAAGTCTCGACGGGTACGAAGACAGCAACGGACGGCGATCGAGCGACCTGACGACGTGGCGCTTTCATTGGCAGCTGCTGCAATGGCCACTCAATGCCCAAACCACCGAGAGCTGCCGTTTTTGTATTTGCCTCCTGCACAGTGCGTTCGCTTGGAGAGTGTTTCAGACTCAGAAGACATGGATCAGAATGCTCGGTTTTGCACAATGTTGGTGAGAGGAGAGGGATTGGTGCGCGGACGCCAGGGGACGAGATTAGGCTTCTGGCCAGGGGAGCCCTATCACCAGTCTCGTACGAGTATGTCTCGATTCTGGGCGACTGGTTCGTATCCCTGCATTGACGGGATGCCATTCTTGGCTTGTCGATCACTGCATTACTCCGGCCGATCAGGGACCGAACGTACTTGAGTCGATCATCAACCCAGAAGCCCGAATCAAGGACCGTACAGTGACTCTTCGACTGTCTTGTAGCCCTCGAGTCTGCCACGATGGGCGTCAAATCTCTGTAGGCCTCGAGCACAAGATCACTGCGGCCCCCAAGATCGATTAGGTGGACCAGCCCTCTATTATGTTGAGTAGCAGGGGTCATCTCCCTGGGAGAACACTAACACACCAGAACGACCAACACCATCAATGACAGGAACAAGAAGTCCCGGACTTCAACGCCGCTACTACCTGTTTCCCAAGTACCTTTAGTCTAATCTCCTTCACTGCGGCATCGGCAGCACACCGACAACCCGCTCGCGGACGACTTCATCACCCAAGGTGAGCTCGAATCGACGCAGCACCGCCAAGGTCGCCAGATGCATCTGCACATACGCCAAACTACAGTACTCGTGATATCCCCAGGATCAGCATTTCGATGCGCGTCCCAAAGGCGTCAAAGGTCGCATTGGTCGCGATTCTCGGGTGTCTGCCACCTTTGTTCCCTGCCGGGGTTTGGTCGCATGCGTATCGAGCTTACGAGCCAGGACACAAAGTCCGTACCAGGGATCCAATCGCGACTTTGCCTTGCTGAAGGGTTTGTAATTGAGCAGGAACGTGTCACTTAGGCGTGCCAAAACCCGCGAACATACACGATTTCTTCCATCCAGGCCTGCCAGAGGGATATGATCCTGCTGCTACAGGGACCCGTGATATTGCCTTGTCCAATGGCCAACGACAGCGGACAGCGGTTGTTCGGGCAATGATGCGAAATCCGGAGGTATTGCTACTCCGATGAGGCAACGAGTACGCGAGATAGTGAGAGAGAGGCGGTCATGCAGGAAGCTCTTAAGAAAGCAAGATAGGGTAGAACCACGATCGCGCATCAATTGTCGACGACTCAAAGGTGCGATCGGATCATGGTTTTGCATGCGTATACACCGTAGATTCGGTGCGCTGCACAGTCATGACAGTATTCCTAATCATAAGTGGTCAATGCAGGACCTGGTATGGGTTGGAGAAAATATAAGAGGAATCTCAACTGGTCGAAGGAACAGATCCGAATCCGAGGGAAGCGCCGAATCATTGCTGCTTTAGATGAAGCGGGCAAGGCTGACGGGGCTCGGCCGAGTTTCCGCCTACGTCATCGACGCCGCTTTTCCGCGTTCCGCCAGTCGAAGTCGCAGCCTTGCCTGCCACTTTCCCTCTGTTTCGAAGGACAAAACTCTCGCTAGAAGATCATTACTGTACCACGGTACAGACATCTACCACTAAAGACTCCACGAGCCTCGAAGAAATAAATCCACATCCGCTGTACTGTATACACACCCCCGATTCCGCCGGCCACCCCCACCACGATGCCGCCTGTGCGTGCGCGCTCCACGAAAAAGCCACCCCCGGCCGGCTTCGACGACATAGAAGACACGCTCCTGGAATACAGCAACAAGATGCGCGACGCGCAAAATGCCTCCCACGAAGGCAAAAAGAAGCATGAAGTCCTCTGGCCGATCTTCCAGATCTCGCACGCCCGCTCCCGCTACGTCTACGACCTGTATTACACCCGCGAAGCCATCTCCAAGCAGCTGTACGAGTGGCTGATCAAGAACGGGTACGCGGACGCGGCGTTGATCGCCAAGTGGAAGAAACAGGGATATGAGAAGCTGTGTTGTCTGCGGTGCGTGCAGACCAAGGAGACCAACTTCGCCGGCACGTGTATATGTCGGGTGCCCAAGGCGACGTTAAAGAGGGATGGAGAGGAGGGCGGCGGTGGTGGTGGAGGGGGCATTCAGTGTGTGAATTGTGGGTGTCGGGGCTGTGCGAGCAGTGACTGAGCTGCTGCGAAAGTCTCTAGGTGATCGATGACCACGAAAAGAGCGTCGACAAGTTGAACGGCTCTTGGGGCCTTGCTGCTCAAATGGCGGCAAAGACGATCAAGGAGCACTTCGAGCGGCTGCAGCATTGGCGGAACCCAGCGGCGTGCATGGCGGAACAATCTGTTCGCCCAGCTACTTATCCCAAGCATCCGGGCAGCGAAGAACAAATGTTACGATGGAGAGCAGTCATCGTCGGCATTCCGAGTGAAGGAACCGGCAGAATGCCTGTGGAATGCCAATACTGCCAAGGAATAGCGACCGCTAGGCTGTCGCGCGAACCGGCTGGCGCTCACAGAGGCGAGGCACGAGTATTATGAGGATGGCCAGATGGTGGCCATGGCGTCTGGGAGCCAGTCCGCTGCAATGATACCCATGAGATTTTCCGGCGAAACGTTTACCGAGTCCTAGCAAATATAGAATGTAGTATAGAGAATGACATCAGCTTCAAACGAATGGCTACCTGAATCGTCAAAGTATGAGTATCATCATTCACGACAAATGAGATCCTCCTCAAAAGAGTGTCCTTGCTTCCTTGTTTCCAAATGTGTCGCACAATATCGTCCTTAGAAATACTATGCAGGTCGAGACCGAAGGCGTCGTTGCCTAGCATAAATCACCCGCGAGAAACCAGATCCAACTTCAGCACTCTCCTCAAGTCATCCTCGAGCTGTTGCGCGCTAGGCTTGGCTCGATGAGTGGGCATTTGTGGATGGCTCATATAAGGGTTGTACTGCGGTGGCTGTTGATGGGGGGCTGTATTCTTTCGTGACGACGATGGTGGTGTCAACGCGCTGTCGGAGGATAGCTCTGCATACTCCGGCTCGCTCTGAGCTCCATACACATGGCGCAAACGTGAAGAGGTGGGCCGTTTGGGCGTCTGCGTCTGTGGGGTGGGAAATGGGTAGCCCACTGCAGCGAAATTGTGTACAGGATCGGCGCCTGCAACGTCCTGAGAGTATACTGGTGTGGACGGGTTTGACGTGGCCCGGACGGGGCCGGACGGCTGCGGAATAGCAGGAGTCCTCGAGTATGGCGCCCGGGCATTGAAAGGGTTGTTGGTGTTGGGATTATGGCTGGCCATGTTGTTATTTTCTTGCGCACTCGACTTCATGAGGAGCTTCTTCAACGCTTCACTCTTTGCTTTGCGCTCCTCATCGTTCATACTTTTGCCTCCTGTTGATGTCGACCGTGCAGCTGCAATGCGATCCTTGAAGGGGGTAGCAAAGGCTGACCCATCTTCCCCGGGTGTTGCGCCGTCCAACTCAAACGGGAACATCGGGTCTCCTTCGCGGGGAGCAGGGGATAGGGAAGCAGGACTCCCACTAGGCACGGAAACATTGCCAGGCCGAGTGGCAGGGCTGTCAGCTCGAGAATTCGCCCTCGCCTGTCGGGCTGCTTGGAAGAGGAAATCGCAAGGCGTGGCTTCAGCCTTGCTGGGCGACCCGCCGGCGGGCGTGATTGTGGCAGCCTGAGTGGCGGGGGACTCAGCATCAGTCGGCTTCAACGGGATGGTCGTTGTCGTAGGCAGAGACTTCGAATAGAAACTCGGAAGAGGCAGAGCGGATGCAGCTGGGGACTGTTGAAAGTTCGAAGCGGCGTACGCGGCTGGCTTCATCGGGGTTGGTGTGGCCTTTGCTTTCTCGTACTGTGGATTGTTGTTGTTGGCTTGCTTCACCCCTGCCTGATGCTTGTTGAGAGGGTGCGGGGAGACACGTTGTTGGGCTTTATTGCTGTTGTTCTTTGTTGTGCTGGCCGCAGCGGGGTGGGGGTTGCGCTGAGGCCCTGCGGCAGAAGGCACGGAAGGCATCGCGGAGCCATCGAGGCTCAGGCTGTCACCCTCCGAGGGTCGATGCTTCCTCCCAGATCGGCGAGGAGCTCTTTGAGCTGGCTGCTTGGAGGTCGTGATTGGTGCAGACATTCTGGAGCGTGTTTGGGGCTTGATAAAATCGGCAGCCCAGGACCTGATCAGATAAGAGATAAACGAAATGCGACAACGCTCAAATACGCATATACAACAGTAGACAAGAAGGAACCACCGAGTCTAGCACTGGCTGTCTATCTTGAGCGTTTCCGATGCGGCGAAGCGTAAAGTGCGGAGGTGCTGGGTCGTCGTGGTTGTTGTGAAATGTGCTTGTACATGGACGTGTAAGTGTTCATTGTTTGATTGTCTTGTTGTTTTGATGCTTGAACGACCAGGTCTATCGCCGAGGCAGAATAGCTGGTCTAGAGATCGGGCGAAGTGTAATCGCAGAGGGAGGGTATCGTCGGATGTAGGCTAAGGATGGTAGGGTGTCTCGGCCGGTCTGGTGATGAGTGTGAATGTGAGGAGAGGGATGGGTGACGCAGGCTGGCCACAATATCGGGGGAGGCGAGCAACAATAATAAGCGTCTCAGAAAGGCGGCGGCTGAGGCTCGCGGCTGGGAGGCGCGGGTCCTCAGCCCTCAGCTGCTTCGATTGGCCATGGCGTCATCTGCAGGGAGAAACCACCAAACCCAGAGGTGCCTGTCGCCACTCTCTGGGGTTTCAGTGGCGCCAGTCTATGTCGGCTGCAGTCACAGCCTCGTCGTGATTCACTTCCGCCCGCGGCAGCCTTGTATGTTACAGTCTCCGCAGTGGGATCTGAACTGTCAGTGCCTTTCGAGTGCCGTTCCATCCTCCTGAAGGTTGACCGCTTCAATACGTCCTCGCTCCCATCTCTTCCACTCCGGTGACAATCAGAACTGTACCCCACTGATCGAACACTTCCAATTTCAACCGCCCCGCACCTCCGACCCTTTGAGCTGGAATCGCCCTGACTCAAAGACATCACGATGGCGGACGTTGAGATGAAGGATGCTTCGCTCACTGAGGCCAAGGCCAAGGCCCCCGTCAAGGCGTCTAAGGGCGGTGCTACCGAAGGTGGCGACACCAAAAAGAGATTCGAAGTGAAGAAGGTCAATTGCCTCATGAGAAATCAATATCAGACGGCCATACTGAATGTCTACAGTGGAATGCGGTTGCTCTTTGGGCTTGGGACATTGTCGTTGACAACTGCGCCATTTGCCGGAATCACATCATGGATCTCTGTAAGCCAGACAGCGTCCGCACCGACCAATCTGCCTCAGCGCTGACAATGGTACAGGTATCGAATGTCAGGCAAATCAAGGCGCTGCTACAAACGAAGAGTGCACGGTCGCGTGGGGTATCTGCAATGTGAGCATATCTGTAGTTGCTGTCCGGGTCAAAATCGCTGAAGATGGTTCTAGCATGCCTTCCATTTCCACTGCATCTCACGCTGGCTGAAGACCCGACAAGTTTGCCCACTTGACAACAGAGACTGGGAATTCCAAAAGTACGGAAGATAGTCGTATTGTGGGGAAGAGAGCAGGATGTGAATTTCTTGAAAGAGCATGGTTTTGCATGGAGCAGCCTCCCAAGCTGCAAGTCATACCACCAACAGAGCTGGTGTAATCGGCCAGAGGTGTCGGTGAGTCAGCCATGGTTTCCGGAGCCAGCAGCGCTACACGTCTCTGGGTCTGGCGAAGAATTTTGATGAGATATGACCCAGCAACGCTCCGAGGCAGGGAGCACGCCAGCCAAACATACGGATCACTAGCTAAGAGGCTAGGAGGTCGTCGTAGATAGCCCAAAGCTGAATAGCCATGACTCATGACCATTCTATTTCAGTTCACCGAGCTTTCCCTCCCACCACAATCCCTCCTGGCGGCAATGCAGCTTGGGAACCAAGCCATGGTTGGGGATGTTTGTTGTAAATAGGCCAGGGCGGAACGACCAGCAGCATAGCAAGTGCTGTGCCGGCCAGTCCGATCCACATGATTAGGTAGATGTCCTGTTGAATGAAGCCAACAATCAATGCAACAGCCTACAGATGTGTCAATCAGCCGCCAACGCGATCACTTCAACGCCCTGGTAGGAGTTTGTCGGGACAGCCTTACAGAAGAGAGTGTGAGAAGAACCGTGGAGGTCGTCTCGGCAAGGCGCTGGCCATCGAAATCCTGGACGCCGAGTTAGGGAATGGAGGGCTCACGGTGAGGACAAGGTGAGAGTCGGCTGGTTGTTAGGACTTACAATCTGGCCCTCGAGGAGGTCCTGAAGCTGAGAGATAATCGCGTCCATATTCAGCACTCCTCCAGTTGGACAGTGTGCCGTGCACTTGGTGGTTATCGTCTAAGCATAGGTGTCTTTCGTCACGTTGTTTGTGGAATTTGGCTTTGAAACAAGCTCTCCAGACGAGCGGAGTGACTGCAGGCTCGACAATTCTTGAGGCGTCAGTGGGCGTCGGGTCCAGGCTTGACAGGCATTGCAAGGCGATCTCGGCGTCTGACCGCACCAAAGACCGTCCAGGTTTGGGGGATCTCGACGCACCGTGACTGGCTGTTGCCAGCCTGCACCAAGGAAAAGGCAAAAATACCTCGCTAAAGGGCAAGAGTCATGCTGGTTCCGTCTCTCCGGCCCCCTGCAACCTGTAACCTGCAAGACTTTGTTCTCTTTTTCTTCACCAATTTTTCATTCCTGCTTGTCCCCAGTGACATCGTGTCGCATACATAACAACCGCCCAATTCCCCCCACCTTTTCGCACACTTTTCAACCCATCGAGGTCCCCGTCAATTGTCGGAGACTGCTCATCAACTTCCGCATCCTGCTTCAATCTGCTGTGCTGAGGTGGAATTCTTTGTGCTGAGGTGCTCGTTCATACCGACCACCATCCTTTAGCGACCGACTTGTACCCAAGGGTCGGTCCACTTCTACGCTCTATTCCACACAATCCAAATCAAGGCATAGGAAGGCTGTCTTCAGTCTTTCCTATTCTTGCAACAATCCCATCACCCTGGCGCTCGACAACGACGTCCTCTCCCGATCAACCTTCAAGTTGGCGGGCTACACAGTCCTCTCTTCCCTAATCCGCCCGCTGCTAGGCACATCCCTCATGGTTTTCACTGGGGCAACCACCCGACCCCCATAACTGGCCCTTCGGAGCTTTCATCGTGTCCCTGGCCGTCGCTGGCCCAGGGGGACCTTTATTATCTGAATATCTGGAAGAGGAGGTTCGCCTGTTTTGGAATACAATCAAACCCCTTGTTTGCCTGGCGAGAATATCGCCGCAGCACTCTCCAAAGTGGCATAACTTCGATTTACCTGGCACCGTTAGGGTGCTGTCCTTGCGGGTCGGGTCCCTCTCCGAACAAAGACCACGCCCAACATGTCATCCTCCGGATCCCTTCCAGAGGAGAGAATGGACAGCCGATACAGCACCCCTGCTCCCGAGCTGGACGATCATCGGAACAGTCTGGGTGTCCAACCCGCGCATGTGACCTTGAATGTGCCCGCGGTCGAGTTGCAAGTCCCCACACCAAGACCAAGTGAGATCGGAGAAAGGGACCTTCTGTCTGTTGACGATGCCTTACTCAATACGCGCGACCAAGAGAGCAATCCAATCACCCGAGACTTCGAACATGCCATCGACGACGAATACAAAAGCGATGGGGAGCATGACCCCTTCCCAAGTGGCGCAAGGCGTCCTTCCCTTCGTACAAGGAGGTACACCAACAATCGCGAAGCCCGAACCCCGCGGCTTGCAGCAAGGCATGATCGCTCGCGCGATAGCTCTTCTTCGCGGTCTACGTCACCTGCCAATTCTGTCGAGGCATTCGCCGAACCTCGTCGAAGGCAGCGTGCCAACACCGCCGAAAGCCACTCGTCTTCAGTCTTGGACCAGTTCCGCAACCGGACTTATTCGGGAGGCACTAATCAAAGACGTCCAACCTTGAGCAACATCAGCATCCCTGCTGCTGCCCTTACCCACCGCACTGACAGGGATGTTGACGAAGACGACCTTTTCCCTACCGACGAGGAGCCCGGCAAGACCTACAAGATTGATTTTGAGGAGCTCGAGGAATTTGTCGTTCTTAGCGCGCAGGGGAAGATTCCGGATGATCAGATCACCGAGGTTTCGACTGAGAGCCGGACTTTTGGAGATTTGCGGAAGCAATACAGCGGCGGCCAAGAACCGCCCAATGCGGCACTGAACGGTGAATCGTTCTTTGAAAAACCCGTCACGCAGCATGATTCGAACCATGACCCTCCCTCCTCGTCCGAGGAGAAGATTGCGCTCAAGCCTGGACATCTGCCCGTCAAGCGCAATGATCGGTTCTTTTTGTTCTCTTCCGAACTGACCCAGGGGAGACGCGCGAGCAAATTGGGGGACTTTGTTGCCGATGGCACCACATTCCGCGACTTGTTCGACGTCGGACCCGATGGCGGGGTATGGTGGCTCGATGTGCTCAACCCGACCAAGGCTGAACTCGCCGTTCTTTGCAAGGCTTTCAAGATCCATCGTTTGACCCAGGAAGATATTGAGACTCAGGAGGCTCGTGAAAAGGTCGAGCTCTTCTCTCAGTACTACTTCGTGTGCTTCCGCTCATTCAACATGGATCGAGGCCACGAGGATTTCTTGGATGCGATTCACGTCTACATTGTTGTTTGTGCCGATGGAGTCCTTAGCTTCAGCTACACCCCGAATCCGCATGCTAAGAACGTGCGCAAGCGGATCGCCAAGCTCGGCGACTTCCTCTCAGTAGGTCCAGACTACATTTGTTACGCCCTGATCGATGACATTGTCGACTCCTTCGCACCCATCATCCGCGAAGCAGAAAACGAGTCCGAGAGTATCGAAGACCAAGTCTTTATCGCGCGTGAGGACGACTTCCTCGCCCTCCTTCGACAGATCGGCGAGTGTCGCAAATGTGTTCTGAACCTGATGCGCCTCCTGGGAGGCAAGGCTGACGTCATCAAGGGGTTTGCCAAACGCTGCAACGACCAATATCAAATGACCCCCCGCGGCGACATCGGCTTGTACCTGGGCGACATTCAGGACCACGTCGTCACCATGATGTCGAACCTGGGCCACGTGGAGAAGATGCTTTCGCGGTCGCATGCCAACTACCTGGCGCAACTGAACGTGGACAATATTCTCAAGGGCAACCGCACCAACAAGAATCTGGCCAAGATTACTGTTCTGGCGACGATCTTGGTGCCTCTGAACCTCATCACGGGCCTGTTCGGCATGAATGTCAACGTTCCAGGCAAGGACACCGAAGGGCTCTACTGGTTTTTTGGCATTCTGGGCGGGATTGGACTCTTTGTCATGATGAGTTTATTGCTTGCACGGCGGTTGAGGGCCATTTGAAGATGCTATTTGGTGGTATAATGTGTCACATTGGTTTTTTTCATTTTTGGAAAGATTTGTGTCGTTCTCCGGGGACTCTTGACGGATGAAAGCGGTAGAAGGAGGAGAGAAAGTGCAACCGAAGCCACTATGACGAGAATGCGCAGACGCCACAGAGTATATCTACTCCGGGCCCGATGTTCTTGGTTTGATCCAGCTTACTGTATCTTGTGAGACAGACAGGGATAGAAAGAATCTTCGGCTAGACTGACATTTCTTTTGTTCGTCCATTCGTCTATTCGTCCACTCACTCGTCCATGGGGATCATCATCGTCTGTCTGCCTTGCCTACCACGTTTTCAGTACTTGCAACACTAAGACGACTGTCGGGAGGCGGAGATTGGTAATCGACGCGGCCATAGCGTCTGTACTGTAGATGAGGCGGTGGCCCTGCGCATGTCTCTTCGAAGAAAGAACGCGCGTGCTTTTACACAGGACCTATCGAGTGCAAGAGCTTCGATGTCCCGGAAAATAATTTTTTTGGTGACTGTTGCTCTCTCCCTCTAAGCTCCAGGCGCGCGCGAGACTCGATACAATGGACAGCCGAAGAGAAGGTGTGGGCTGGCCCCAAAAATGCATGGTGATCGAAGCGACAGGCAACTTGCTTGACACTGCAAGCCAGCCAGCTTTCCCTAAGTCGTCAATGCGTTCTGGGCCGTCTGCCATTTTGAGAAGCTTCTGGCAACATGCCCAGTAGATGTTTCCGGTCATAGGCTCTAGCTTAGTAAAGAATACAGGTCGGATAGAACCCGATCTCGACCCATGGACACAGCATTTTTATGTCCCTGCGGAGATGGCGACTGCTGATTGGTAATTACTACGGCATGGAATAAGTGCCAAACTGCGGCGTTACCGAAAGTGATGGCACGGAGACCGAGCGGGATCGTCAGCAGGAGTTCGAGGACGATGTACTCGTACCAGTAGACGCATTTCGTGACAGCTGATGAATGGGTAATCCATCCCCTTCAATCCCGACGGGTGGGCTCTCAAGCCGCAGTAATGGCGTAGGAGAAACCAATATCCGACCGCATCGGATGCTGTGATGATGCCAGAATATTCTACTCTGACGAGACGGTTGGAAAGGTCGTTGGGCGTTGGCTATGAAGCTGAAACGGCCGCCGGTGCGCGGCACTGCAGCGGGGCTGAGGTTTTCGGACGCACTGCCAAAGCGCTCAGCTGCGGACGTGCTGACGGAGTTCTAGGTACTCGTAGATACTTCGGTACTGCTACCTGTACGTATACTGGGTACGAGTAGCGTACGAATCTTGGTTAGCGCCACCGGACTTTGCGTGGTCAATGTTCGGCATCTGCTCTGACGCATATCACAGTATTCGATGTGGCGGTTTCCTGTTCATCACGGTGCTCAGACCTGATGCAAACAGGAAACAGGGACAACCCAGGCGTATCTAATTGGTCAGTAGCTTTCTCAGCGTTAATGCAGGGAAAGCTATACTTATCTCAACGCCATGCAGGCAGGCAAAGGCTGGGCCACGGGAATGTCTTGTGTACCTTGCATTAGTCGCAGCGAAACTCACCGATTGGCAGTCGATCTTGTTGCTTCATGAGGCTCCAGAGAGGCAAGCAATCGTTCAGAAGTCGAAGGTTCGAGAGCCTAGAACGTTTCTACTCAGTAGTTACACAGCGCATGACACAAAGGCTGCGTTGCCAACTGCGGGTGCATCAACACGTCTGAATGAACTGCACCGCTCAGGCCATTGCGCGGACAGTCACCGCAGTGTACACATATAGAAGTGGATACTCCATTCCTAGACGGTAAATGAAGTAATTGAGGGGTCCGGTCTGCCCTCGAATGTGATCTGATAGGATTTGCCGAAGGGAGATCGTCCTAGACATTGTCCAGAATGTTCGATTTAGCCGGCCATGCTTCGAAGATCTTGATTTTCAGAATAGCATGTTGTGCAGACGGGCGACTTCCGTCACTCAAAACTTGGTTCTGTGCATGTCTTGAACCTGCAGACCTCGTGTGGCGGTTGCACGTTGAGATCGCACGGAGAATTTGCCCCGAGGAGGGAGATCGCCCACACATCCGGTATTGTCCTCGGGTGCGACTCTGGAAAGGCGATACGGAGTAACGAGGACTTGATCGAGAGGTGTGGGATTCGCATCCGAGACAAAATGATGTGCGTCGACAAAGTCTTTTGACTCTCGAGTTGACTCTCTCTTGACCTCGCACACGGCAAATCACGATAGCGAACCCGCTTCAGCCATTGATAGTCCCCCTTTTATGGGTGTGAAGCCCCTTTATTTGAGCCTCTGACCGTGCCCGTTTGCCTATCATGTAATCTCCTGACAGCGGACTGCAACCTACGTATCGGTTAGCGGAGCCACTAGAAGGCTTGATCGCGGCCCTTAGATTGACGCGTCTCGGAGTAGTGAAACGCGATTCGGACGAGATGATAGTGGAGGCACTTCCTGATTTTCGTTCACGGATGACTGATGAAGAGCATGGAGCAGCGCCTGCAGCTTTGAGCGAACGAGGCCGTCATCAGCTTGTGTTGCCCCCACTAATCGCCTACACCGTCGGCTGATTGAGAGATGATTGACACGTCCAGATCCGGGGCGCAGCGCTTGGTGGTGCGGGAAGGAACAGCTGAAGGCGTTAGGCAGCTGAATGAGGGAAGAATACGAGGGAGTAAGGTCTTGGAGTGGCTGCAGGTGCAAGAGTCGCCGGTTATCGTACCGTAGCTATCGCAGAGACTCGTCAGCTTCTTGGTTCGGTAGTAATTTGTGCTGGGTGGACGCCGTAACATGGTGGGCACGTACCCAGCACTCCGCAGATAGGGAACGCATGGGTGAGGCTTGCACTGCTTGCGTACATTGATTTGCACCACAACATGCGAACCCCGGCAATTGCCAGGATGCTTGTCAAAGTTTAGGCAAGGCAAGAATGCGCAGAGTGGGCAAGGGGGGACGAGTGGGTTTGCTAGGCGCGGGTGTCTAAAATGTCATCTGCACAATGCGTGATGCTTCTTGGGCCTCGGGCTAGGGCTAGGGCCCGGGCTCAGGTTCAGGCTTAGGCTTGGGCTTGGGCGTGAGCTGGGGGTCTGCCCGCCCGTAACCGTGGCCCTTAGCGGCTCCCGCGGCTCCCCATATTCATATTTTGCAGGTGGCGGTCCCCTTTTGATGTCGCGTCCTGCAGTTGCGGTGTGCCGGCAACATTCTTGTAATCGTCTTCTTCCAGGTCGATCCTCCTCCTCCCTCTTATCCACACCTTCAACCGCCTTAATACCTCTGTCCCTACTCCGTACTTACACGAACGCACTGGCTTGCTGTGTACCAACGCTTCTCTGTTCTGTTCTCGGCCAAACCCCCAGTCATTCCAGCAGTTCTTTGTTGTTTGCCCCGAGCCACAACACACAACATACAACGCAGCCGGCCTTTGTTGTGACCACAGCAACCACCGCAAGGACAACCGCACGCATTACCGGATGCCACAAGATTCTAATATCGTATTGTAATTCAACTCGCCACCGTTAGCAGCGGCCGCCAAAGTGGCAGCGACTACCCTGACCGTGTCGCCAGTCATGGCAAACTCGTGCGTGATCCCTCCCCGTCTCCGCGTCTGCCAAAACTGACCCCTTCCAGCCTCACGACAGCATGGCGCTCGTTCTGGCATACCATGACCTCTAATGACCGCCACGCCTCGCACGACTCTCCGTACCGAACGGGCCAGCATGTCCCTGTCGGACAAAGTCGACACGCTGCGCTGACATCGATCGCAACCAGTGCTATTGACTCCCAGCAAGACCTCTCCCAGACATACCAGGACACGAAGCGACCCTCCGTCTCCTCGTCCCAGGTCGGCCAGTCCCCCAACAGACCCTACTCTCCGGGCATGCGCTCGTTAAACTCACCGAAACGTGCTGGCATCGACGAGGTTGTTTCTCCAGGCGAGATACAAATGCAGAATTTTGCTGATGGCTCGCCTCCCCCACCCCCAGTCGCCCACTCGTGGAAAAAGATCGACTGGTGGGCCGAGAAGAACTATACTGAGCTCTGGGATCAGCTTGGTGAAGGGTGTACACAGAATGACATCAACGAACTGGAACACGAGCTAAACATGTCCTTACCGCAAGACGTCCGCGATTCGCTTGCCATTCACGACGGACAAGAGCGCGGCGGCCGACCGACGGGTATCATTTTCGGTTGCATGCTTCTCGACTGTGAAGAAATTGTGCAGGAGTGGAAGAATTGGCAGATCGTCAACGAGGAGTACCTGAGTGGTGGCCGGAGACCGTCCTACAGCTCCAAAGGCCTCAGCAACAGTGCCTCATCCTCAAATCACGCCCAGAACCGCTTCTGGAGACAAGAATTGCTCGATAGACAGGAGTCTCAGCCACCAAACGCGATCCAGAAGGCATATGCGCATCCCAGCTGGATTGCATTGGCCAGGGACTGGGGTGGGAACAACATCGCGGTCGATCTAGCGCCAGGTCCTATGGGTCAATGGGGTCAAGTTATCCTGTTCGGACGCGACTACGACTGCAAGTATGTCGTCGCCCGGTCATGGGCACACTTTTTGGCCACTGTGGCAGATGACCTCAGCACGGAGAAAGTCTTTGTGGATGAGGACACAGGCGAGCTCAAATTGAGGGAGTTTAGGACCGAGGCAGTCGAGCCGGCTTACATGGATATTTTGCGTTGGAGGGCAGATCAGAAATATGGCCGCAGAGGACCAAGACGGAGATCTCAACCAGGCGGCATCAACTCCAACACGGTAGCACAAAATGGGCGTCATTCCCCATACGGCAGTCCGGTCCTTGGTGAAGATAGAGGCCGGTCCCCGCAACGATTCTCCAGAGGACCTGCAGGCAGTCCAAGACACGCCGTCGGCAGTCCTCTCGCGCGTGTTCAGGAAGAAATAGCCCAGCCACAGGCCATTCGACCCGGCGGCGACGTGGTTAGAGACTTCGCTGAAGCCGCGGAGCAGTCTGTCACCGAAGGCAAGAAACGAGCGGGTCCAGCACCGATAGATCCAAAGGCAGCACCTTCGAGCAAAGACGACACAGACAAGCTGGTGGATGTGCCAACGCCGGCTTCGTTGAAGGGCGCCGACTTGAAGGACTTCCCGTCAACGCGGCTCACTCGGGTGCTGACCGCAGGCAACAATGAAAGCACGGACAATACTCCGACCGAGCCAGAACCCGAAGTCAAAGGTCTGGGGGTAAACGGCATCGAGGGGGAGATGAAGACGGTTGCGATATAGTTGTGTCTCTACTTGTGGCTTTGATGCAATGACTGGAGCGGGATACAATGACCCATTATGGCCTGGATATGGCGTTCGTCCTATGGGGGCCAGCAGTTGCATTGCGAGCAGCGTAGTTTTACCACGCATGGCGGGTTCTGTTTACACAGTCGAGAATTATTGTATCATGGTCGGGAAGCTATCTCTTCTTGGCAAACTCATGGGCTACGTCGGTGGAGGACTGGACACATTCCACGCTGAGGAGAGGGCTCATTAGCTGCCTTGGGACCCCCCAGGTCAGAAGTTGGAAGACCCTGGGCTCGGGGGGCGCGTAGCGAAGGCGGGATATGCTCCATGTATCCTGTAGAAATTAGAGCAGCACGCATGCATGCATAGCGATTCGGTGCCGGTGGAAACGAGACCGTTGAACAGTGAAAATGAAAACAGAGAAGATACACCATCGAAGCACTCGTAGTCCTCGAGCAATCTTTCTCGCTCGTCTATGAGCCGTCGTCCCCGTCGAGAACGATGCAGAAATTGTTCCTTCCTGGGCCGGGATTGATCTCCTTCTTCTTGAACACCGTCTGCCCACCCTTCCTCACCCACTCGTCCCTCGCTGCCGTGCCATCATAGCGCCACAGACTATAATGCAGCTTCCGCGTCGTCTTGGCCCGGACGAGGCAATAGCCCAGGGAATTGAGCATTGCCGCGAGATGCGCGCCGCTCAAGTACCGACTATTAACCAGACATGGGGCCGGGAGAACAAGGAAGAGACAGGGCAGCAACGGCGCCGCGGCGCCTGGCTGGACGGTCTCGTTACGTTGCTCGTCGTGCTCATCGTCGTGCTCGTCGTTAAGGAGAAGATGAGAAAGGGACGTCGGAGGCGGCGGCGAGGAACGGCGTTCACGCCGCGACTGTTTGAAGAACAGGGTCGTCCGCTTTAACATTTCGCCCCTCGCCGTTGCGTCGGGCACGTAGTTGAGCACCAATGACAGAGAGAGGACATCGTATCCTGCGTCCGCCACGTCCGCTGCGGGCCCATCATCTGCGCTCGAACCCGGATCGTGGTGGCGGGTGGGCAGATCCAGATGCATGAAATCGACCTCTTCGATCCCCGGGCCGGAGCTGCGCAGGTCGATCCTCCTCACGGCGGTGATGTCGGGGATATTGAGCGCGTTGTCCGTGCTGAGGGCGCCGACTTCGAGGATGTGAAGGAGGGCGTGAGCATTGGCGTTGGCGTGATCGTGATCGTGATCGTGATCGTGGCTGTGTACATGTTGGCCTCTCGTGCCACTGCCTCGTAGTCGTGCTCGGAGCGTTTCCCTCCGTTCCCTCCGCGCCGTCACCTCCCCGTCGAGCCAGCGGACGAGCTGTCTGCTGGAATCGCCTCCGCGGTCGCGGCTCTGTCCTGTCCGGCTGGCGAGCTGGTACGCCTTGAGCCCGCCCTGGGCTGCGAGCTGGGCTTCGAGGGCCTGGATCTGGGTTGTGTCGCCGCGGGCGCGGGCGGTTGCCAGCCGCTTTTGCAGGAGGTGGTGCGTGTTGATGAGGGTGCGGGTGTGTCTTGATGAGAGGGTCGGCCGTGCACTGGATGTGGCTTTGGCTTTGGTGGTGGTTTTGACTGTGTCCTTGACTGTGTCCTTGGCTGTGTCCTTGGCTGTGGGCTTTGAAATGTCAATGTCTGAGGTCGTCGAGGAGAAGAGTAGTGGAGGGCGGCCTGCTTTGAGGGATCGCGGTTTGGACTTTGAGCGTTTAGAGGGTTTTGATTTTGCGGTGTTTGTGTGTTGTTGTATTCGAGCCATCAAGGACGGACTTCACAGTGACAGGATCGTGTGTTACGTATGTACACAGGACTTGGGTGATGGAGCACAACCGACACACGACTAGACAAGATACTCTGCCGGTGGCGCGAAGGTCAGATCCAGTCTTCACGTCGTTCGTGATCTACGCTTGATATGATGTGGAGACGTATCTCCTGCCCTCATTTGGCTGGTTCATAGTCAATTCTACCAAGCATGCATTAATTGTGGTGTTTGAATTTCTTGCTGACTCATCGTGCGTGCTGCACACAGTATTCTAAGGTCTCTTTTGACGCACATATTCGACAAGAAGGTCTTTGATCGCCCAGTAGTACCATCGATAGTCCTTTCCTGAACCATATTGTGTCCTATCCGTTCCCAGTAAAGCCCAAAAACCCTGCTCATTCATTCTGCCGTTACGCTGTCTGCAGTATGACGAGTCAAGCAAGCCCTTGCTCTCTGCCGAAGTCTTGACATTGTGGCGATTCTCCCATCGCAGCCCAGCACATCTCCGGCTCCGAGCATCTCTTCGTCTGAGCCGCTGCTGTTGAAAACTCGGCCGAAACCCTGGTAGCGGCTTCCACCAACCCTACGTCGCAGGCCACGCTCTTCCGCTTCAAGTTGTCTCGCAAGCCGCTCATCTGCCTCCAGAGTAGAGGAAACACTGGCAGTGCGATCTTCGATTTTTTGGGTCTTGGATCTGCTGTGGTTGTTGTGGCCTTTTGAATTGTTGAGAATGACGGTGAGCAATCGGAGAGTGCGGCAGTAAAGTCAAGTAATTAGCCATTGGCAGTGGTGCTGCCCATTGCACACCTACCGGTGTTCCATGAGCGAGTGAGAACAGCTCTGCTCAAGCTTCAACATCATACGCATCCAACCACTGAACCTCAAGCAGTTGGCGAGTTTTGACGTTCTCATTGTCGTTCTCATCCACCACAAGCCCGGCTTCCTTGGGTCGTGGTCTTAGTCACCAGTGCCTATACTCATCATTGGCCTTCGGACCGGGGAGAGGCATCGGCGCACATGTGCCAGATCCATCGTCGCTGAATAGGAGGATTCTCAGCCTTGAATATAGCACAAGCCTCGACAGTACCGCTGTTGATCAACGGAAAGCGGAGACACGAAAAGACGAAAAAGGGGTCTTCAGTCCGCCAAGAGTCACGTGCGATACTATCATCACGTGAAAGTCATCAGTCACGTGCTTGGTCTCGTTCTGTGTCCCTTACATTTGACGCCACTTGCACTGACACTGGTACCGACTCCTCCCTCTGCCATAAACCTCGCACGCCAACCTCCAATCTGACCCTTGCCTCGTCTACATCTCCTCAGATTCACATCGCAACCATGCCGCGCGCCGAGGTAGGATCCACCAAGTACATCGCCAACCAGATGAAGGCAAAGGGCCTACAGCGATTGCGATGGTACTGTCAAGCATGCCAGCGCCAAATGCGCGACGAGAACGGCTTCAAATGCCATGTCGCGTCCGAGTCGCACGTCCGGCAGATGCAGCTCATCGGCGAAGATCCCCGAAAAGCGATCCGCGACTTCTCCAACCAATTCCTCAAAGACTTCATCCAACTACTGCGGACGGGCCACGGCGAGAAGAAGGTCAACGTCAACCACTTCTACCAAGAGTATATCTCGAACAAGGAACACATCCACATGAACGCCACCCGGTGGAACAGCTTGACCGAGTTTGCCAAGTATCTAGGCAGAGAAGGCATATGCCGGGTGGATGAGGATGAGAAGAACGAAGCCCGCGGCGGCGCGAGCGCCCTGATGATCAGTTGGATCGACAATAGCCCCGAAGCGCTGCGGCGGCAAGAGGCCATCCGGAAGAAGGAGAGACAAGACCGCGGTGATGAGGAGCGTGAGCAGCGGATGATCCAGGAACAGATCCGCAAGGCGAAGGGCCAGAGTCGGGTTGCTGAAGATGACGCGGATGACGACGAGGTACCCGATGACCAAGCACAGGCCGAGGGCGAAAACCAAGGCATCAAGCGAAAGGACGGAGAGAAGATCGTCCTCAACTTTGGAGCGAAGAAGGTAACGCCTGGAGTCGGCCCGACCACGTCGCCGACGCCTCCTCTTTCTGAGAAAGATGACGAACCCCCTTCCGAGAAGGGAGAGGAGAAGCAGCGCAAGGGCGAGGACACTACAGCACCTTCACCCACTCTGACCCCATCAGCCACCACACCTCCCGACACGGCAGACACTCTGTCAACACAACCTCCCGCCAAACAACCATCCATATCAATGTCCTTCGGTTCCACGGCAAGCAAACCCAAAAACGTCTTCGCCGCAGCGTCCAAGAAGAATCCACTGAATGGCGCCGCGAAGAAACCCGGCCCGCTGACGGCGCAAAGACCAATGAGCGAGGCCGAGCGCATCATGAAGGAAGAACTCGAGCGCAAACGCCAGCGCGAAACGAATGGTTTCAAGGGAGGGAACGTCGTCTTCAAGAAGCAGCGGGTTTCGTAGAGTCGGGACATGGCATGATGACTATGACTGTACGATTATATCATTACGATCAATGTGTGAAAACAAAAAAGTACGTAGCAAAAAGAGAGCTGCATGATACCTAGCTACCTGCATGCCTGCCCGCCTGCCTGCCTGCACATCACCATAAAGCCATACGTATCTTAACAGTGACGATCCCTCCAGCTGCACTTATCTTTGTCCCTGGCCTGGTGACGTGCTGAAATGTGGTATCGTCGTATAGGTACCTAGGTATTCGTATCCTCGGATCGAGACGTACTGTTTAGGAGGACTTTGTAGACTGACGAATATGATATGTGGCCGTACTGATACTCTGCATGTCTTGAGCACAGTCTTCTATCTTGGATACTTGGGCTGGAATATCATGTTCACGTCATGTGAATGTCCATATCAGTATGAATGTCCATATCAGTATGAATGTCCATATCAGTATGAATGTCCATATCAGTATGAATGTCCATATCAGTATCAACATACATTCTATTTCCAACGACTGCAATTCATATCCTCTAATCGGCATCCACATGCAGGATTTAATACGCCGACCAGGGACTCCATTAATCCTTGTGCGTGTCCCCATACAAACGGACATGTACAGATATATCGTTCATTAAATCTCCCCAATCCCTTCCGTCCATCCGTGCCCATACATCCATGCATCCGTCTATGGTCATAAGCTATGTATTGTACAGACACCGGTCGAAAGCAAGGGACGACCTGGACCCCTTTTAGGTTGCCACAAATCACGGCTTGCTGAGCTGCTCACTCCGGTAAAACTGTACAGATCGTTAGTATCGCTCATTCACAGGGGTGAGGGGACAGAAGAGTGTCACTGCTGCCGACGTACCTTGAAATAACCGGCACAAATGGCCAGGTTGAAGGCCAGCCCGATCCAGAACCAGGCCTGCCACACATTCGACACCCCGCCACTGATGTCCGGACTGATCGGTCCAGGGCCGATCTTGTTGGGCGCACAAGCTCTCGCGACGATAGTAGTCACAGAGCCGAGGACTTGGGCCGTGATAAGTGTAAACGCCACGTGCACCCTCGTGAGCGTTGCCAGGAGGATCATGCCCAGTCCGACGCCTTGGATGGCGTCCAATGTGCCGAGCCAGAGCCACAGCGCGCGAGACGCCAGTGCAGAGGCCGTGTATCCGCCGGCCCAGGGGAGGTACAATCCGATGTTACTTGTCCCCCACCAGATCTGGGCCCATCGCGGCGCACCCAGCCCGATCGCAAAGAGCGGTAGAATCCAACTGTGCGACTTGGACAGCGTGGCGAACAGCCACAAGGCCCCTGCCCAGACACCGATGAAGAACAATGCGACGAGTAAGACGATTTGCCAGGTCTTGGCGTGCGAGCTGCTCCAAAGGAACGACCAGTTCCGGCCGTAAGGTGCGGAGAGGAAGAAGTTTTGGACGATGACCGTGACGAAGAACCAGAGCACGATCTTCCGCCGCGTCAGGGACTTGTAGAAGCTGGGCATCTTGCCGGGTGCTTGGCGGTAGTAGCTCGGCAGCCCGAACCACATGAGCAGACCAATGGCCCAGAGCAACAACGCGATAGGCAGTGTGATGGCTGTGATCTTCCACGTGTCGGTGATGGGATTGGGCGTGCTGACCAGTTGAGTGACGGTACGTTTGTTGAGGTATGCGCCCCAGTACCAGAGTGCGACGACGTAGATCTGCTGGGTCCCTTGAATCATGCAGGCTCGGAAGACCCAGGCTTTGACTTGGGCACCGCCCTCGTCGCCGAAGTTCAGGGCGAAGAAGATTGAACCGGATGACGAGGCCACGGCATACATGCCCGTTCCGACATTTTGAATCCAGCCCCGACTGCTGATAGAAGACCCGTAGTGTGCCGTGCCAATCAGCAGGAAAGCCAGGCCATAGAAGAAGAATGGCAGGGAGAGGCAGAGCCTGGATTGGAAGCGTCTGAAGAAGACCCACCAGCAGATGGAGGTCGCGAGGTAGATGGACGCAATGGAGTACAGTTTCGTTGCGGACTGGCCAACCTCTCCCGTCAGGAGCGTGATCTGATACGAATTGGCTGCAATGATCTGTCCAAAGCCCATGAAGAAGGCGTAGACTGGCCAGTCACCAACACGCAGTTGCATCCACTTTCTCAGCCCAGTAGGTGGCTTGTAGTTCTCACCCAGCAGGAACTCCCCAGCCAGGTTGTTTGGATCGTGGTGGGAGTCTGGGTCCGTGTTTCCTCCGTATATAGATGGCGCTGCTGAGGTTGGGCGCGATTCCCGGCTGATGTGCATGCTGTTACGAGCCGAAGAGATGGCCGTGTGCCTTCCCAGCTTGACATCACGGAACGTGTTGAACCACTGTTTCTCGGATTTGACCAGGAACTCCTCGATGCAGGCTGTACTCTCTGAGTTGTGGCCATTGAGGTCTTCCAGCTTCTTCTCAAAAGCGCGGGCAAACTCGCCATTGCTGTCTGTGAAGAAGGGGTCGACCTGTTGCAGCTTGAAGTCCGTCTTCTCCCCCACAATCGAGTTCATGGAAAGCAGAGAAAGACTACTCGACACGCGGTTGTTGTCCGTTAAGACCGGTGGCGGGACGAGCAGCCCCGACTCTGGTCTAGGTTGATCCGAGGAGTTCCTTCTGCTGTGCGCGCCGCTTTGCAGAGGTGTCAGCTCCAGTCCTGCCCTGCTTCTTGGATGGAAATTGCTGGACGGCGGCGCCCGAGGCGAGTCATCATTAAGCGGGATCCTTTCGTATCGTGGACTGGTCGGTTGGGGCATCGCAACGTCGTCGTCATCGTCGTCAAAATCGGAGTCCAGGTCTTCATCTTCGTCGTCCGAGTACTCGTTGGGATTCTGAGTTGAGCCTGTCCTCAATCCAGTGTCGTCTCCTCCGACGTCCGGTATAGGCGGCAGAAATCCAGGAGTCCGCGGCTCGTCGCCATCGTGTTCATCTTGAACATCGACGTGGCCCGGACCCCTGCGAGATCCGAGAGACGCGGAACGAGACAGACCCGAAGGAGCGTGCGAGTGGCTCGAATTCGGACGCGGAGGAGTACTTTGGCTCACTTCCCTGCTGTGTCCAATATTCCTGAGGCGGCTGGTCAGGGATTGTATTGCTGCATAGCTCGACATTCTGGAGTGGCCAAAGGTGGGAGTCCGGAAGCCCGACGGTGTGGCTGCGCCAGAAGCAATGGGAGTGTTCCATGCACTAGTGCCGATCAGGTCCCCTGCGGCAGTGTGGCGCCGTGTAGCTTCGATCTTGTCATGGATGCGAATCGCTGTCGATTGCAGGATTTCCAGGTCCTCGACCCATTGGGCGACAGGGAACCGTTGCTTGGCCGACCGCGCTCTCATGAGCGCACGAATTTCCGTGCTGGAGCCGAGGGCTTCGTGAATGGCCTGTTTGAACTGATGTATTAGATGGGCGGTGGTCATGGATTCTACCGTATACCACCATCCTGGCATTTGACCAAGACCGCCGACCCTTGCACCGACGCCGAGGGCGCCCTTGCGACCAAACTCGACAGCGACGAGTCCGAAAGGTTCGTCTCGTGACGGAATGAGGGCAAACTCTGCACCAGAGAAGATGAACGGGGGAAGCGCCGTGAAGACAGGCTTCGAGAATACTCTCCCAGGATACAGCTTCATCATGCGATCAAGTTTCATTGCCGCGAACTTGCCGTATAAGTCGATAACAGGTCCAATGGTGATGAGTTGCACATTGGGATTCGACTCGAGGATCGACGGGAAGACGTCCGCAATCAGGTCTACGCCCTTCTGCATCGACCAGCGTCCGACGAAGACGAACAGCTCCGCCTTGGGGTTCTGTTCGAGGCCGGCCCATTCCTGCGCTTGACGCTTGAGCTCAGGTCTGGCAGCTTCGAACTCGGGGTCGATGCGGATGTCAGACTCTTTCGGCAGCTTCTTGTCCCACTCGCCTGTATCGGACGGGTCGGGATTGGGCAACTTGCCAACTTTCTTCAACCCCCAGAAGATCGGATACCGCGCGTATGATCGCTTCCCATACTTCTTGGAGACACCCACCGCACCAAAGCCGCGCTGGTGGACTCTCAAGTAGGATGCACCAGCATGGAGTAGGTTGAACACTTCGCCGAATTGCACATATTTGGCCACAATTTCAGGAGACAGATTGAAGACCGAACAGACCTCGTCGCGTTCTTGATTCGTGCGCATCGGCCACAACCCCTGAAATTCGGCATTGTGGAGAGACAAGCAGGCCGGAATCGTCCTGGGGAGCAGGTACAGAGGAGCCACAGAGCCGTGATAGTCGTTAATGTGGTAGAGGTCGACCGGGAAGCGATTCAAAGCCTGTGCGATGCACTGATTCCATGCCGAATAGTAGATGGCGGATGAAAGGTCGTCCATGCGAGGAGGGTATGGCTCAGACTTGGTTTGCTGCCGGAAGACAGGGGAGTCGAGCAGAACATAGGTGATATTACGCAAGACATGATACTGGACTTGAACTTCGTACGGTTTGCCGAGGACTGTCACTGTCATAGGATCCGCCTTTTGGTCTTCCGGGTAGTCGACACCCCCGACACAAGGCACGACCCAGATGAGATCTTGATGACCGAGATTCTTACCCATCAGTTGTGCCATGACACCGAGACCGCCAATCTTGATCTTGATACCCCAGTCTTCGATATCGTACTCCATAGTTGCGATCAAGACGGTCCGCCGTTTCTGCTGATCGAGGAGAGCACCTGTGGGTTGCAGAAACTTTGGCTTTCGAGAGAACTTGGTCAGAACGCTCGGCGAGTCCTCCTCGTCAGGGAGCTTCTTGAATGTTCTCTTGAAAACTGCAGGAATGAAGCTCTTCTTTTCCGATATGCCGACTTCGTTGAACTTAATCTGGTAGAAGGACTGCATGAAGGACCAGACACCGAAGCTCGCCGTAATAATCGGAACGATCCAGAGAAGCACGTAGAGGATCAATTGCGGCCACATGTTACCCGACGGCCGCAGTTCGAAACGCAAACTGCCATCATTTATCACAAGCCGCCAACCGAGGTAGGGCTTCGGAGGAGGCTGGGTGATGTTGAGCACGACCGAAGAGAGCGACGACGGCGGAAGACGGTCAAGGATGGAGTCACCATCGGCATCGCCCATCACGGTCGTCTGGTCAGGCTTGCCATCTGGGTTGAGGCCCCAGACATTGATTTGGGCGAGCGTGCCCGCAAGGCTCCACTCGGTCATGAAATGGTGATCCCATGTATTGTTGTCGGTAAGCTTCATCTCGTTACTGAGGCCTGCATCGTAGCCATACTGGTTGTAAGGGCCGTTCAGGAACAGATGAGGGAAGCGCCGAGGGGTGCTGAAGCCAACATCACCTTCCTGGACATGGTCGCTGCTGCCCGCCAACCGGCTGAAGTATTCCACACGCACATGATCGCCCTTCCAGGATTGCAGCTTTGTTCCAGACCACGGTTGCCTCTCGATTTGCGTCTTTCCGCCACGGTACGGCAGCCAATCCGAGAAGCTAGAGCCCCAATTTGTGGAATAACGCCACTTGTCTGCACCTGCGGCGTTGTGCGAGATGACCAAGGACCCGTTATCGCTCTTGCTCAGGAGACTCGACGAATAGTTGGCGGACCCCGTAAACACCATGGGGTTGTCAGTTCGCCCAATGCGGAACAAAAAGCGATCAATGGCGTTGGTGACCTCACCCGCTTCGGAGGAAGCGTTGCGAACCGAAATGGAGTGAATGCCGTTAGCCACATTATCCAGCTTTGCTGACCACGACCAGGTCGACGAGATGGCTCCGACGTAGGCAGGTGTTTGTGGGCTGTCTAGGTTGGCACATTTGATACTGCTTCGGTCGATGGACGGAGTGGCCGCTGATTCAGTCGTCGAGTTGAAGGTAATGCTGTTTGTAACGCTATCGCAATCCATCTCGACGGAGAACTGAAACTCGACATTGACGGACTCTGTCCCATCCGCGCTGATTGTTGACTCGAGCCGTGCATCGTGTCCGGGACTGAATTTGGTAACCATGGGCTTCGGCCCCACCCATTGATCTTTCGGAACATAAGCTCGAAAGTCGTAGGCCGCCATATCCAAACTGCCGAGGCACCCGTTGGGATTCGTCGAACCATTGACTCCCAGGCGGTGGACGCTACTGTCAAGGGTATGCTCGTCATAGGGATAGAACAAGTTCTTGACCACAGTGCCTGCATCGTATGGAGAGATTAAACTGGTTGTGTTTAGAGCTGTAGCATTGTCGTTGCAGTCGAATGTATAAGTAGTCGATGCATTGGCGTTGGAGTAGAGGAGCCACACTGGAAGGTCGCCGGCGCCCGTGTCGCCAAGGTCTTGAACGCCAGGGAAACCGGATCGCATGACGGACCACATGCCAGTCTCAGTGCTGACATTTCCAGAGCCAGGGTATACGATCTCTTCGGTCTGGTTCGACAACTGCTGCAGGAAGAACCCGTCTTGAAGTACGGGATATTGATCCCGAAGCTGATTCATGTGGTGGATGATGTTACGGACAGGGTGTGCCGGGTCTCGGTGGTCGTAACTGACAGTCTCATCCTCACAGCCTCGACGGGAGGCATTCAGTGGCATCTCGAAGAACTGCGTAGAGGAGAGGTGGTAGCAGCCATGAGTCTGCCAGGCGGTTGCAGATGACATTGCTTGCCGACCAAAAATGTAGTTCGAGGCTGTGTTATCCAGGATGTAGAACGCTTGCTCCTCCCCCCAAAGAAGCAATGGCGCGCCAGGCATGTGGATGGTGGTGATGAAATGACCCAGCAGTTGGCGCTCGACGCCGTTGGTAATGGCCGGCCAGCGGAAGACATCCTGGTTCGTCACTCCGTACATGTGTCTTGGGTCCACCTTTCCAGTGTTGGGGTTGACAAAGTCGTTCGTGAGTAGAAAAGTGTTCCACATGTCCACGAAATTCCGGGGGGCATCGTATCCTGCTTCGAGATTGCCGTCCATGCCCAGGAAGCGAGTTAAGGTGCGATAGACCGTATAGTGGAAGGCCGCAGCGTCCAGGGCACCGTGCGCTTGGTCTCTCAAGAAATACCTTTCAGGGGAGTGGTCTGTCATGGTAGCGGCCACCGTCAGATTTTCAGGGATCATATCGGGCTGTCTCCCACGGCCAAGGAAGATCGAGCCGAAAACGTTGCCACCAGTGATTTCGCCGGGGGTGAAGAAGTTGTCTTTCCCATATCTTCGGGCACACTTGCGCATCGCATCGTTCATGTAGCCCATGGCGTCTACTGTTGACTGTGTAGCTTTATCATAGCGGTATCCATCAATGTCGAGTTGAGCTATCATCATGCAGTAGAAGTTCTCGATCTTCTGACGAACAGGCTCGTGCCATTCTCGCAGACGATCTTGGACAGAGGCAAACTTTGACAGTTCACGACGCCAATCTGGAAACACACCGAAGGCTTCAGTATCGCCGTACTGGTCGAAGTCGCTGTCATAGCAGCCAACCATTTGACTTGTGACGTCCTCGCCAACAGGGTATCCCGTCTCCAACCAGAACTTTGGATATTGACATGTCTTGTTGTAGTTGTTTCCTATGTGGAAGTCGTGGTATTCACGAGATGATTTCCACTGGACGCGATGCTCCTTCAAGGTGAAAGGCGTAGTGGTGTTGAGGTAGCCTTCAAACCCGATGAGGTCTCCCAGCGTGGCGAAGGTATTGTCCAGGATCACGTACATGCCGCGGGCGTGAATCTCTTCTACCGCAGACCGCCACATGTCGATGTTGCCAAAGTGTTCGTCGAGGACAGAGAGGTCCAGTGGTGAGTACTGGTCGTAACCCCAGGGACTGTTGATGAAAGGAGATCCGGCGATATAGATACCCTGCGCCGATTAGCTCAACCCTTGTGAGAGGAAGCGTCGACATACCTTGACACCCATGCCATGTAGATAATCGAGCGTGTCGACAAGTCCTTGGAGATCGCCTCCATGGCGCATTTGATTTGAATTAAGGTCATGCTCGTAAGCTGTGCCGTTGGCGTTGTCGTTGGAAGGGTCACCATTCACAAACCGGTCGAGGAAGAGGGTATAAAAGGGAAACCGCCAGTTGGACGGCGAGGGATGGTATTGATGGCCCGTCCATTCCCCCCAATAGTCCAGCGGGTTTGTCGCTGTTTGATTCTGATTGAGGTTGTACTGGGCAAATGCCGGGTCATACCTGAGTGCCCCGCAACTCGAAAGAAATAGAAACACGCTGGAAACGAGAGTGTAGAACCACATGGTGTAAACCGAAAACGAAGGACTGACTCAAAATGGCTAAGAATATTGAAAGCGAATGTCTGTGACCGCCAGAACGAGGATGCCTGCGGAGGCAAAGTGGTGCAGGAACTGGGATGTATAAGGAGGGTGTGCAAAGAAGGATTCAACGAAGAGTCGAGAACCCCCTCAACAATGGTCAGCCTACCTCACACCCCATAGGTCTTCCATGCAGACAGGAGATCCCGTTGTGGACATGCTGGGACCGAGCTGAGCCTCTGTCCAGAAGATTGTGACAATCAAATCTCGATTCGGCGATACTGGGATCGACCGGGCCTATTCGTCGTCACAGAGTCCAGCAGGTGGAGAGGATTAATGAGACATGGTAAGCATGGTACTCGCGTGGTAACCTGCTCTTGGTCTGCACAAGCATTATGCATCGTGGCAAACAGAGTTTGCATCGTTGGTGGAAGGACGCTGAGGGATCCAGGAACGCGCTGCCGTGACCCATGTCGATGAATCCATACAACATGTGAGAGTTGTTGGGGCTCGCAGATGATCGTGGAATCGTCGACCTCAAGGGTCACTCAGCGCCCGAGCGGCAAGACAGTGGGTGAACTGGTTACAGCCAAGCAACACTGCCGAGAACAGTCAAGGAATAGCAACAATTGGGAACACCACTGTGGCCATGCTGCTCCGGTGTTCAACGATAACTGTTCACACTCAGCGCATGACATGGCACGGTATCCACAAGGCTGGCGGGCAGCAGAGGACGTTGGAAGACAAGGTCACCCTTGTCACACTAGGCATAATTTTCGCCCTAGGACACAAGCGGGTATAGCCACTTTTCGCCGGGTTGCCATATCATGCCTGTGACGAATCCGAGAGATGCTTCAGGTTTGGAAGGCGCTAAACTGTGCAAACTGTGCACACAGGACGGACCACATCCTAGCTGCCCTGGAACTGCAGCACCCTGGTAGCAGGACCGTCATACGTACTCGCGGCCGGTTCGTGGATGGAGCATTGTTTGCGTCCTGTGCGTAATTCTCATTAGGATGATTAGATGATTTCCGAGACGGACAGGATAAGCGACGGATGAGCAAAGCTTACCAGAGATCTCGATTTCCCATCACAATCACTGTGTTCGAGGCTGTAAGCGTTCACCCATGTGGACGAGCCCATCTCCTGATGTCGTGTGCTGGGGTAGCCTGTCACCCACCTGTTGAAGGTACTCGTCCAGTACGGCAGGCAGCGGATCAACGCTTGGGCGACGGAGCAAGGCGGCCGCATCGTTAATCGCTCACAGGTCGATCGCCGCAGGGAGGGGCAGGTTAGTCATAAGCGAGTATGTGAGGAAGCGCCGAACGTGGACATGTACTGGGTCAGTACGGAGTACTGTGTACTGGATACCCGGTAGGTATGAGTAATGGTGTGGAGCATGGCGGTTGGTCGTTCCTGGACGTCGAAACTAGGATAAGGTGTGGATGCCCGTTTCGGTGGCAGCGAATGGCCCACCACGTTGCCCTCAAACGGCTTAGCGGGTGTTTAGTGCGGCGACAATGTCTTGCCTTTCGCGCGAGAAATCGTTATTTTCTCCCTGTGCGTGCAGCCAATAAAGCCGCACTCGTACAGACTCACTCGTCCCTCACTGCAGATTCACGTTGACTTTACCTCGCTTGGACGCCATCGACCCAACGCTTCGGCTGTGGCTCCCGCCGCGGGTCTTTTTTTTCCAGGTACCGACCACTACCTCGTATGTGCTCTTCGGCATGGCTCCTGCGTGGACGAATCGCCACTCACAAGTGGCTCGCCATGGACTTGGAGGCCCTTTGGCACGCGAGCCACCCCTGCCCAGCACCGTGTACCACAGTATCAGCCGGCTCACGGGTGCAGAGCCTGATATCCGAAGAGGCTCCGACATGGGAGGCTGTGGTTCGGCTGCAACAAGGGTTGAGTGCTGCCTGGTGGTCTGTTCAACCGAATGTCTGAGGCCCCAGGCGACAATAATAACTCGCCGTGGCTGGCTTCCCCTGCATGAACATCTACGTATCAGTGGATGAGTTTCGGCGAAGCGAAGGGTTGCTGTCGTGCCTGTCAAACCACAACATCGAAACCTCTGCGCAGATATGAGTACTGCCTCACACATTTAGATTTTGCCTGTGACGTATCATCCCATCACGTTGCAGTCTACTGCACAGTTGAGTTAGCAGATTCCCACATGCACCGAATGGCGTGCAATGCCTGATGTTGCATGCCATTGCGGGTTGCTGCAGGAGGCGATGGTGAAAATTCGTGTTGCCTTGCGCCCACACATATAGTATCTCGTAAATTCCAGACAGATGCACAAGCCTATAAGAAAAAACTTGCTCAGCACAGCCGCCACTGTCAACGGGATGCTGAAGGCCGCCGAAGAGTGCCCGCTCGCCTCAGACATCACCTCGATAGACGCTGGCCTGAATCATTGACCGTTGAGTGGCAGTCGCGGATTTTGACCTGGCTCAGAAGGCGAATCAAGGCGGCCGGCAGCTGTTTCGCTTCGCTCATGTTCTGAGGATGGTGGAGAGAACTCGACTGACAAGCCAATCCTGGAAGATGCCGATTCTGCGCACATTAATGATGCCTTTTGCACATTCATGAGCTATCGCTTCTTAGGCCCGGTTCACTGTCTTTTTCAGATTACGATGCCTGACTTACGCAACACCATTGTCCGAAAGAGGACATGGCAAACGACAACATGCGAGCACGTCTTACCGCTGTGTATCCGCAACAAGAACCGGTTCCAGCGGCATCACGTTCATGCATGGGAAGCATCACTGAGCGTTTCCGATGCAACGTCCCAGCACAGGTCGCCGCAATACCGTCAAAGCTTCAGTATATACAGTAGATTCGTGTCCATCGTGCGATGGCCATGCACAGCCGGCAGCGGCCGAGTTGATCGTTCTTCGTCGCTCGTACTCGGAATCAAATAAAACGTGTCATCCGGCCCGGCTCGTGTGCAGCTCTGTGTCACTCACGATTGGCGCCACATGTTTGCCATTGTGCTCATGCTGTTTCACATTCTCGCCCGAGCTTACCACGATAAGCAGTTCCCCACTAAGTAATCGTACGAGTAGCGCAGTCACACCGTCCCGTGTGTCCGCCCGTATCTGACTGACAGCGAGGTCTCGGTGTCGAGCAACTCCGGCCGCGGGATGACGATGAGCACGATTGACAATGCGGGTGCGTAGCTTGGACCTCATCGCGAGGTCCTTGAATCGCCCAAGCGCGTCGACACGACCATGGCAGCCCGCGCGCAGTCTCTCCAGCAACAGCAGACGGCGAGTCCCTGACTTTGCCTTCGCCTTTGAGTGAGTCTCGGCGACCCCCCAACTCCGATGATAGCAACAGCAGCAACATCTAACCCTGTTCGAGCATATAGCATCGACGGCGTGCTCGTGCGCAGCTCCAAGCCCATCCCCACCGCGTCCACGTCGCTCCAGTTCCTCCAGCAAAATGACATCCCCTTCATGCTGCTCACCAACGGCGGAGGCAAGCACGAGTCCGAGCGAGTCCGAGACCTGTCGTCCAAGCTGGCCGTGCCGCTGCACGAGTCCAACTTTGTGCAATCGCACACGCCCTTTGCCGAGCTGGTCCACGGCGACAACAGCCTGCGCGACAAATGCGTCATGGTCGTGGGCGGGGAATACGGGCGCTGCAGAGACGTCGCCGAGAGGTACGGCTTCACCGACGTCGTCACGCCGGGCGACATCTACGCCGCGCACCCGGAGATCTGGCCGTTCAGCAAGCCCTTCCAGCGCGACTACTACGCGTCGTTTGCGCGGCCGCTGGCCCGACCGATCAACCCGGCGTCGCTCGCCGACAGTCTCAAAATCGACGCCGTCTTCGTCTACAATGATCCCCGTGACTGGGGGCTCGACATGCAGGTCATTCTCGACGTGATGCTGTCTCACCGCGGTTACCTGGGCACTTACTCCCGCAAGAACGGCGACACGTCCCTGCCCAACAGCGGATACCTGCAAGACGGGCAGCCCACCCTCTACTTCTCAAACGCCGACCTGCTCTGGGCCGCCGACTATCACCTCTCGCGGCTCGGCCAGGGCGGCTTCCAAGCGTCGTTGGAGGGCCTCTGGCGGGCCGTGACGTACCACAAGAACCACAAATCCGCGCCGGAGCTCTACAAGAAGGTCATTGGCAAGCCGTACAGAGAGACATACGAGTTCGCGGAGAAGCAATTGATGCGACATCGAGAAAGCATGTTCGGGAACTACCACCACCAGCAGCAGCAGCAGTCGCCGCCGCCGAAATTAAGAAAGGTGTACATGGTGGGGGATAATCCCGAAAGTGACATTCGGGGCGCCAACAACTACGACTCGCCCCACGGCATCGAGTGGCTCAGTCTGCTGACCCGGACGGGTGTATATAGAGACGAAGACGGGCGTCGGCCAACCTGGGAACCAACCGCCATCGTAGATGATGTCAAAGCCGCTGTACAGTGGGCGTTGAAGGATAGTGATTGGCACCAACCCCTGCGATAGCCAACAGACATGCTAGACAACAGAGATGTGCACCGACATTGACATGGAGTTGTGCATTGACAGGGGAGGAAACCCCTCTGCAAAGTCAAAGACAGTTAATGCCCATGGTTCGGGGCTTGGCTTTCATTTTCCATGCATCTCATTCTCCCTCGACCGAAGCACTAGACGAACTCGAAAGTATCGCCTCCACGATCGTTGATCAATCTGCCCACTCTCTCTGTGCCAACAATGCGCTCCAGCTTCAAGGCATCCCACTTGGAAAACAGCGCTCTGATCACGCCTTTCGTACTGCCCTTTCCCCTCCCAACATCACCGTCCTTAGCACTCCCGAGCCCGAGCAGCGAGATGATCTCGGCCCAGAATAGCGGGTTTTCAGGCAGTCCGTACCACAGAATCTTGCGCACGCCTTTGATCCTGTAACGAAAGTGGTGGTGCGATCGCTCCGAGTACAGCAGAAGGGCGTGCCGTCCGGAGAGGAAGTGCGAGCGTGCGCGCAGCACCTCCTTAACGGGGGTATATTCCGAAAGACTTCCAAAGGAGAGACTCGCCGCGTCGGACGATGTCGACAAGTGGTTCCGCAGACGCGCAAAATCCGCATACGTGGGCACGAAGAGGAGAAGTCCTCGTTGATGGCGTGAATCGCGGAGCAAGGGGGCCAGGATCGTTGTGGTGAAGAACTTGAAGCGGGCGTCAGAGTCGGAGACCGGGTTCGGAGACGGGATGCGCAGGAAGGTTTGGGGGATCGGGGGTGTAAATGGGAAGGGAAGGGCGAGTGAAGAGACGGACAGCATGGCCCCAGGGTAGGTCGGAACGTATTTCACTCGTCCGGTGATGTTGTGCAGATGCGTAGAGGCTAGGGCATTTATCTCGGGGGTGAGGTAGTCGGCGAGGATGATCGTCTGGCGGAGGTACTTCGCTTGGCCGTCGAGATACCAGTGGCGGACGCGGGAGAAGTCGCAGCCATGAGAATCCTTGGGAAGGAGATTGAGTTGAGAGAAGACGTAATCGACATGTTGCCAATTCTGCATTTGAAGGGCGTTGGCGTGGTCCACAATCACAATCTCAATGGAAGAGAGGAAGTCCGCGTCGTGGGTTTTCTTCTTGTCCTTGCCGCCGCCTGTGGTGATCGTGCGCATCAAGCCTAAAGGCGAGCCGATGATGATGTCCGAGTTGTAGAAACCGGAGAAGAATTTGATCGTCTTACGGGTGAACTTCAGGCCAATGCGGAAGTCTTCTTCGTGGTTGCCGCCGAATAGTGCTCGAAAGTCATCGGGCTTGTCGTGCCATTCATCCTCGCCTTCACGAGAGTACGTCTCTAGGAAGCGTGCTTTGTTCTCTTGCTGGTCCGGCTCACTGATCTTTGTAATGCTGTCGACCACCCTGACACATGCTTGCTTCGTTGGCACGATGATGAGGACTTTCGGTCTCGTGAAACCTTGATCGCGAAGATCTGGAGCCTCAGCGGACTGGGCGGCCAATTTGGCATTATTCTTCAACACTCGATCTCTGGTCTTGAAGACGTGGTTCAGGGCATGGAGGCAAGACAAGTCCCGTAGTCGGGTCGCATTCTGGAGGTTGCGGCAGCCATTCAGCACATCGGCATAGTTGAATATCGACCCTGCCACATCCCTCTCCTCCGCGGCGAGCCTCGAGAGGACTTTCGTGCCGCCGTCAATGAGCCTGCGCTTCAGATAGGCGTCCTTTGTCGATCTCAATTCAGCCGCCTCCGCTGGCGTTCCTCTCCTGCAAATGGCTGTGCGGCGTATATCCGGATCCAAAACTGATGAGGAAGTCTCCCATTGCTTGTCATCCACTTGTCCAACCGCAGATTTGAGATCTTGCTCCGTTCTTGCTGCATAGTGCAATTCAAAAGGGTCTCGCAATAGTACTTCCTCGTCGTCCGAGTCAGCCTCTGCAGCTTGGGCGGCCTCTTCATCCGCCTCCACATCCTCTTCTAATTCGAGAAGCTGTTCTTCGGCCTGCACTGTCTGGTCCTGACCGGGCTGCTGACTTTTCGTATCTTCGCCCTTCACGGGCCCTCCAGTACGATCACTCTCGGTGAACCTTCTCCTCTTCCTTGGGGGCTCAGAGGTCTCCTTTGCTGCATTAAGTGATTGCAGTAACAGGCCATAGGAGTCCGAGGATGGGGCTTCGTCTTCACTGGCGGACTGGACGTCTTCATCTTGGTCGGACTCGAGCTGGTCCACAACTTCTAAGGGGTCTTCTTCGCTTTCGGCGCCAATTTGTGTCTCCTCATCTCTACCAGTGTTAGCATATCCCAGCATTATGGAAGATCTCTACCATACACTTACGCGGTTTCTCTCAGACGCGAAGCCTTGAACTGGTCTTGCTGCTGCGTTACGGGGCCTCTCTTCCCTCCACGGCCCTTGCCAGCAGGCTTGCCTCCTCTGCGATGCCGAAATCCAGCCATGGTTGTCTCTCGATCAAAGGACAAAATCGCATGCGGGGAAAAAATATTTCGCGGTGTCGACCAACCCCAAAATACTTGCCGCCGCTTTTATCTCGCCCAACCTGCCATGCCGGTAACTGCTTGGTTAAGGGAAATACGAGGGACAGCTGGACTTTACACGATGCTCCCCTTACATTTCAGCCTCTGGTCACTCTGTCTATATTGCGTCTGTGTTTATCTATTGCCTCGCCTTTCGACGTCATTTACCTGGCTCGAACATGCGTTGGGGCTCCTGCTCGGCTGCTTCGAAGGAAGCTCGACCTCGTCGTTTCGAAAAAGCTTCAGCTCGTCCCCCTGTCAGCACTACGGAGTTCGCTTCTTCGCGCATCTCCAGCCTTTCCCGCAGAGTGCTCAGCGCTACAGCTAGGGCTTGAGCAGGAACGATATGTCTGCCTTCCCGCCCGTATCGTGCGTCGATCTCTCGGCTCAGACCTATACCGGAGGAGGATAGCTTCTACATGTGAGATCGCCTATTCTGAGCACTGTGAGATACCCCGAGGATTGTGGCCGGGGGATTAAGCATGTGAGGTTTCAACATGGTCGGCTGGTGCGACGTTTGATCTCCAGCGGGCTTTGGTAAGTGGCGCTATCGGCCAAGGCAGCCAAATGACTTGCATTTTCTGGGTCTAAACATCAGTGGGGATAATATCCTGCTATATTCATTGGTCAACAGATAGCATCAAGCGAAAGCCGCAACAGATTCGGGCGCCGAGACCGTGTTGTGGCTGGGGAAAGCTCGTCGAAGCGTTACTTAGCTTTGCTCGATACGGACTAAGGTTACCGCCTTCGGCTCATCGAGGATAACTTTCCACTGACGCTATTGGGCGAGCCGTCCAATCTTGCTCATCTGGCTTGAAACGAGCGAGAGATCTCAGGAACCCCAAATCCATAGGGGCTTGCAAGTGCTTACTTCGACGACAGTCTTCAATGCTACTGCCACCAGCTGGAACGCTATTTCTGGCCCGCCAGCAAAAAGCCATGCGACTCTGCCACGGTCTTGTGCTGGGCTGTCTCGGAGATGGATATGCGCCTCGGAGACACAATCTCCGCCGTGTATTAAACAGGCTCGACACCCCCGGGTTGGGGCCATCGATACATCCCACACCCAACTCGCGACAAGAATAACACCAATTGTCTCAGAGACTCGAAATCTACAACTGTCCAACACGAAATGGAATCCCTGCGTCATCACTACACGCCTCACGTGGATAACACGTTTGCCATCGACCTTCCGCCATCGCACCAACAAGTCAAACAAGAAGAACGAAAGGCCCGCGCAAGACCCAGCTTGCTTCGCGTGATCATTCGAGTGATCACGCTTGGTTTGAGTGCATCGAACCTCGCGGTACTAGCGCTCTCAGTCGTGGTCTGGTATTCGACGCGCAATACTGTTCTGTCGCAGCCCGGCAAGCTTCCCCAGCCGGGATGGCCGGCCACGATGGACATGAAGCCTACTTGGCTCATGTTGGCGGCATCGGGGGTCGCTGTGCTCATCCAAATCATCGCACTATGCACGCTCGTCTGCCCGGTAAGTCCTTTCGGCCCGCTGTGCTTGTTGTGTCTGTCTTTAGGCACATCCCAGCCTCAATCATCTGACTGTTCCTGCAGATACGCCGCCTGCGCGAATCGAATCTGCACACATGGGCCGTCTTCATTACCGCTGTCGCATGCACGGCAATGTGGATCGGCGTGGTAGCATATTTCAAGATGCAGGAACTGAAGGGCGAGCCGATCTGGACGCTGTGGTCGTGGTCCTGCTCGCACGAAGACTGGACGAACGGAAAAATGGCTTTCAGCTCCATGTGCACAAAGCTGGTAAGTTTGACTTGACTTGACCCCGAAGTCCCCGACTCAGTCGATCGACCACGCGACCCACGCATCAACAGCGCATCTTGCTGACTCTCATGTGCTGGGTAGAATTATTCGTTCTATGCCGGCGTTGCTGTGGCCGTGCTCGAAATCGCGAGTCTAGTGCTGTTTGCGGTCAAGTTGCGAAACATCAAGAAACAGGGACATGGGTACACGAGGATCACTGTCCAACAGATGCGCTAGAGCTGCCAGGAACGCGCCGGACGACGTGATGTTGGAGATGCTCAATCACTCGCAGAGACGCGCACAAGCGGCGCGAACGCACTGTCCTCGCGGTGACTTGTCTTCGTGCGCCAGCTGTGACGGGTGTGTGTTCGGGGAAGAGTTCGTCTGGTCATTTCCTCGGAAGAATCTCCCCGTTCCAGCACTTGGCGCCTCTCAACCTTTGGCTCCAGGATAAATTCGAATGACGGACCACTGGTGGTCCATTCCCTGATACGTTGCCATCTCCCTGGGGTCTGCATTGGTCAGTGCTGCGAATTGTCTACCGTCGACGGGGCAATAAGCGTGGGACGAGACGAACAGTAAGGTTGGAGCGCCAATCACCGTGCAGCCTCGCGGCTCAAGCCCGACAACCAACGCAATGAACCAGAGTTTGAACCGGATCAGTCAGGCTCAGCGGGCCGGCCACAGAAGGGAAACGCGCGAGTGATGAAAAGGTCGAAGCGGAAGCTGGTTGCGGACTTTGTTCATATACGCTGCTGTTAATAACAGCAGCGTGATGTCCTCACCAGCGCAAATCATTGTAGTACTCGGATCAACGCATGATATGCCTCGCAGTAGGCGGGAACTCGTGGTCGCCGAAGCTGCCTTCGAGTCGCCTTCATCGGTTCTTGAACCACCCGTCTCCTATCCAATTCCTCATCACCTGAAGCTCGCTCCCAATTTTCAAGTGTGAATCTGCCTGGAGATATGGATTGCACCAATTTAGCACTTCAGGAGGCCACGGATCCAAGCATGAGGTCTCAACCGTCGTTCTCGTTCTCGTTCTCGTTCTTCTCCTTCTTTACTCCATCACTGTTCTCTTCCTTCTTGAGCTGGACCTCCTCCACCTCGCTTCCACTATCCTCTGCCTTGACGACAGGCTGGCTTTTCTTCCCCTTCTTTACGCTACCGTTCTTGCCACAGCTGGGAGTGTCGGCAATCTCATCGTCGTCACCGTCGTCACCGGCGTCGGCATCGGGCTTGCGCTTGCGTCCACGACCCTTGGCAATCTTGGGCTCACCGACAGCGGCTTTGGCATTGGCGTTGAACGCACCGTCGCCAATGGCACTGCCAGGTCTGATCGAGTTTCTCTCCCAGATGAGCCCGTGATGCTCCACGATAGACTTGATCTTGGATGAACTGCGACGGTCACTCCCGTCAGCGAGGGTACCTCGTTGAAGGCTGAAATACAGGGAGACAAGTGGCAGTCAGAAATACAAAGGGTACCTCATTGAAGGGTGAAATACAGGGAGACAAATGGCAGAGACAGGAACATAACGGATGGATAGGACACGTAGGTAGACAGACAGGTCAACAAGTGGATTGATTCACATACGCGTTGTGGCCGTGCTTGATGCCGTGCTCCTTCGCGACCTCGTTCCAGTCCGGCTTGATGAGGTTGACTTGTTCGCAGTTCTTGAAGACGCTCATGACGAACTCGAAGTTTGGATCGCCCACGCCGCTTGCTGAGGCCGAAACTCTGCTGCCCTTGGGAGCCATGTTCAATGTTTGTCCTTTAGCTTGGGTGGTGTGATGAAGCGTTGAAGAGGAATGGTGGTAGAAGTTTGGAGAGAGAAAGTCTAGGTTCGAGTCTCGAGGGTAAGCGAGGTAGTCACTGAGGAGGAGAAAGTAAAGTGAAGGGGGGAGAAAGGAAGAGAGGAAGAGAGGGAGAGAGGGAGAGAGGGAGAGAGGGAGAGAGGGAGAGAGGGTGAGCCTCAGTTCCTTATGGCATCGTCTCTGGGACGTGAGAAAACGGTGGCATCATCCATATTATATGGCAGGGCAAGTGAAATGAAAGTAACCTGTCTTTGACGGTAAGCTCAGCATGCCGACGAAGAGGAAAGGTACCTAGGTAGGTATTCCAGTACTGTTTCAGAGGCGGCTCATAAACGAAAGTGATACTACCGTGAGGTCCAAGTTACTGGGCTTGCACCTTGCTGTCTAGAAGCAGATTGTTATGTACACATGCTATGACTTTCAGCTAGGACAACTGTACAGGCACGTGCGAGCTCCAGGATTTTATTGACTTCGGCATTTAAGCCAGAGCCGAGCTGATACTTAGACGTCGATGAAGAAATCGTGGTGAAGTTCAAGGGACAACCAAGGGGGCTGGCTACTGTAGCTGAGGAACAAGACGCGACATGAGAACGTGATGATCCACCGGAGAAATTGAGCACTCTGAGCCATATGCTCCTCCGCACTCCTGGCAAGCAGATCCGCCCTCAACCAGCATTTCCGACTCTCTTACCTTCCGCTTCCCGTACAATCATCTTTGTCTTCTGGACGATGGTGGGGGTAGACCATGATCGATGCCAGGGGCGTGCTAACTTGACTTTACTGGGCACTGTCCCTTCTCTCTGGAACGGGTAAATGGAGAGCTGGTGACGAACGGGAGTGCGTTGTCTTCTGAGCCCGCTCAGTCGAGGTTCGCGTGCGTTGTACACGTCCACTACACCTGCTCCTGATGGTGACATGCACATTGATCCGAAGGACTCTTACTCATGCGACTCACGATACATACAAGAACCGGTTCGACAAACTCAGCTGCCCTCAAGTCCTCGTTGCCTCGTCGGCGGTGCACAAGAATGCATTTCCTGTCTTTTCAAAGAGACCATCTTGTATGTATTTATGCAACCACGTGTGGCCGAAAGTACAAGAGTATAAAAGTATAAAAGTACGCGTGCGTGCATGATGTCGTGCCAAAGTGTACATCTGAACGTCGCAGAGCATGAATGAACTGTAGCCACCAGAGAGTACGGGCACACACACACACACAACGTAATATATATATATACCAACCCCAAGACTAGGCTAAACCGCCTGATCTACCTCGGGAGTCCAGTAATTCTGATCCGTCACCACGCTCGTGTCAAACTTGTACTCGCCCGTCTGCCGGCCCTTTTGATCCTGAAAGCCCTTCTCCGTCTGCAGCAGATACAGGTCGGGATCCTGGGTCATGTTCAAAAAGAACGGCACATCCAGACTGTTGATCGGCCCGTCCACCCACTCGACGCCGGCGGTGGAGATGCCCTCCCACTCGCGCTCGATCGTGTCCTTCATGGCGAGCGGCAGCTTGGTCGTCATCGGACACTGGTACCACTGGGCGAAGTAGTCGATCGCCAGCATGATGCGGTGGCGGTCGCTCGTGTTGGGCATGCCCGCGTGCCAGAGCCGCAGGTCGCGGAAGCAGATGGCGCCCTTGCGCACCGTCGGCTGCACGGGGGGTTTGACGCGCGCGCGACCCTGCAGGTGGTCCTTCTTGATCCAGCCGCGGTCGGCGTCGACCTGCTGCTCCTCTCGGGGGTAGGCGGTGTGCGTGCCGCACCACACCTCGGTCACGCCGTTCTCTGGGCCCGTGTCCTGGAGGTAGATGTTCATGACGAGGCCCCAGGCCGGCACGTCCGGCCACGTGTGGTGCACGTCGCTGTGCACGGCTTGGCGCGCCGTGCCGCCGGGGCAGGCGACGTTGCTGTTGATGAAGCGCAGCTCGGGCTTGGGGCCCAGCAGGTTCTCGCACAGCCGGATCATGTGCGGGTTGGCGTAGATGTCGCGCGACAGGAAGGCCGGCTCGAGCGGCGGGATCTGGCTGACGTTGCCCGTCGCGGCACCTTGGTTCCAGTGCATGTGTTTCTTGCGCAGGTAGTCGACGTTGTCCTGCACCATGCGCGTGTACAGCCGGTCGATGATCTCGTCGGGGATGGCGTTCTCGAGCACCACGAACCCGTCCCGGTGGAAGTACTTGATCAGCTCCTGCAGCGTCTCGGGCCTCGTCTTGCCGGACTGGAGCTCTTCGTCGCTCAGCCGGATCACCACCGGGTTGTCGCCGTGCTTCTCGACGTCCGTGATCAGTGCCCCGTTGACGTATCGTGGTGTCGACTCGGCCGGAGGGTCCATCACCGCCGAGGGTGCCATGGTCGGTGTCGAGCTGTGTACTACTGGTGCGGTCCACGAACAGTCTGATGGCTAGAGGGAGTAGGAGCCCAAGACCACATCGGCGGGCAACACGATGTTCGATCCACGGATAGTGTGTTCTGCCAGGTCAGCTCAGGTCATATCTCGTTGTCCATGCATCGAGACTCCAGTAAACCCCCACCACGGGGCAGAGCCGGACAAGTTGACCGCGGCGCAAACATGATTGTGCCGATAATGATGTGTTGGTGCTTGGATGGTGGCGTTTGTCAAGATTTACATAACACCACTTGCTGGTCCAGGTATAGTGCAATTGCCTTTCTGGTCGTTTATGGGGGAGGGTCATGAGGTCGCCGCACCGTCGCTGGTCATGGGCACATTTAGCCTGATTTGATTCGACTGTCCCTTTCTTAAGCTTGGTCGTGTCGCTCGCCTCGCCGCCCGACGGAAGCTTCAATGTCGAGCCCGACTCTACCCCTCCGGTGCCCTCGTGCCCTCCCCTGCCTCCTCCCCTCCCCTCCTTGGGCCAGCCAGTCCCCGTGCCCCCGCAAAAGTCCTCATGATCGCCCATGAAGCTGTTGTCCCAAGACTGACCGCAGAAACCTTGCCTCGGCTTCAAGCGACCGCAATATCCACACTGTAAGCTATTCGCCGTGCGCCGCTCGTTTGATTGGCCCCAAGCAATCTCGCGGCTCAAGAAGGGCTTGCTGGAATAGGGAAATGAGACACAACTGGGGAGTCGGAGTAAGGCCGAAGGACGATCGTCAATAATGACCGCCCCTCTCGCATTCGGATGATTCGTCTGCAACAGTACAGTTCAATTCATTTTTGTACCCGTGTACCCTTCCAAGGACCAAGCCGACTTAACCCCCCCGTGACACGCAGAGAGTTCAGCCGAGGGTACTGCGCCCTGGTGAGGGTCGGTATGTAGACGAGAGAGTGCCAATCCGATGCTGATTCATCACACGAAAGCAACATCCGCTTTTGCCGGAAGATACCCCGGACTCCGTCCTGGCACCTCGTTGCAGAGATGATCCCCTCGTCGGACGTGAATAGAAAAGAACAGGCGGTGGACCTCAGGTCGTGAACCCCAGCCTGTCTCCTCCACGGAAACCTGATCTCGGTTTTGTCTTCGTTGACCAGCGCGCGCCGCCGCCTCTGCAAACATGGTGAAAATGTTCAATAAGATCCCCAAGACACGGACACTGGTCGTCGGCGGCCAGGAGTACCCCGAGGTCAGATGGTGGCAGCACAACTCTCTTATTCACCTGCACTGTCTGTGCGCAATTCTGCTACTCTCCTCGGCCACCAATGGATATGACGGGTCAATGAGTATGAGGGCGCCGCGCCCCCAATGATCGTGCGAGAGAGCCCACCAAGCTGATCTGGCGCAGTGAACGGCCTCCAGACGTTGGACTACTGGCAAAACTCCTTCCATCACCCGTCTGCTTCGATGCTCGGGCTGCTTAACGCCATCTTCTCGGTGGGCCAGGTCGTGGGACTGCCTTTGGTGCCCTATCTCGCCGACCACATCGGACGCAAGTGGACCATCCTGGTGGGCAGCTCGCTGATCTTCCTGGGCGTCATCCTGCAGACCGTCAGCATTAACATCGGAATGTTCATTGCCTCTCGATTCATCATCGGCCTCGGCATCGTCTACACGCAAAGCTGTTCTCCCATGCTCATCACGGAACTTTCGCACCCTCAGTACCGCGCAAAGTTGACCACGATTTACAACACGCTGTGGTACCTCGGGTCCATCATTGCCAGCTGGACCACGTACGGGACGCTCAAAATGGAGAGTGAGTGGTCGTGGAAGCTGCCCAGCATCTTGCAGGCGTTCCCGTCTGTGATCCAGCTCTTCTTGATCTGGCTGGTCCCCGAGTCGCCACGCTACCACATTGTCAAAGGACGTCACGATGTCGCCAAGAAGATATTCCAGCGTTTCCACGGCCCCGCGTCCGGACAGGATTTCGTCGAAAGCGAGTATCGCGAAGTGCTGGAAACCATGGCACTGGAAAAGGAATTTGCCAAACGCGGCATCTCGGAACTCTGGTCGACCAAGGGCAACCGTCATCGGTTGTTGATCGTCACCACGGCCGGTATCTTCAGCCAAACCGCAGGATCTGGGTAAGTGACATTCTGTCGCATTCACGAGATGTTCTTTTGTTTTTCGGTCCAGCTGAGTCGCCCTGAGCTGACCTCGACCCGACAGCATCGTGTCCTACTACATCTTCCTGGTCCTCGAACAGATCGGCATCACAAACTCCAACGACCAGCTGATCCTGAACGGATGCCTGACCATCTTCAACATGTGCATCGCCAGCGGCATGGCCTTCACGGTCGACAAGTTCGGCCGCCGCCCGCTCTTCCTGACGGCGACCTTTGGCATGTGCATCGCCATGACCGGGTGGACGATTGCGAGCCAACAACACCAGGCCGGCGGCACGGACGCGTCTGGCCGCGCCGTCATCGCCCTGATCTTCGTCTTCATGTTCTTCTACAACCTCGCGTGGTCGGGCCTGCTGATCGGCTACGTCGTGGAGATCTCCCCCTTCTACCTCCGATCGCGCTACCTCACCGTCATGCTCCTGAGCGTGGCGGCCGGCTTGTTCTTCTCAAACTACGTCAACCCGGTCGCGCTCGAGAACATCCAGTGGAAGTACTACCTGTGCTACATCATCTGGCTGGCGATCCAGTCGGCCGTGGTCTACTTCTTCTACATCGAGACGAAAGGTCATAGCCTGGAGACGATCGCCGTGTGCTTTGACGGCGACGACGCAAAGGTCGGTGGCCAGGCGGCGACCGCCAAAGGAAAAGAACTGCTGGAGCAGCTCGACGACAAAAAGTCGCTCGAGACGCACATTGAGCAGGTGCCGACCCTGGACAGGGATTGAACTGTGATGGTCGTGGCATAGAATCGGGACTTGAATGACCGCAGCTGGGACTGGATTGTGATGGTCGTGGCATAGAACGGAGACTCGACTGAACCGCAGCTGGTGTAACTCGGTATCCCTAGAAGAACAGTGACGCAAACAGAGTAGAATACGAGTACAAGGGAAGTACAGAAGTAAGTAGATGTGGCGCAGGTGTAAAGCGAATGTTTGGACTTCCGAATTAGGATTGGCTCGTTGGTGGCCAACTAAAGCAGCGGCGGTAGATTTCCATCCAGCAGAAAATCGACTCGAAGCGCAACTGCTTTGTCGCTGATTTCACCGATCCAATCTGTTATGTACTGATCAGGAGATTCGGATTCAGCGCCTGTCCCAGCTCCCGTTCATCTGTTTCAAATTTGCGTCGGCTCGGAACGCGACTCTACCACCAGCTGATTAGCTGTAATGACAATGAGCCGCAGAGTCGCCGCCATATGACTGTGTACTGAACTAAGCAAGCTCTAGAGGAGATCAATGGCATTGCTGATGTTTGATTCCGCCGTCAGTGCTCGTCTTCTTCTGGCTCTGCCTCCTTGACTTCAGCATCTCCTTCGTGAGCATCTTCTTCAGTCTCCTCTGCCTTCACCTTGACAGGAGCGGTCTTCTTCATCGGAGTTGCTTTACCCTTCTTGGCCGGTGGTTTGTCGTCCCCGCCGCCGTCGTCGTTCTGGGCCTTGCGCTTTTGGCCGGCGGTGGTGGTCTTCGCGGTGGTGTCTCCAGCAGGCTTGCGACCCTTGCCACTGTTACCAGCCAGACCCCACTTCCTGAGGATAGCCCAGTGGCGTTTGTAGCTGGATGATGCCGAGTCAGCGTCGGAGCGGCAAGGACAGGGCAGCGCAGCAAAGTCGAGGCAGAGCAAACCCACACGGTGTCAATAATGTGCCGCGGACCCCGCTCAACCGATCTGATCTGCGAGAAAACGGGAAACCAGGAGATGGAAGGGCGAATCACTCACCAGGCAGTCGCGTTCTTCGCACCAAGCTCTTTAGCGACCTCATCGAAGTTCGGCTTGGGCAGCTTCTCTGAAGTATGCTTTAGGCAAGTCATGACGAACTTGAAGTCGTCGTTTTCGCTTTCCGGTCCACCCATGGTGCTTGGAAATCAGTGTTAGCGTTGTAGTAGACGAAGGGAGGGCGAAAATGGTGCTTGGAAATAACTATCAGCGTTGAAGGAGACAGAGTGAAAGTGAAGAGAAGCTATACATGAACGTGGAGTGGGCACGTTGACTTACCTGGTATGCCGGATCAGCAGGAGTGAGCTCCTAAATATAGATGGTCGATGAAGAGTCAGTGATTGATGTTTGAGGATTGATGACTGAAGATGCTAAGGTTAAGAAGATGAGGTTCGAGGAAAGGAGGAAGAAGTCTGAAGGAAAGAAGAAGAAGAAGTTCGAAGGCAAGAAAAATAAGATCACGAAGAGAAGAAGCCAATTTTATGTAGTCGGCGTAGGCAGGGCAGAACCACATGCTGGGAAAAACATCTCAGATCAGGTCGATAAGACTCTGAGAGCCTCCGGACCTGACCTCTTCCTCACCTCGAGAGACAATATAGGTGAGAACTACACTGAAAACTACGGCACAACTGAGCGACGGAGTGAGGCAAGATCAATTCATTGTCTTCTCTCCTGATTTCTGCAAAAAAGCACATGAGCATTGTTCGCGCTCTCGCTATGGACTTCAGGCCTTTGCTGCATAAGGTATGCAAGCTGTCGGTTCACAGCCCGTGTGATCTGATACTCTGCCATTCGTTCGTCTGCCTCTGAAGTCTTCTTTCCAAGCATGAAAGCCCCGGTGTCAGCGCCCACCAAGAGATCAACCCGTTATGCCCGATGCCGTAGATCCAGGGCCGAAATGTCGACGAGGAAGAGGCGATAGAGATGGTTGATGGAGTCATTCTTTCGTGGTATTCTCGAGCTCGTCCTTGTCCGCCTCGTCGTCCGAAGACCAAGGAGAGGCTGGCTTCGCAGGGATTGTCTTTTGCCAGACAAGCACCTCATCGAGGGGGACGAATCTGGCGACTGGCGATCCGGCGAGCAGTTCCTCGAGCCACTCAGGCCCTCCGATCTCCTCCTCGTCGGTGGCCGGAGCGGCTGCATTCTGGCTGATAGCTGGAACGACTTCATCCTGGTCGGAAGAGAGCTCGTCTTTATCTTCGGTGGAAGCCACATCGTCTGGGTCCTCGGCAGAAGCGAGAGCATCTTCATCTACGTCGTCAGCGAGATCGTCTTCATCCTCGACGGTGGTCATAGCATCTTCATTCTCGTCGCTGTTGCCGGCGGAAATCAGGGTCTTGGTCTCGGGATTCGCAACAAAGCTCTCCTTTGCGGGGTTGAGGTCCTTCTCACCAGGCGCGTCGCTGAGCTCTTTGCCTTCGACTCCGCTGTTGATGGAGGGTGCTAACTTCATGACTTTGGCTGGAGTCTCACCACCAGCTGGCAAGTTCTTGGCTGGGCCTTGGTTGGAGGTAACAACGATGGTTTCTTCGCCTTCGACAACGCTGTTATTGATGGGTGCAGACTGCATGACTTTGGCGGGAGCTCTACCACGAGCTGGCTTCTTGTTGGCTGGTCCTTTGTCGGAAGTAGCGGCGACAATTTCTTTGCTTTTGCCTTTGTCCTTGTTCATGACCTTCTTGGCAAATGTACCGTCCTGGTATGGAGCTGGCTTCATTCTTGGAGGTTCGTTGTCAGAGGAAGTGGCGTAATCACCCATCTTGGTGGAGGCAGCGGCAGTGGTCTCTTCACCGCCAGCCTCGTCCTTCACTTTCTTCCGTGCAGCTCGCTTGCGCTTGACACCCGCCACGACAGGGACTTTGGCACCAGCGGTAGCCTGGCCACCGGCCTTGTTCGCCCATGCAGCGCCGTCTTCCTCGAGTTCTTTCAAGAAGGCACGCACTTTGTTCCTGCAATCGCACGTTAGTTTGCTTGATAATCGGAGAGGCAATAAGTGGATATGGAGGCAGAAGACTGACCCAGCACCGCCAGCGCTCATGTTGGTTTCCGTAGCCAAGCCATCGTAGTCGACGACCGGTTTCTCCTTACAATGCTTGATGATGGCCTCGAAGAAGACCTCATTGCTGACTGCGGACGCCTTGGTCATTGTGTCTGGTTTCTTGTCAGTTTTGCTGCCATAGTCTTTAGAAAGTGGTCGGGAGGCTCGGACGAGACCAACGTTTTGCGGATGTGTCACCTGTCTGCTGTGTTAGAACACTCTCAGCACGCTGCTTAAGTCATATCTTGAGATGAAGGCACGTACTAGGACTGTAGAAGGTTGTCGATGACTTGCAAAGGGAATCACAGCGCTGTGGGTGTTGGATGGTGGTGAGGTGCAAGTGAGACAAAGAAAACATAGGGTTACATGGTGCTGTTGATAAGACTGAGCTCACCGTCCGCGAAGAATCGCCAAGGAAAGCTCCATTGTTTCACAGTGAAGAATACATGCTATGCATGACTGTTCGCGATTGTAGGTCTGCTATGGACGCAGCGCGTGGGAAGAGACCGACGTTCGCGGGCGACGACAACATCCAGCAGTCTCAGATGCTGGAGAACCCGGGAGCCCTAATCCTCCACAGCAACACTAGGTGAGTTCATAGTGATCGCGAGCAGGACCGTTCGAGGAAATGCTGTGGCAGCGTGAAGCAGCGTCGTGAACTGTGAGAGTTGAGGTAAGATTTTGAGAGATGGACGTGCTTGTTCGTGCGGCCCTTCCCTTTGTCTGACGTGCTTGTATTCGGGCACACTGGTGACAATGCCTCAGAGTTCGTCCTTAACTTGGACCAGACATATTCGGGCTAGGCCAGCGCACTCTGGTCAATGGAACTGCTTTGCCGTGAGCAGAAGTCCTGGTTGCTGCACGACTTGAGACTGCACCAGTATCAATGACCAGCGTATCCTCCCGGGTCTCCCATTTCATGGCTCTCTGGCTCGTCTCGAGGTGCAAGAGAGAGCCCTGTTCTTTTCCCTACGGGAACAACCCAGCCTGGCCATGCGGAACAAAACATCCGAGGGAGAGATGTGGCAGCCCTGGGGCCGGAATACGAAGGAGCGAAATCCAGCGGTTGTGGCAAGCCTCACAAATGAGGGGTTCGATCAAGGCATACCATAAGGTATGCCTCTGGTTGGCAGTTGCAGACTTCTGTCGATAACGAGGATGACAAGGCCTACCGGCAACTCCTGCGGCTATATTGCAGTCTTGTTGGAGATGTCCTCCTTTGAAAGGCTTACCGCAAACGACGATGGTTCCTCGAGGAACTAGTTTTGGCGTGGCCTCGTCGACAGCGCGGCCAACGGACCGAGCTCCCGCCATGTTGCTCGGCGGGCAGAGGACGGTGCTGTCAAGCAGCACAGGCAGGCGATGTCAGCTCCCGAATGCAAAGCAATACGCCTTGCAAGAAGAACCGGGGCTCAAGGGTCCGCCAATGCCACATGGCTGACACACTGCATGTATGTCGTTCTTTACCCCAAATTTGACGAGACGCTGAAGGCAATTAACACCCGCGTCGACTCAGGGGTGACTCTGGGCTCGGGATCCGAGAAGACAGATGGACGGTAAGACCGCGGGTGGTGATTAGCAGGCTTGCGAACACGGAATACTGGATGTGCTCGCAAGGACTGCGAAACGTGGAATGGAACAAACCCGTACATCACATACCGTGGAACAGCGGAGGGAGTGGTGTGATAGGCAAAGCAAGACGTTGGTTTTTGGTGGTCAGAGCTTCCGGCTCGGTTGGGAATAGCGGCGCCTGGGCTCGCGTGCTAGGCGCCGCCAACCACCGTCTGGCGAGCATGGAACGCAGCTGAGTCGCCGACACGCCTCGACCCCCCGGCTCGCTCCAGGCCCGGCAGCTGGATCGCCAGAATTCCCACGTGGCCATCGGTGTGTAACCGATCGTGTGGCTTGTGCGCTAGTGCCAAAACTACGGGCTGACCACATGGACGAGGGCTGTCAGAATCCCTTGGCTTTCAGCTGAGGCTTGCTCGCTACCAGCCAATATCTACCTGCATGAAGACTCGATAGCCAGGATTTGCATGGTTTGACAGCCGTGCGCTCGGTGCGCTGTTGCCTAGAATGGTCAGAGTTGACAGAAAGGGGAGAGGCAGAACTCGACTTCGGAAGCCACACACAGGACACTCACCGTGGGGATCTGGGAGGTCGATGACGGTCTAGAACAGCCTCGCTTGCTTCGTACCCCCCGTGCCACGATTGGCATATTGAGTTACACCAGAAAGTTTGATGGCGCTATGATGGCGCTTCGATGGGCTTGGTTTACGAGTCACCGAAACCCGACAGCGTGGAACGGCCGGAAGCCAAGTTCTAGAAGACCTGAGCGATGGCTCCTCCAACTTTGGGCACAATGCGACGGGGCTACGACGGCACGCTGACGCGGTAAGACAGGAATTTGAGAGCATGGTGCGCAAGTCACTGCATAACAACCTCTAACGCTGTGATCATCTGATATTGTTACATGGTAATTACCCCAGCCAGTATAGCGATGTGTTCGTTGTAGAATAATGTACAGGCATTTTATGTCCATCAGTTCATGCTCCCTTTTGGAAGCTCTCGCAGCGGGAAAACCGAGTTAGCCGATTGTCGCACTTCAGTGCCATCGACGCTCTCCTCGACAGTTTCATCCCCTGCGAAGACGCCAGCGTCGGCACCATTAGCCAGAAGACGGTGAAGAACGCCGCATGCAGGCCCGCAAGGTCAGGTCAGAGCCACGTCCCAGCAACCTCTTTCTCTCGCTCCAAGCCATCATACAACTTGTCGACAATGTTCGTGTTGCATGATCTTCGCGCGCAGCCCGCTTCCTGTCACCTTGTCGCTTGAACGCAGAAACCCAGACGAAAATAAAGTGCTAAAACCCCCTATCCAATCACTGCTCTTTTGGGCGAACCATTTAGACAATAAAAACGGATTGTGCAGCTTGCTGGGTGCGAGTGCTCTCCTCCATTTTTGAGGTGTACTTAACCATCCCGTGGAGAGGGTATGACAAAGCTGGAAGTAACGCCGTCAGTTGGGTGCCTGTACCTCAATAATCGGAATGCGGGCGACCGGGGCCAGTTCCCGAATGCACAAATTCATGTGGTCGTGGATGTCATGAGCTCGTTCGTGGGCTGTGTCCCTTTGCAGCTCCTACTGTTTCACCTCCGTGGCAGCCCTTCTCGTGCCGTTTCATGTTACTCCTCACGCTGAAGTACTTTCCACATCCTTCATGCTTGCATTTGTAGGGCTTTTCACCTGTATGTGAATACGTATGAATTTTGAGAGAACTCGGCCTTGAGAAGGGTTTGTTGCATGTCGGACAAATGTACCGTTCTTGGGTCTGAGGATATGAGGGAGGGTTATTAGGGGGGTAATAATGATGGTGCTGCCACGTTGGAGCCATGGATGGATCGATCGGCGGTAGACTGATACCGGGAAGGGGGCCAGGGAAGTCGGTTGGCAGCGGCCTTTGTTGAGAAAGTCCAGTGAATACAGGGGCCTCCACCGGGACCTCACTTGATGGGGCTGCCAACGGACGCAGCGATCGATCCTGCGGCACAGCGTCGGGTACTCGCCGGTGGAAATGCGCTGGCCATGAATTGGGTTCAGCCGAGGATTGATAGGCCGTCGCCTGCTCACTGACTGACGGGTACGAGGAGGGTCGTTGAGCGTACAGCTCGGGATTCGTGCTCTGATGTCCATTGCTCCGGCCTGAACTGATTCCAGGTGAAGTGTTTTTGGGCGATGGGCGTGCGAAGTCGAAACTCGACGTTGGCAGGAATTCTGGTGTCGGTGGAGGCAGAGATCGAGGGCTTCCTACTATCTTTGTCATGTCAGGGCTTATTCCTTGTCCATGTGAGCCTCCCGATATCCGTCGTACGGGATCGAATGTCGGAGAAGAAGCATTTCCTGATGCTTGTCAGCATATGATATGGCCTCTCGACGAAGTAGACCCAGCAGACAAACCTTTGGCAGCGTGCTCGGTGACGGGTCCGAGGAGGCTCGAAATTGATGGTAGTGAGGGTCTGACTTTATTTGCCTGGTCCATGGCACCGGATGCCAGCAAAAAGCCGTGGGACAGTAAAGGAGGCTGCAGAGATCGACTCGACTCATACGGTGGGAGCAACGCCAATGCCATAGCACAGATGTATTATGGTTGAACAGGCTTATGGTATGAATCTAGGGCAAGGTCCAGCTCCTGTGCTGGCGAGTCCCCTGGTCGATCTGAAAATGTCCTGCTTTCGACCGAGGGGCCGTTCGATGGTTGTCACTCCTCAAGGATACAAGGGAGATCGGGGAACGGTTGCTTGCTGAAGGTGATCAAGATGGATTCGAGATCTACGGCTGCGTGACGGTCGGGTATGGCGAGGGTTATGCTGGAAGTATCGATGCGAAGTGTCTACTCTGTGCTGGCGGGGAAGGTGGTGAAAACCAAAAGAAGATACTGGTTGAGAGGGAGAGGAATATTCGGTTTGGTGGAGATCAGGGTTGTGACGTTGCAGCGGGAAGGCAGCAAACAGGTCCAGGTTCACGACTGATCGCTGCCCTTGACATTTGACGAACGGCTCGCTTATGGAAAAAGGATGCTAAAACCGACAAAGGAAGATGGAGTCTTGCGGGCCACAATAATGAGCAGGGCGCTTCCGGAGCCGAGGACTCGAGGGGGGAAGATCGTCGAGAACAAGACGGAGCCAGAGGTGAGCCCGAAGTGAGCGAGAGGTGAGCGAGAGGCGATTGGGAGGGTGGGCGGCCCACGGGCTCTGCCACTCCAGTCGTCAAATAATGCAGCGGCCGGATGGGACTTGGGCACTTGTGCCTGGTTTGGCAACCCAGAGGCGTGCGATGTGCGGGCTTGGTGGAAGATCAAAAGTGGGCAGACGGTGAGTTTAAAGCCACCGTTGGTAAGAATGTGGCCCGTATGGTCGTGAGTGGGATGGACTAGTGCGAGACTTGAGAAGTGCCACAGGTTCGGGTGCGTAATCGGTGGTCAAGCCTGTCCTCAGACCCTCGTCACTACCGCTGTCAACGATGGCTGACTTTTTGCTGGGGTTGTCCAGGTGGCTTGCTAGCTGTCAAGATCGTGAAAAGGTCGAGGCGTTCCAGTCCACAACGACCAGCTGAAGAGAGGCAAGCCGACAGCTGTTGTGACGGAGTGATCAGCCGTGCCAGATTCTAAAAGCTACTAGAATCCTGTTAGTGAGAACTTAAGGTGCGGCGTGCAAACGCTTTCACTTCACAGTCAGGTGAGTGGATATCTGAGCGTACACTTGTCAACGTACAGATCCGTTAGAGTCCTAGCATGGGCTAGGCCTTGACTGTTATGAATGGAGAGAAGGGCAGAGATCGCAAAACTCACTGCCGCGTGGTAAGGTACTAGCGATACCGGGGATGCTGGCACTTGTAATACGTCGCTCGTACGGCTTGTTTATTTTGGGACAGATGACGAGAAGGAATTCACTCCAAACCCGGAACGGCACCGAAGGAATAAGCCCACGACAGGTCCAGAGGTCGCTCGCCCCGATATTCCGAAGTTTACCACACTGCTTATGATACCGTTGAGGAGCTACTTGATCCATCCTCTGACCCCGTGAAGGAGATCATCGCAAGCTCTACCTTGCCTGCCATGGTACTACTAGCAAGGCAGAACCAGGGCCAGTGTGGACAGTGGAAATTCAGACCGAACGCCATTCAGCGATGGTTAGCGAGAGGTGTTAGAGGCGTCAGCGTCAAGCTGGCCGTAAAGTTTGATAAAGAGTGCATAGCGACGATAGCGTAATGATAGTGTCTTTCCACGAACGGCTCGAGGTTCGCAGTCACAGCCCGTCAGGCCGGAGTGGTGAAGTCCAGAGATCTCCCGGACTGGGTGGCCCCTGTGATGCCGAAACACGATCAGGCGATCAAGCGGCAATCCTTAGTGCCAATGCTAAAGGTGGAGGTGTCTTCCAGGGTGTCAAGCCCATGAGCTAGCAGTCCCCGGCATCCCTGGCATGTAGGTCAGCCGCTAAGCTCAAAACTTGAAGTGGCTTTTGGCGCTGGGCATTGGATCGAACCATGACCTCCACGCATCTTTGTGGAAAGCCAGCGTCGTCTCACCGCAAGAACGGATGTGCCGCATCTTGCAAGGCTACCTGACCCCGAATGAAACAAGGCTGCTCGCCTGGAGTTGCAGTGTGGGAAATGAGAAAGTGGCAGCCTGAAACTCTGCTGCACTGGACATGGCACTCCGTGCAACGACGGCTTCCTCGAAGCTCGACCGAGTCTACTCCATGTGAGCAGCCGGTAGATGACGAGACTGGCTTGCTGTGTGAAGAGGTGGGCTAGAACCCATGATGTCGCTTCTCGCGCAGCAGTCAGTGCAATATCCACCCAGTGGCAGTTCTGCCGACGGACGGAGTACATCGTAGATCATCGGTGATTCACCACAGAGACGTGCTACGTGGGCGCGTGGCCGGTGATACAAGGCGTCGTCTAGCAGAGTGTGCCGAGGTCACCGCAGATCTACCCAGTCGTGAGACTTGTGCGTTACCACTGCTTCAGACCAAGGTGGAACACCTGGAAAAGGAGCAGAAGCCCGGGGAGTGATTCGCTTAGCAGGGTTGACGAGTCGACCCAATGAACTTCGCTCGGAGATTATGCGCATAAAGATACTCTAGTGTCTAGCCTTTAACGGACTCGCTTACCGACAACCTGGTTCAGTGTTGCCAATGAACTCTATCACGCGCCTTAGCCCTGGTATCCTTGCCTCGGTGGCAAGCTGAAGCCTGAAGAGATCTGTTCCCTGCCTGGAATCGCAAGTTCAGCCTTCAGCAGATCCGGATTTTGGTACATGGAATCCTGGAGGGGCGTCAGTGCCTCCTGCTACGGGAACCTTCGAGCAAGCCCCGTAGCCGCATTCGCAACGGCAGGAAGTCAGTAGGCGAGGGTTGGGTGGTTTTGCTGCGTCGCTGGTGTTCTTCTCATGTTGAATCCTTTTCCTCGTTGGTCTAAGTGTTCCCCGTGCTCGACATCCCTTAGCGAGGGGCGGCCTTGCACCCCTGCCGGTTCCGAAGCAGCGGCGTCATTTGGTCCTCCATCCAACCAGAGCGCCATTCGTCGTCCAAGCCGGGCTGCACCAAGCCACGCATGTCGATCTGGTTGCACATGGTCTCGTGGAGCCCGTTTGATCGTCCCCGGCGTCATCCTCATGATTTCCCATGCAGCTGCCGAGAGTTGACCTTCCCCATCTGGATTATCATCGATCGTACGGAGTACAGGCTTTGTTATTCCTGGACTCTCCTGTTTGATCCCATGGAGATGCCGTAAATCTACGATCAAGGGCGGCACACCGGCAGAGGCGGCTCTACTTGACCCTGGCTGATGACTGCACTCACGCGAGATCAAAGGTGCAAAGGCGCGTCAGTCCGTCCGCCTACCGCCTGTTTCATCTTTGCCTCGTGGTTCCCCATGCTTATCGTGTGAGGAATAGGGGCATCGGGTTATCCGAGGCCATGCGAGGTCTTGAGCCTTTAGGTCAAGCCGAATATCCCGCCATTAGTGAAGGGTAGAATTGCTTCATTACTAGTCCGTATTGTGCAGGCGAATACATCGATACCGCTATGAAAAGCCACCGTTGCATCTGTGCACAATGATATTCCCGTTCAGCGAGGATGAGGGAAAACTCATACGCGCAAACGCACTGGACTTGCAGGAGGCTTTCGCAGCACCGCCTGTACCTGCCACTTCGTAGGGTCAGTCCTTGCAGGATGCAGCGAGTCTAGCCAGAACAATGAGAGCATTCTCTGTTTCGAGGTTGCTAAATGTCCGCTACTGAGTGCTTGGGCGCACACTAGCTGTCAAACGGGGTTATTGCCTGTTCTCTTCAGCTTCGATTGAACGCCTAGGCCACGTGGCACTGAAGTCGCGTGCATGCCTAACGAGACACTCTCGGCAGGCCTCGTTCCCTGGCTGTCACCATGACAAATGGGACTGGGCATGCCGAATATGAGGAGACAATTCGATCGTCCTCGACAAAGATTGACTGATGTTCTACGGAGTACATAGGTACCTACCGGGTAGCGCGGCAATGCACCTGTACTATTTACGAGTACTCGGACGGCCAACAGCATCAGACAACGCATGGCCAGCGTGCAGATAATGATGTGCAAAGATCGCCAGGCACTTTTTAAACCTCCGTGCTTCACTAGACCGCAGTGAGTAAGACCGCCATAACATCATTTCGGTGGTGAAGTCGAACTACTGCACAGTCGGCCCACCTTTGAGCATCGCCGTGCTGTCGACGGCGTGTCTCGGCAAGGTGTGCGTGGAGCAGCCTACCGTCGCAACTTGCTCACCGTCTGCTTTCAGTCACATCACCCACCAGAAGCCGGACCCTCCGTAGTTCGACGTAGTGACAAGCCTGATACTGGACTAGGAATGGCACTTTTGGGGCGTCAAGCCAGCTTCTAGAAGTGAGATAATAATGTCCGAAGCTCGCGAGAGGCTTCTCGGGTCCAGACTGGGAGGCTGGTACAACAACGCTCCCTGTGAGGGGCTACTCATTCATGCTGCTGGGCGGCATGTCGAGTGGGATACAAGCTTTTACCTGACGGAGTACACACGAAAGCACTACGTCGGGGGGTCAGACTGATTATCCCGCTTCGTGGGGCCCAGAGGGATCACCAAGCAACACCGGAATGTTGCGACTTCTGGGTGATAGCACGAGA